TATTATAACAATGCTGGAAGGTCTATCATAATTCTATTTTTTTTCCTACAGGTAAGAACAAAGTAATTTTACAGTCATTAAGTATGACATTGCGGCTTGACTTTTTATATCTGTAAAAGAAATTAACCTTGAAACTTACTTCTGATGTTGATCAACAATACATTTCATGAGCGTAGCTTCCTTTACGCCCAAAAGCCCAAGCTTTCAAATTATTTTCCCGATTTTACTTTTCTTCCAACCATTAATTAATAGCAGTATTTAAATATGTCACTAACAGCTGTATTTAAATATGTCACTTTTTTTTCTGAAATGTCCTGTTCCTTTGCTGTTTCTGTAAAAAGTGACTTACAATTAAACTATGTTAACAACCATTGGCCTGTAGTCAGATTGTATGAAAAAATTTAGAAAACAACTGGAATCAAATGGATATCAGAATGCCCGACAACCCGTACCTGAAAATGCAGAAGCTACTAGGCTTAAAACGTCCAAGGCATTTCAGGTTTACATATCACAGATTCCTCCTATAAGCAGGAATATGCTGGGAAATATACAAATGTTTTTAGGAGGAAAACAGCTAGGGTAGAGGGAAAAAATCCGCCCATGAAAATTTAACCATTAATTAAGACTGGATGATTACCTTCCTTTAAAATATAATTCTCTCCTTACAGAGTATTTCCCCTTTAATGAATACACTAACTATGCTATCAACTGATAAGAATTAATTTACTGGCAAGGTAACTGAAACCTCTGTAAACACCATTACCATCATTAGATCATTTTGATACAAGCATGTAGGTAAATCATGTTAAGGTGTATATTCATTCTGAGGTTATTTCTATGTTATCATAAATTCATTACCATGTTAATTTAATGATTAAATTTCTGTCAACAACTTTCCTGTGATTAACTTGCATGCTAGGAATTTGTTTACATGCCTGTAAATATTTACACTTAAAGATAGGAGAAAAAGAATTAAAATTCTAGTTAAAAACAAGATTGCATTTGTGAAAAATGCTATGTCACCGCATAAATACAACACTACAAAATAGTAATGTAGGAACAGAATTTTTTTGTTTCTATACAAATGAAGATTACCATTGTGCATAGATCACTGACCTATCTAATTCTTATTATTAGGTTAGTGGTTAAATCTATTGTTATTCAAATAAAAGATCAGAGTAGGAATCTATCAATGCAGTTGAGTCTTGTGAATTTGGTGGTGAAGGTCATATTTCACATGGCCAAAATTCCATGACTGTACACAGTAAGACACTTTGTCAAAATCTAGGCTAGCTGATATCAAAGTTCACTTTACATCTTAATCTGTGCACATGATTCAAATTTCATAGCTGCACATTAAAGGACAAAAAAGTATATCACATCATCAAAATCTAGGTCACCTGATATCAAAGTTCAATTTTACAAATAAAAATGTGCACATAGTCCAAATTTCATGGCTGTACATCAAAGGACAAGAAAGTAGGTCACTGTTAGTGATGGAAATCAGATGAAATTTGTCCCAATCGATCATCGGTTCAGTCGGATGGGACATAATCGATAACTTTCGAATAAAGTCGCGTTAAAAAGAAATAGGGAAGTAACATTTCTTACCAACGCACTTGATAATATTTAGTAACACGAACTCCATTAAGCACTTTTCAACACAGTTTTAGCCTTATATAGTCATAATTTTACGAAATAGATTTTATTTTTCAATGGATGTCAAATAATACCATTCACATCACATTATATTACTATTGTTTAAATCTCTTATTGATCCTATTCAACTCCAAATTGTCTCTGAGATGATTTTTTGCATTCGGTGAGGTGTTCCAAAAAGAAAATTAACGTCAGAATTAATTCCCTTTGATACTTTAAACGTTTTCGACGACGTCGCGGAACAAATTTTTGTGAATCGATTATTGTCGTTTTACATAACAGTAACTGATTGTCGGCGACTTGCGACAATCGGAACATCACTAGTCACTGTCCCCTTGGACAAGGCAAAATTTTAACCTAAGGGTTTAATTCAAACAATCTTGATACAGGTCCACCAAACAACATTTCATGTCAAATAGCTAAGCTGTAGCTTTCTCCAATTCAGAAAAAAATTTGTTTAAGTTTCTGTTTTTACTACATGTATGTGTACATAATGAAAATCAATGCCCTCGGGCAGGGCCAATTTTGACAAACAGGGGCAAAATTTGAACAACTTTGGTAGAGGACCTATGGATGATATTATAAAGCAAACACCAAAGCTCTAAGCCTTGTACCTTCAGACAATAAGATTTTTTAATTTTTTACTATATGTACATAGTGAAAATCAATAACCCCCAGGGAGGGGCAAATTTTGACCCCAGGGCTATAATTTGAACAATCTTGGTATAGGTTCACTACACAAAGTCTCATGGTTAGAGTTTAAGATCACAATTATGGCAACTTTGATTGATAGTACCTGTGAAGAGAGGTCACTGACCTTCTACAAGAATGATTGATTAAACTTCTTCACATGGAATAATTCATTGTCTTCAGCCAATTTTGAAACCATAAAGGTGAAGGCCTACATGCTGATCAGATTTTTTAAACCACAATATATCTTCTGTCTTACACAATCATGTATTAATTATCTGATAAATTCATAATATAAAAAACTAGTTTGAAAGTAGCTGCCTGTAAATGAATACCTGTAATTCTCTACCAAAAAGTGCATATAAATTTGTTCTACAAGTTCTCTTATGGCCGAGCTGAGTCATCAACTAAGCTATTTCATTTTCTTTATGCCAATCTTTCTACAATGTTTATATATATAATGGCAAACTTCTGGAAATAAAAGAAAATGACCACATACAGTACATTATGTGTATAAGAAAAGATTAGATAAATTCATTTTGCACCAAATGCTTATAACAAGTCATGTGCTCACAAAGTATTTTGGACTGTCTTTCAAACTCTGTCAATTACAGAACAAGTAAATACATGGCAAGTTAGATAAATCCATCCTTCTTTAGATTATTTGAGATACAATAGATTGCTTCTGAGCTGTTTTTACAATATTTTTCACACCTTCTTATTAAAAAAGAAATGAACAATGACATGTCAATCAATTCAAGAATAAAGCCTTAAAGGTGTTATAGTGCATTTTAGTTTAAGGCATGCATCATTACATAAAGTTTATCTTAATAATCTAAAGCGGAATAAAATATCACTGATAGCCTTTATATAATTACAATTTCCCCATTGAAAAATTCTTACCTTTTATTTCTTTATTTTTGTAATATTCTTCATTTTTCTCAATGAAATAGAGGATATTTGTTTAGTTCAGTGTAAGATCGGAATATATTTCACCGAGTGAGCACCAAAAGGTATATTTCACGAGTGGCGCAGCCACGAGTGAAATATGAACTTTTGGTGTTCACAAGGTATAATATATCACCAAAAATAAAACCATAATTAAACACAAATATATGCTCCATGGCCAAGTCCTAGAGTCTGTTACAAAGGCTAAATATCTCGGACTAGATCTATCTGCTGACCTTAAATTTAATACACATATATCTCGAATAACTTCCAATGCAAACAGATCCCTTGGCTTTACTAAAAGAAATGTCATTACTAAAAATGAGAAAGTGAAAGAACTAGCATACAAGTCCCTGGTCCGCCCACAGGTTGAATATGCCTCAACTATTTGGTCTCCTTACACTAAAACCAATATTGACAAAGTTGAGATGATCCAGAGACGTGCAATAAGATGGGTTAAAAGGGATTACTCCCCTCACTCTAGTGTCACAGCCATGCAGGAAGAACTGGGCTGGCGATCCCTTGAACATCGCAGATTGGACTGTAGACTGATAATGTTTTATAAGATATACCATAACCTAGTTGCAATTAATCTCCCAACATATGTTCCAACCCCACATAGATTAACCAGACATATGCATCTCTTATCTCTTCCCTCATAGCATTATACTATGGAATAAACTTCCTAGTAACATTGCCACCCTGCCCAACCTGAGTCAGTTCAAACAGACAGTGGTGGGTTTGCAGTACTAGTCTTACTCCAAGTGTTTTTAAACTATTTTATCTCTTATCATCTTGTTTCACTATTAACATTTTAACCATGACTAGAATACATTTTCAGTCTCACCTTTCAAAGCATGTCAATGTTTGGACTTTTCTTTTTTAGTTTTTCTTTTCACCTTTTACTAACAATCCGACGTGCACTAAATTCCTGCCTTTAACACTCATAAGAGGAGTTGGCAGTATCCAGAGATAGATAGATAGGTGAAATATATTTCGATCTTACACTAAACTAAACAAATTTTCTTTTTATTATATGCAAAGAAACGTTTTAAAAAGACATTAATTAAACCTAAATACTGAATGAAAAGCGTGCCATATAATAATACAATGTGACGTCATTTAATTATGACGTCACGTCATAAAGTTGGTTCCCAGTACTGTGCACGCTGGTATTTCACTGAAACAACGTAAGGGGCTTAAATTCAAAACAGTGAAATTATCAAATTGATAATTTCACTGTTTAAAACAGTGAAATTACCATTTTTATTTCACTGATATATTTCTATAAACCACCGAAAAGCATGTAATAAATGCTTTTCTTTCTGAAGGGTTGCAAAGTTTGTATAAACCTGTTTAACAATAATCTAAATCAGCTTGAAAAAAGTTTTTATCGGGAACTCAGCATGTGGGTTTTTCGGCCTCTTCTTATATATCGAAAAAGAGTCATGGAGCTAAATATAATATTTATATATCTGTGATAGAGTACAGTACTGTAACACAGTAAATCGTAAAGTAAGTTAAAATAATTGTTCATTGAATTGTTTAAATTGCATCGTATCGTATTGAAATCAATTAAAAAGTCAATAATAAGTTTTTCCAGGTTCTACCTGTGAATTAATTGGAGCACGAAAACATGTGCGTTCTGGATCTGGAAAACCCTTCGTGTAAAAATAGAAACAATTAAAGTATTGACTGGGTACACGATTTTCCGACCAATCGGGAACGCTCTACTTTAACAACTTTCTAACCAGTCACGGAAGTTTACGTTGTTGCCTAGGTATGTAAACTTCCGGTTAATTAACAGGTGTTTTAAGCAAGTTTCGATTTGCACAAAAATTTAGTTGGATACCGGCGAACAACAGAAATGGAGCTAAGAGAAAGAAACAAGACAGAGGAAACTTTGAAAGAAAAACTTCGTGTAAAATGGAACACGAGAGATTTTACACCAAAGGAACAAAACAACAACTTATTTGGAATGAACTTTTTCTTCATCTCCTTTGTGTCATTGCTAATTGAAAGTTTGTTTTATTTGGTTCCTCGAGTATATGCTGAAACGAGGTGGATCACGTCTTTGGTGACACTATTTTTGTTTTGTGAGACAATTGTAAATTGGCATAGGTCATATTTTGACACTGAAAATTATGTCAAAGCAGAAACAAAGGAAAAGTATTTCCCAGATTCAGATGAGACTCCGGCTGACTGGAAGAGCTGCTTCAAGTGCCAGGTATGCAATATTTCATTTTATTTTCCATTAAAAATGATTTTATTCGTAAGCATGTATACTTTTCTAAACTAGACTTCCAGTATGTGAAGTACTGCAAGCCCAAATAATGTGCTCTACTGTTTCAGTTAAACACAAAAGTTGTATAAAGTATGAAGTATTTTCAATTTTTCCCATTTTTGTCAATTTTAAGGTATTTTCCACAACGGGAATCCTTGTTGGAATTCCAATGTCTGGGAAGTTACAGCCAATTCTGGGCTTGTTAAATAATTTACTTAATACACATTCAAATCATGCTTAGGAGGATGCCCATAATTATAGCTCTGCTGATTAAGTTATAAGTTATTAAGTAATATGTTGCTATTTCACATTGCAGGTTGATGTTCCACCAAGAGCATATCATTGCAAACACTGCGGTAAATGCATGTTGAAGCGTGTTCACCATTGTTTCCTGACAGGCTCGTGTATTGGCTTTCACAACCAGAAATTTTTCATCATGTTTTGCCTCTGGACAGCTGTTTGTCTGGGATTTTGCCTAAATCTCCAACTGTCATTCCTGCATGCAGATCTACCTCTCAACTCATTTGAAATCTTCACATACCTTCCACCAGTTGCTCTAGTCAAATACATCATGGGATCCATCAGTTTTATGCAGGCCTTCATTGCCACACACTGCTTTATAACTGGAGGATCATTTATAACCGCAGTATTAGCATTCCTATGGCATATTTTCCTTCTTTTCGAAGGTTTGACAATGTACGAGGGGTTCAAGGGCATTTATGGGTATGCAGGAACAAGGATGGAAAATATCACGTCTGTGTTCGGGTCAGTCTTAACCATTCCAGTTCTGTTATTTGTACCTTACAGATTTGAAAATCCAATGAATGGGATCCAGTGGAAATTGAGAAATAAGAGGGATAAGGGACATTGATGACTGATAAAAACAAACAAGTAGCTAAATAACTTTTACCACAAGGCATGTTGATGCAAGTTCAGTTTGTCAGCTATTACTGCAATAAGTCCTGTTATAGGAGAAAGGTGTAGTTTGATGGATTTAAGAAAGGTAGTGACAGTAGGTCAGCAGTTATTATAATAGCAGTGAACAGGGTATTTTGTTAGACAATCAAAAGGGATTATCTAGTTTCAAAATTATTGTAACCATGCTGTATTTATTTTTTATTGAAACAGAAGTTATATCGAAAATCATTTTCTCACTTCAAAGTTCAATATTCAATGCAAAATCTTTAAATATATTAAAATATTACTCTTTGTAAAATTTAACAAATTTGTTGTTTATTCTTTATTTAGTATATATTCAATTTTTAAATAATTTTACAATTTGATTGATTCAAAAGAGACATACATGTACATGTAGTGTAGCATCTTTCATTGCAAACAACTTATTTGTCAAACCTCAGTTTATTAAAAAAAATCATTTTTTAAAATCATAGAAAAATCCCCAATAGTTTTTTTTAGTAAAACATTCTATGTGTTGTATTTAGACAATACTGAGTAGGGCTCTTACATGTTTCAAATGCAATATTTCTTTTTATATGTTTCAAGTTATAACTGTTATTCTTTATAGAACTTCTCATTTATTTCTACATATGTCCCTGTGATATAAATTAGTTATTGTTTAATATTTTTCATTTTAATCAGAGTTTGACAATCTCTTCAATTAGTTAGATAATGAATTCTACATTTATACTGATATTTTACATGAATATTTATATTTTGTTCAATGTAATGTATATATCTATGTTAATTTATACATGTGCATAATTATCAACATCAATCTAAGTGTTGTATATATAAAGCAAAGGGTCTTGTACAAGTCCCTTCCATTTTGTAAACCTCATAATTATGTTTGCTCAAATCCAGAATATTTCATATTAAAAGTAAATTATGTGAAGAAAAATCATGTGTAATTTTCTGTTTCCCATCATGTGAACTAGACTGAATTTATAAATTACTTGCATATGTGTTAAGTATATATAAAGTGTTTGGATACGGGCATAACTTACATGTTTTGGGTTCAATCAGCTAATAAATGAGCTGGGTACTAGGGCAAATTATCAATTTATTTTAGCTTGTGAAACAAGTGCTTCCTGGACAATATTGCCCTAGTAGGGTTCCCACCCAAGATCCATGGGTTGGGAGACTAAGACCTTTACCACTTGGCCACTGCTCCTCTTAATTTTAGTTGAAGTAGTAATGAACCAAAGTTTGCAAATCAGTTTCTCAGGTGTCTTGTCATGTTGAAATGTCCATGTTCAGTATAAATGCAGTTAACTGTAATCCAAGTCAGCACTGTGTGAACTTTTAAAAACAAACTACCAGCTTCCCAGAAATTTAGGTAAGCATAGTTTACATAACTGAATTTAACAAATTTCATGTCCTTGAACTAACTGGTCATATGAGGAAATTAGGTCGTGAACCTAGCAAAGCTTAAACCCATGATCCATTACTTGAGAGGCAGACACCTTTACCACTAGGCCATTTATACAGTACAGTTTATGTAGTAGAATGTAATACTGGTTTATAATGCATACAAACAATAAGACTACATACAATGTACTTGTAAATGCAAGAAGTCAAAGAAATCTAAACATCCATTAAACTTACGGTTTACTTAAGTACTTAATTAAATAATCCTCTTTTGGAAAAACAGCTATTCAACTTATCAAGTTTAAACAAGTTTTAATAATATGTTTGATATTTGGGTGATTTTACTGTAGTGAAGATTAAATCTGGAAATAGACATGTTGTCTAAATACATGTAATGACAAAAACAAAATAATTTGAATGTTTTGCAGTCAAAGATTAATTCTTTTACAGCAGTTGGATTATAAGGTTCCTTTAACAAATATAGTTGAAAAGCAAATGTACATATTTTAATTAAACAATTCTGTATATTTTTAGAAGTTTTATTTTGGCATATATAGATTTCCTTTCTTTGCATCTAAATTTATTTTATCCTTGACTAGATTTTTCATTTTGTCAAGCAGCTATATGGAATTATACTACAGCTTGCACCCAAAGACAATAAACATGCAAATAATTTTAACTATACTGTTTTTTTTTTTTTTTACAACTTAAAACAGAAACAACAACTAAATTGTAGTGCTATTAGTTTAAGCCACCTAGTAAAATGGTTTATTGTTCTGAAAATACAAAGTATTGGAACATGGAAATCAGAATTTGTACCTGAGCAGAATAATTTAAAAAGGTCATAGGAATCACAAATGACACAAGCAGACAGTGAACTAAAGACCATAAACCTCTGGTATTGGAAGCTTAAAGCCTCTTCCCAATCCCTAATTGTGCATTAATGACGAAGTGAGTACTACAAGAACAAGGTCGCTGTACCTTAAATAAATGACAAATGGGTGCAAACTAGTAAGCATGTTCATTTCACATCTTACATAATAAATATTTTATTATTTACATATTCATCAATCGTCTGATACCCAGGGCCTGACAATTTACATTAATACTATGTTACATGTTGGTATCTGACAATGATTTCACCCTGTCTCTGCATGTTTCAAATTTATCTAAATGAACATTTTAATAAACATATAAAAGTATCAAAGTAATATTTAAAAGGAATAACATTTATTTCAATTATCTTCCTTACAGTTTAACAAGAAGAATGTTTAATCATTTAAATCACAGATTACAGACAGTTAAGTCTGAATTCCCGATTTCATTCCGGATCATTTAAGCAGATTCACCCGATCAAGAATGCTGGTGGGAAGTACAGAGTACCAGTTTTTGACATTAAAATCTGAATTCTCAAATTCATTTCAGAATTATATGATATAACATAAGAACTGCATGTATATGTCATATGAGCAGATTCACCCTACCATGTCACTACTGTTTATCTCACTGTTGCCATGGTAACAATCAACTTTCAATTATTGTTTCTTATTCTGGATATGTAACAGTTCACAAAACAATGCCCATAGAGTGTTGTTCAGCATTTCTAATGCAGCTTAATATAAGCATATACATGTATCTCTGTCTGTTTGCCTGTCTGTCTGGATCACTGAGATTTAGTAACTATAAGAACAGCTGATGGAACAAGACCTGTAAAATATAAGAAAAATATATGTGACATATGTAATGCAAAACCTTAACCAGGATTTTGCAAGTTATTAAAAGGGCAGTTACAATCCATGCAACAGTTATCTTGAAACATGATTAAATATTGAAGTGCAAAGTATAAGTTGAACACAGCACTTTAGAAAGTGTTATGCCAATGATAATGCAAGATTAAGTAACATAGCCAAACAATTCTTTGATTGTCACTTATATGTCAAACACCGAAATCGACCAGCATTTTTATGCCTTTATATTTATAATCTAAGGTAGTTTCTTTATATGTTTCTTCTGAATTTAGTGCATTTTTTTTTATTTAAATGGGTTAGGGTCTTGCCTTTTCATTTTCATCATGCTTGAAAAATAATGAGTTAAAATAAATTATTTATTAACATTAAATAATTTTGAACTTAATGACTCGTTGTCACATTGTCCAATCAAAGAACGGTATAATTGTTAAAGTTAACAACAACAGAAGAATATTCTATCCTTTAAATAAAACAAAACCCAGCATATTAAATTAATAAATGATAACTAACATTGTACATACCTAATTCTGTAAGAGGTTTTTCATAGTCTTCTCCAGCAAATACTTTTCTAGGGAATGATGTCATTAAAGAGAAATTTCCTTTACTATCAGTTCTATTCATTTCTATATATAATCGAACTGCAGCTAATGGTTCCTTGGCTTTAAATGTTTGAGTCAGTGCTTGACCATTTGTTAACCTTATCTGAAATTATAGTACATGTATTAATTATTTTTTGAAATAATTATTGAGAAATAAATGTTTAATAATATAGAACGTCTTTACAAATATTCATGGTATGCCAAAAATGTTAGTAAACAAAAGCTGTCTGTGAGACAGCACACTTGACTAAAGGTAAAAATATCACTGAAAATTATTTTATGCACTTAGAGGGAAGAAAGTTAAAAATGTTCAAATAAAACCAGGAATTTAATCAAAACTGATGAATAGACAATTAAATGAAGGAACATAAAACAATTTACAAAACATTGATGTTATAGTCATGAATTTATCTTAAATCTCACGACAGCTGTAAACAAAACAGGTACAGTTCAAAATTTGTCTTTCCAAACTGTGATTATTTTCCTGTTTTTTGAAAAAAATCACATCATCAAACAGGAAAAAATATCCAATGTCTTTCAATGGGACATAAATTGTTTCAAAAACATCGGGAAGTTCAACAGTGTTATTCTTAATGGCAAAAAGACGTAATGTTGAAAATAACAGACTTTTAACCAATACACACTATGAGATTCAATTGTTTCCTTTATTACCAATATCACGAGAGGACAATTACCTGTAACCGTGTTTCTGTGTAATCTTTCTTCTCTGCCGGTGCCGATGCTGCAGGTGGTGTGGGTGATGTACTAGCTTGAGGTGTGGAAGTTGATGCTGGTGTGGATTCCTGATTCTGCTTCGCAAACTGTTAAATGTCAAACATACTGGTAAATATATAGTCTGCATCCATTTCAACTTAAACCTTAATTTGCTGGGAGAGTGGATTGAACTGAATTCACCCTTGTGATCAGTGCAGACCAAGATCAGTTAGCACATCTAAGCAGTTTGATCATGGTTTGCACTGTTTGCTATTCAGTTAGTATATATGAATATGATACCTAAAATGATAAATGGTTTTTGCCCAGATTAAAAGATGGACAAATCCATTGAAGATATTTAGCATAACAAGGGTTAAAATAACAATTTTAACTTCATTCCTTGTTCAAATGTAAACTGTTTTTAATAAGGTACAGATAACTGTCCAAAGTTTATAATAATTATGATTATCACTTAAAAATTAGATATGCTTTATATTGATCTAATGGTGTCTTTAGTAACAATTCATTATCACTAACATCAGAAATTATGAATTGATATAACTATAGATGTAGATACATTTTCTCTTATTTAAATCAGGCATTTGAAATTTCCTTCGTTTTTAGATAACCTTTCATGCAGAAATTCTACAACTCAGAAATATCCATGGTTCTTAATCATGCTTTATGGAAACAATTACCACACAGAACTTTGGTTTTATGTCACACCCAACAGTAACTTTTAGATGGTGTAGCAGGGGCTGAAAATCACACATTCATGCTATTGTGGTCAAAAAAGGAACCACTGAAAAAGGCTTGTTTTTACTAGATTTGCATTAATGACAGGTATTTAAAGCTTATATAGCTCAGGGTTTTCATTTTTATCTGACGCATCAGATGTGCCAACAAAACAGCTGATTTTAACAGATGATATGGATAGCCAATCTGTTAATAATACACACCCTGTAGCTACATTGTACACTGAATAAGGGGTGTCATGTTTATGCGTTGAAACGATTACGGTTGGTTTTTAGCAAAAAAAAACAACGGTTAGAAAATTCAGTTACCGGTAACCGAGGTAAGTATTTGATTACAGGGGCGAAAAAGTTTTAAATTGATTCAAAATATTATTTAGTTTTTATAACAAAATATGACAATTGTTTGTATTTTAGTTGTACTCAACAATGTATCTATTTTCGGATCTGATCGAATACGATACGACCTTTCACGGAAAATAGATACTCCATATTCTGATATGTATTGTAATCATTTTGAGTACAACAATATATGTACAAAATGGCATATTCTGTCATAAAGAAACAAACTCGATTTTGAAAATCTAAGGATTTTATTAGTACGGTCGGTTAAACGTTTAGCACGGTTATTACGTCGCCGTTTTAACGGTGAACATTTTTTCTAAACGTGACACCACTACATTTAATGATACAGTTAAATGATATATATCAAAATATATCACCTTTGCAGCTCTTTCTCTCTTATCTTTCTCTATCTGTTCTTTTACTTTTTGTCTGAAAAAAAGAAAAAAATCATTTTTTTTTTGCTTAAAATTAGTTATAGCTAGAAAACCATAAGCTTCACATATTTCTATCAATAACTAAAATAGTTACATAGTTGTATGTGCTCTTTTCTTTTTTTTTAAAGACAAAATGGTAAAGTTTTCTTAAACAATAAAGTGTAAATGGTTATGATTGTATGTATAAGATATTAAGAATTGTTATTACTACTTAAGATATAGTATAAAGAACTGAGGGACTTCTCGTATCATAGTAACCTATCAGTAAACCTACAAACATTAAAAAAAAACTCAAAGCCAAGGTTTGTCAAATTTTGGGTGTGATCGGCAGGTCCCTATAATGGTATGATGCCCTTAGTGGTGGGTACCATTTCAATTTATCACATTAATGTATTAAACTAAAATAGAAAGGGTTGTACAGGAAAATATTTATATTACTAATAAACAACATTATAAGTATATGAACCATTTATTAACCGAGAATTTAGCCTTACCTTTATGACCTTGACCTTTATCAATGAGAATGATAAAGATAAGTGTCACTTACCTTGCCATTTTCTCCTCCATTTTGTCTCTTCTTCTTTGTTCAGCTATTTTCTTCATTTCTATTTCTGCTAACCTGAATATTTATAAAATAATTAATAAACATAGCAATTTAAAGCATTTTATCAGACATGTTTTACACGGAGAAGCAAATTTCCTTTCATTAAAGGACATCTTAACAATTATCAAGCTAAATTTGTATAATGAATTGTCTTGCTCTAAATTTGAAACTGTGCATTACCAATGCATGGGACTTCAACAACAATATTATTTTAAGCTGCCAACAGTATATACAGCTTTGCCAGTCTAGCCTGATAATATACAGACAGCTATGGCAAGCCATATTGCTGTGACACTATAATAAGTTTTATTGGATAAAATTTCAATTGTATAACAGTGTGTAAAATCATGTTAACTATTACCCTAACAGGTCCAGCAGATTGTATATAAGTTCTTATTTTAAAATTAGGTTCAGTTCCATTTTGTCAGTCTTTCACAAACTACAAATTAACCAGTTATCATTCTTACAAGTATTTCATGCTTTTTATTATCTCCTTTCTAAAATTATGACGGCCATTTCTGACTTACATTTACAGAAATATTTCATTCAAATTTCAAGAACATTAAAAGACTATAATAACATGCAATAAAATTGACATGAAATATTTACTTTTCTTTTGACGCTACAACATCTTTTCCAAATGTTCTACGCTGTTTTTCTCGCTGTATAGCTTCTTTTCTTTCTTCTGCCTCTCTTTCTAATCGCTTCTGTTTCAACTTTTCTTGAAGCCTGCAATCAAACAAAAGATGGATGAAGACTAGAGTCTACAACTTTATTCTTTAACCCTAAGTTTGTAATCAACTTATCTATTTTGTCGGAATTTAACTGATTTCAGTTACAAATTAAAAAAACTCTTAGTAGTGGCTGGCCTGGCACTAAACAAGTGGCCTACATGTATGTCTGCCAATATTGTCATTAGCAATGAAACAGTTGAAATATATTCAGCCCTCATAGCTCAATCGGTTAGAGCTTGTAGTCTCAACATTGTGGGTTCAAATCTGTGGCTGTCCAACTAACATTACTAATCAGTCTTTTGGTTGATACTTTAAATTAAGGTCCCTTGTACCAGTGCTTGAACACTTAAGAAACAGGAGAAACTTCTGAAATTGGGGTATCTTTCTGTATCTGAATCAAGGACTATCCACCAAAATCTAACATCACTAATTCTCTTCTGGAGGACTTCCTGATATGGGCAATCGGTAGGGAGCATAAATAAACTCAAATACACAAACACAAATTGATATAACATATAGATAAAGCTTCAAAATTTTGAAATCCTGTTATGGAAATTTTTTCTTCATGGTATGTCCATTATAATATTTTCAGCTATGTTTTTTTTCATTACTGATAAAGTGCAGGGTTTGTTTGTTTTTGTTGTTTTTTTTAAGATTGTACATTTAACAAAGTAATAATTTCACAGAAAACTATTGACCTGCTTAATTTAATAATGTCAATGATAATTGAATTAAGACCCTGGAAAAGAATGCTTACTTTCTAAGTTGTTCTTGTTTCTCCTCCTGTGATAATGGTTTAACCTCATCAACTGACTCTGAGAAACTTGCATGCTGTGTTTTAGCTGCATGAAACTGTACTGCATCTTCATCTTTCAATAACTTACCACATCTGAAATATAATTTATTATAAACTAGTAATGTATTGTATATCTGTTTATCTAACGATATATTGCATCTGATATAAACCATACATTAATGTGCTATATTTACATAATATGACAAAACCATAAAAAATTTGTGAAATATACTTCTTGTATTACATGAACACCTGACAGAAATGAAAATAATATTGTATATAGGAGTATGAAACCCTGGAGAATCAATTATGATATTGCTGTACATATTTTGTTATGATCTTATGTTACTGGAACTAATTTTACAATATTATATTATATTAAAATATGAGCTTGGAAAATTTAAGGTGATGAGTGTGCCCTCCCCCTCACCTTTAAATCGCACCAGATCTGAGAAGCCCAAACATGCACTCTGCACAGTGTATTGTTTTGGTTAACATTTCTATCAATTATAATTTTCTTATGTCAGTTCAAGGAAACAGAGCAGACACAATTTGAAAATGGCGGAAGGACCACCGAGGACAGACCCATATTGTTTGAAGTTCCTTCAGGGATATAAAGCGTAGTTACCAAGAGTCTGACAGAACCAAAAACACCCTTCTTTATGACAGAGATATGCATGTTTAAACAATTATTGATTTGAGCAGTCAAGGAAAGCCTGACACAAACTTACTCATCACATTTAAAAGACTTTGCTTCTAGAGGTGGTTGTGTTTCATTATCTCCCCCTGCTGTACCATCAGCCTCTACTACTTCTGGTTTTGGTTCTGTAGAGGCACTGTCCATGGCTTCAGGCTCCGGTTCTGTGGAGGTACTGCCCAGTGTGTGACCTTGAGGTTCTGCCATGGGAACATCTATATCTGCATCCTCTTCATGAGCAAACAACCTGAATATCATGTTGTGTGAATTTGTAAAAATTTGTAAGAACCCTGTCTTAATTAAGCTAAGCTAAGGTACATGAATGTGAAATGCAATCTTTACATTTGTAAATGTTTAAATCAATTTTGAATTTTTTCTAAGCTATATTGACAATATAGAATATCAATATCCATAGTGAAACATGTACATACAGTACTCATAATATGCAACAAATAATGAATTAAGATACAATTTTTGAATTACTGTTTGACTTGTATTACAACTGATACTAAATAGAAAGTATTCTGCATAAACTAGATAATAGATTTAAAGATTTTTGCAAATCAGCTGTAATAATTAGCGAGCAACACAAATTATAAAAACCATGATTTAGATTCTTCTTGTCCTAGTTTGAAGATGAAAAATGAAAAAAAAGGGATTTTGAAAAATGTTAGCCAATTTACAAAAAAAAGTACAATTTATATCTGTCAAAAAGAAAACCAAAAACAACAACACTTTTCTACACCAAACAATTCTGGGCATTACTAGATACAATATAGCAATGCACTGGCGATTCATTACGGTTCTTCTAGTCACTGTGGTAGGAATATTTTAGAACAGAAAATTGTGTTCTAGATTTGCATGGACTAATAACTAAAAGTCTGACATGATTTAGTTTAAATTCACTATGTAAGCACCACTTAAAATATATATAAATAGTTTAATCATACAGATATAGTAGCACATACCATTCCATAGCCTGCTGTACACCTTGAAACTGTGTCTTTGCAAGAGCCTTTTCTCTGTAACAAATTAACAATTGAAATAAAGCATAGAGTACTATTTCATGAATGATAAGGTGTTAAATTCATTACCTTCAATGTGAGACAGTAAGGTTGTGAGGTGGTGATTAAGGGTCATAAAGGTTTAATGATAAATTAATCTACTCCATTCATTTGTTTCAATACAAGTAGCAATTGAAGTGGTTAAAGATATGTTCTGGTATGTCATGTCACAAATTAATAACTGAAATAAATCACAAATAAGTAAACACAATTAATAAGCAATCACATTTTCCCTTTTTTATACTAAGGGTGCCATGAAGTGCACAATACGTTGAGGGCTTACATAGGTTAAAAAGGCTAACATTTTGATTTGTCTGTTTTGGGTTTGATCTTTCTCTAGATGAATGCAAACAAGTCGGATCAGCCTCAAAATAAGTCAAATCGGCCTCAATACATCTTTAAAAAGTAAAATTGCCCCCAAAATTAGTCAAGTTAAATCGGCCCTAGAATTACTTTTGTGAAACATTTTACTTTGGATTAAATTGGATTCAAGAAGGTTATTAACTGATAATTGCACTTAAACATAAACATAACTTAAGTCATTATGAAATAACAGCTTGATGCTAGTGATTCTTGTTATGAATGTTATTAAGCATGTGTTATTTTTGTTGATTCATTCCTAACTTCACTTACAATTAAATTTTTTTCATTCATATAATTGTCTGTCTGCATTTTGAAGTAAAATAATTTTGTGAGAAACAAACAATTATCCTGTGTCTTTTATCAATTCATGCATTGAATACAGAGATTTTAACATTTTTTTTGTGAATTGGATGCATTCTATTTAGGGCTGCAACAATACACAAAAAGTTTGATTTGATTCAATTTCCATTTCAGACACCAAGATTCCATTTTTTTCGATTTGATACATTCGTGATTACTCTTTAGTTGAAAATTCTGCTTATTTTCTGTAAAAGTCAGTGGCCCCTTGACAATTTTTTTAAAATTATTATTATATTTATTATCTTTATTTTTTTAGTTGTCTCAACTTATTTTATCCCTAACTTATTATTAGTAGTACATAGTACTGGACCATGTTTATAGGCAAATATCTATACCGACAAGAAGTCAGTCTCGGTTTCTCACCGTCAAGAACTCGGCCATCTTCGTATCATTGATATTACATTACATATTACATACCGACAAGAAATGTGTTCATGTCTACCGACAAGAAACGTGTTCATGTCTAGACTACCGACAAGAAATGTGTTCATGTCTACCAACAAGAAATGTGTTCATGTCTACCGACAAGAAATGTGTTAATGTCTACCTACAAGAAATGTGTTCATGTCTAACGACAAGAAATATGTTCATGTCTAACGACAAGAAATGTGTTCATGTCTAACGACAAGAAATTTGTTCATGTCTACCTACAAAAATATCATCATGTATTTCTTCATGTTTTCGAAGATTCAATTCAATTTTTTTATTAGCATATATACATATAACATATTCAGGGCAATAAAAATATTTTTTCAAGAACAAATTTAAAATTTGATTGCTCAAAACAAAATTGAGTGATATTACTCAATTAAAGCTTGTGTGCGTGTGTTTCTCACTCAGTTAGCTTTGAGCGATTTAACTTAATCAAAGTTGTGAAAAACTTTAAAGGTGTATTGCCCTTGTTCATAGTAAACGCTTGAGGTGAAAAGGTGCTAAAACAATTTCGAAATGAAAAGCTGCGAAAGAAAGAGATAATTCATGCAATTTCAATTCAATATCTTTATTGCCGGGCTGGCCAACTATCCTTCAAAATATAAAATGACTAACACTCTTCTGGAGGACTGCCCATATGGGCAACCAGTGGTGTGTATAAATACATGTATTTGCTATTTTAGTGCAATCAATATTATGAATTGTGATCAACTGTATTTTTGTTGTTGCTTTATAAAGATTTATATTTGATTATTTTAGATAATTTGAAAAATCACAGATATTGTAGAAAACATTGTACGTCAAGAAGACATGTCTTCTTGTTAATTATAATGTAAATAAGAAATAGTATAAATCAGATTGTAGAATGTTTTGATGTTCTTTCTCTTTTGTATCATACATGTCATAGGGGAAAATAATAACACATTCCCTGTTGTCACAATATGAAACCCCAGAAAAAAGTGACCAATGAACGAGCATCTGAATATGATATTTCTATCGCTATCCCTTTCTCTGTCTTCTGCGATATTTGTTTTCTGAGAAAATTTGGTGACAGATTTATATTACTTTGTCATTTATTTATAATAATATACATAATAGTTTTACACAGACAATTCAAAATAAACTATAAATAAAAAAAAAAAAATATTTTTTTTTAAACAATTTATATAAAAAATAGAGTCCATGAAAAGAAAGAAACTTTACAGTCAACTGATGGCAAACTTGTCATCCCTAAAACAGCTACAATAGCTAAGAAACCAGGACAGAAAAGGAGGGTTAAGGATTCAAAAACTTTATCCTTCCCAAAAAGGGCTTGATTCGAATAAAAAAAAATAGCTATACATGTAAGTAAGTATATATTTTTAAACTTCACTGCAAAAACAACCGCTCAAAGATTAGAGCATCTGAGCATGTCAACCATGACTGTCAAGCTCAGCTGGACGCTTACCCATCGATTCGTGAAATCCGATTCACCCTGTGTAGTCATCAAAATATAGGTGCTCACCCCACTAAATGTTCACATGGTTATTTTCAGTCCAATCTGATCAATATATGTTTCAAAGTCTTAAGTAAATTCTTAAAAGCATAATGAATATTTTTTTGGCTTAAGTGTAAGTGTGTTTGATAATTTAAAACATCAATCTGGGCTTTTTTTCACAGGTTGGGGAAGCAGCCCAGCCCTTAATTTTGGGGAAAAATTACACTGTATATTTGCAAAAGTGGAAGAAAAAACTTGATGTAAATTTAATTTTTGGGGAAAACTGCATGATTTTAAAGAAATTTTCTTTGGGGAAGCAGCCCTAAACCGGCCCCTGTTAAAGAAGGTAAAAAGGCCCTGTCAATATCGATTATTTTAAAGTAATTAGGTCACCAGCTAATTAGGGTAAGGTCATTTACACCTGTTCAATTACGCATTTTGATTGGATAGAATTGTCAAATCGAGTGTCTAATAAAACTTGTGTACTTTTCGGATAGTGTATGTCCTTGCAGAAGTATTTATACCAGACAATTATTTAGGTCACGAATCGATGAGAAGGCACGAATCGATGAGAATAAGGCATATGTAAATAATAAATCTTTCTTGTCGGTGTTAACGTTACAGTAACAGTACTCGTTGCACTCGAATTTTTCTTGTTGGTACACATACAAAAAAAAAAAACACAGAAAAAAATTATCAAAAACTTATCACATATGAAAAATATATATGCCCTGCATGTTTAACAATCATAAAAACACATTTGTATGTGTTTATTTGCAATATATAGGCTCTTGTCGGTAATTAGGCAGACCCGACCTGAGCTAATTTGACTCTTTTGGGGACTTTTCGCAGTGGGCCGATCTGCCATGGGGCCCATTTGACTGTAATTCAACTGTAATTCGGATGAATTATACCCGTACACAGTTCACCCAGAACAGCCAGGGGAAGAATTGGTAAGGTGGGGAATATTCAGACTACCACTTATACATTTCAAATGATGAATTATTGCGATTGTAAGCACCTTATTGAAAGCTGACACCGAAACTTGTATTAACTTGCAATTAAAGGTAAAAGATTTAGACATGTTAGATGTGTATCTAAAATTCTACACAGTGAATGATATGACGAAAACCAAAATTATTCGCCGGTAGACCTTATTTTATCAATAATTGAATGAGTAAACTGTATAAAATTGAAAAACATATTTACGCTCTATTTTGGGGAAACCCCATTTCCAGCAATGAGTTTATCATCTGTTCTGACATACTGATATAGAAGGAAATTTTGTTTCGTTTTGCTTCAGTTTCTCTGGAAGTAAACTTTGAAGAGTATTCAATTCTTATAATAACTCAACTCGTTATTTATGATCTCAACTTATTGTAATTGCCACAAAGAGAGTTGTAAAGCGTAAAGTGGTTTGCTTTTACTGAGGTTATTACGCAAAATAAGTGTCGTGTATGAAGACAAAGCAAATATGACAAGCTATCATGTGGAAAATATAAATTAAAGAGTTTTTCTGATTTTTTAAGTATCCAGGATATAGGGCCTATTCCTTTTAAAAAAATATTGAAGAGATTTTTAAACGAAATTTTCAGCTAATCCAATAGATATATACTGAAAGTCGTTATAGTTCACTGAAAGTGTTGGGGGTACATTCAAGCACGGACTTTAATATAAATCCGTGATTCAAGTGAAAAGTGGATTAACTGAAACACATGACGACACTGACAATATGCAAAAAGATTCAGATCTACTAAATAAATGGAGTAAAAATTGATTGTTAAAGTTTAATACTGACAAATGCTTTAAACAGAATTTCCATTGAAAATAAAAACCAAGAAAGAGACTCGGGTATTCAGTTTAAGACTGACGAACACAATAATAACTATAAAATAATGCAAATAGCAAAGTTGCATTGATACAAAAATTATTTTTACATGTTACTCCAAAACAGTTTCGGAAATTACACGGAACTTTAATTAGACCTAATTTGGAATATAACAATGTGGTTTTGACACCAAGGTTTAAAGGGGTATTTGAATCTTTAGAAAGAGTGCAAAAACGAGCATTCTAACACGCTTCACCAACCAGATAGGGCAATCAAGTGCATTTTTACACGACATATGCACAGCATTAAAAAAAGATGCTTACACGTCTAATATATGACGCCAGATATGATGTCAATAAACCAAATGACGTCAGGAAAATTACTTCTACAGTACGCTCAATGTAGTTCAACATATTTTTTATCAATTCTCTTTTTCATTAATTGCTTCTTTAGTTGCAACCTTCAGTTCGCATAAATATAATTTTTAAGATAATTTCAAAATCTTGTATAGAACTGTGCACACGTATTGGATTTTTCCAAACTATATAAATCATATAATAACCTGATTAACTTTTCTTAATTTTTTAAGGCCCTAACTGGGTTACCCACTTTATTCACTTCGTCATAGGTATAAAGGTATCTGGGTCATCTCAATCATACCTACATCAATTGTATATAGAAGTTTAATCATAATGTACATAAATCAATCATAGATGTATAACATTAGCTTTATTTAGTTTACAAATTAACCATGTTAACGAACTATCTATTAATGTGTTCATAATTGTCAAATGCATAGGAATACCTTCGTCCTTCCGAGCATTATTTTAGGCACAAACCGACACCTGGGTATAGAACCATTGACACACGAAACAATCAAAAGTCCCTGTCTGGATTCGAACCCATAGCGGTGAGCAAACAGAAATACTTGAAGAATTATATAATATATATATTATACACTTATATATAATGTGAAATAAAGGCCCACGAAGGAGCAAATGTTTGTTTGTCTAGATATTCTGCCTAACAGGAATAATATAAAGCTATATATAAGTTATTGAAATTGTCAAATCAAAGAAAAATAATAGCACACCATCACACAATGCATGCATTAAAATCCACCCATAAAAAGTCACCCTTTTATCATATGTTTCACTTTTTATGTGCTATATATGTTTGATCTGTATTGACATTTGTCTACTTTGACTCGTAAACATACGAGTAATATTACCTGTATTATCTTTAAAATGATCGGTTCTATATCGATTAACAAATGAGTTTAAGAAAGTTGACTATCGGTTTCCATGGTTACATTGAACTTTGTATCTGATTGCAAGATGAAGTACAGTGCTTAAGGGAACGTTAATTTATCAATAACATGGTTTATATATAAAAAAAAACAACATTTACTTCATTTGTATTCCTACAGCAAACAATGCAATGTGGTCACATAATAGTGTGAGAATCCATGTACATGTAGTAGAATTTCTTGTTTAAGTAACAATGCCTCAAATGATGATTTTTTTTATATAATGCACTTTACTACATAGGACCTAATGTAACTTTAGACTGTATCTTTATTCATTTATGGAAAAGAGTGATTAAAGAAGAAACAATTACACCATCTTCCGAGTATAACCCATTTATTTTGTTTTAGTTTCATTTTATTTATTGTTATTTTTTTATATAAAATATATGATGTGGGTTTATTTCAGGATAACAAGCCTTTCCGTACTTAGAGGTAGGTAATTGTTATTTTATGTATGACATGTAATTAGACAATTTTCAGTTATACAAAATTCAATTTTGCGACAGTACTAGTAAATGAAAATGTTATTGCGGAAAATATCGTCGAAGGGCTTTGAATGTTCTTAAAGGTTTAAAATATATATTTCGATACCACCCAGAAACTGCATTATGTTTTGAAATGCCATAAATATCACTATAATTATATAGAATTTAAAACAGATCAGCTTCACTTATTCCACATCACTGCATAGAAACGACAATTTATTAAGGTTGTCACTTCGTGGTGTTTTTGTTCTGCTTTCATTTTTACAAGCTTCTTTAAAAAAAAAAGTTCTGTTTAAATCTGGAGATGCACGATGTATTAGTGAGAGTGTGCAATCCTACTTTCAGTTTGAAAAAGAAAAGCAAAAACATATTTATTATTGTGTTGTCATAATGATACGTATATTTTCCCACAGTACGGTTTCAGTCTGCTAACTAAGCATTTAGACACTGCTATCTGGTCTATATGACTTCCGGCTATTATTGCACGAGTAAATTGTTAAGCATCTTTCATAAGAAAATCCTGGATGCTAGATCTGATGTATATATTTATTGTATTCTGACAAGACTTCAAATGCTATGGTGTGAATATATTGTATGGACTCTGGATGGATTCCGGATGTTCTTGTATGCATATAAAGATTGCATCACAATTTCTAAAGAGGATTAAATTGCTATTCTGTGAAACTATTGCATCGCAATACTCTGAAAGGACTTTGGATGCTATTGAGTGGACCTGAAAGGACATCGGATGCTATTGCGTAAAGATATTGCATTTCGATATTAAGGAAGGACTTCGGATGATATTGCGTTAAAATATTGCATCGCGATACTAAGAAAGGACTTCGGATGCTATAGCGTGAAGATATTGCATCTCGATACTAAGAAAGGACTTCGCGGATGCTATTGCGTGAAAATATTGCATTGCGATACAAAGAAAGAACTTCGGATGCTATTGCGTGAAGATATTGAATCGCGATACTAAGAAAGGACTTCGGATGCTATTGCGTGAAAATATTGAATCGCGATACTAAGAAAGGACTTCGGATGCTATTGCGTGAAGATATTGAATCGCGATACTAAGAAAGGACTTTGGATGCTATTGCATGAAAATATTGAATCACAATACTATGAAAGGACCTAGGATGATTTTGCATGAACATGATTATTGCTTCGCAGTTCGTGGATGAGAATTCGGGTGCTATTGTGTAAACATATTGGATGCTATTGCGTGAACATATTGCATCTTAAAGCTGCACGCCTCCAGATGAACCAAAATATTTCAAGAAAATCATACTTGAAAACAGTACTGAGATTTTAAGAAAAGTAAAAAGATTCAAGATTAAAGCAATAATTTCTATGTTATGTGCGATTTATGACCAATTTTGCAGTATTTTTCACCATATTTCTAGTGCGTTAGTAACGCAGTGGCTATTTTTGCATATTTTGACATCTTTTTGTTGATTTATATATGCATGGGCTGTAAGTGCTGTTTGCAATGTGAAAATTATTATCTTCGTTAACTTCACAATATTCTACTTTTTTATGCATTTTCTCAATTTTCATGAAAATAAAGATGAATCTGGAGGCGTTCTGCCTTAATACACTGAAAGGGATTCAAGTGTCATTGCGTGAAGATACATACATATATTGCGTTGCAATACTCCGGAGGGATTCCGGATACTATTGCGTTGAAATAATTCATCTCAACACTCTTGTTGGACTTCCAGATGCTGCATAAATATATTGTATACTGAAACTGTTTAGACTTCCTACATACATGTATATCACCTTTTCAATCTTTCCTGCAAGTAATTTATTATATATTCCTTTAAAATAAAACAGTAAATATTTCAATAACGAGATCGGTTTTGTTAGAACTAAATTAAAAAGAAAGTATGTATATTTGATGCATGCGTTTATTTTGATCTCTACATATTGTTTATTAGCTTTTAATGTCGCGATAATGCTAGATTAATTCATTGATTTATTTTAGCATCGCTTTAATTTCGCCCGCTACTATTAGAATTACAATCTTTTTTTATATAAAAGCCCGTATGTATTATTCGATCCCACAGGGAGAGGCAATAATCAGAGTAATTAAGAACATGTTCTGGATGAAGGATTCAAATAGCAAGCACGGTGCGAATGCAAACATTTACATTTATTGTCAGTGTAAATATAATAAAACGCTCTAATCTGATGTGACAACGTCATCAAACGATCGAATGTTTGAAGATTAATGGATTCTTTACACTCTGAAAAAGAATTGTATCTGCATTTAAAAAAAAGCATGCGAGAGGACTTTTTTTGCAGCTGTGGAAGATTTGTTTAATTGTTCAAATGACGAGAAAGTAAGAATTTCAAATTGATCGACTTGCATCTGCGAAGGATAGCATCATATTATTTCGGTCAGTCTCTCTGAGCCGAGGGGAGTGGCCCTACAAAGAAGGCAGGGACGACTAGCAAAATGTGCTAGGGTGCGTAGGACCCTAGCACAGAGAGTGACAGCTTCAAAAACAGGCCATTTGCTTGGCGCCAAAAGTCCTTTTCAGTGCTACCTTCTTTTCATATTGTCTCAACATTCAGCTTCTTATTGGCCGCGGCAGAGTGACCTTCTTTTGGCTCAAAATTCATATCTGGAAATTGCATGGAGGTAAATTATCACCACTTTGTACTTCAAAATTAACCCTTTAAGGGCATCACTGGTGACATGATCGGGGTACTCGACAGTGAAAGCCAATCTCCTACGCAGTGATCTCCCCTCATCAGTTCTGTAAAGGGAGGTAATCACTGTGAAGAGTTTGAGTGAAAGCTTGCATGGGCATAACGCCTTTTTATTTGTTTGGGTCGTCAGCCCAAACAAATAATGGTAGCGAAATTTCAGACTCTAAGGCTGTTAATTGCAATTGCCGAAAGTAGTCCGCTTTTTTTGAAGCGGTTACTTCCCTTTATATGTACACTAACGCCGAAAAATTCAGGGGAGATCACTGCGTAAAGATGGTCAAATGACAGGCGCATTAATTTTCAAGCAAAATAATTCCCGAATGGTCGAAGATTTATAATATTGTTTTATTCTTTATAGATATGCATGCTTATAGTAAGCTCCATGATTATTTACATCTGTGTTAAACAACAGTTAGCGTCGTTACAAACCCTAATTTAGAATAATATGATTTTCTTCAGGCCGTTAAGTGTACACCATGGCCGAGGGGTTTGCGCGCTCGCTTTGGAAGCGAGAGGTCTGGAGTTCAAATCCAAGTTAAGGCAATTCAATTTTTTTTTTCAAATTGTTTAAGTCAAATGAACATTGGATTGAATATCAGTGTTGCAATTAGTCTTATAGCCAATTTACTACAATTAAAACGCTGCAAAGCATTGGTGGCACTATACAAAAACAAATTGGTTTATAATCTCACAACCTTCACCTTTCTGACATTTTGAGACCCAAACAAATTCAGCGCCTTCTGTGCTTTGATTTTAGACTGGCTCTGCTAATTCTAGGCTTTAAATGAGATTCATTTACTTCTATTTGATACACAATAACGGATGCCGCCAGCAATCTGGATAGTCTCCAATAGATGATTATGGTAAATGGAATACAAATATATTATACGAATATTATTACTTTGTATACGGTTTTCAGGATATTGTTATCTGTCAACATCAATATTATATATTCATTGTATGTTACCAAATGCATACATTAATCGTTTCTGCTTCTGTGCCATTTATATACAAGGAATTTAATTCCAAGAATGTTCCCAAAAATAATTAGGTCGTTTAAGTCAATAGATTTTTCAGCACGTGCGCTAAATTTTCAATATTAAAATTATTATAATTACCTTTTAAGTGAATAAAACTATATCTCTACTGCCTGCGTTTTACAAAATTTTTGTTATGATTTTGAAAAAGAATAATTCTTAAACGCATGTTTGAAAGAAATATGGTGTTACATTTCCTTTTTTAGCGAATGCTGCATGCTATTAAACGGTAAAAAACTTACCTAAACTAGTAGCATAATATTAAGAAACACTTATTCTTCATGTACAGTTTTCATGTGTACTATACATGTATAGTATCAGAAACATGCAAAATCAAGACATTACGGTTTTTTTATAAAAAAATATTTCATTAGAATTTCATTAGATATAGGTTGATTATCTTAAATTAATCACCAGTTACCACCTACGGTATGAGAATCAATAAAAGTGATCATTTATATATCGATTGTTAGATTTATCTATGAAAATTTTGTATCAGTTACCATGGTTACACGTGCAATAATCACCTCCATTTGTGGCTGATTACAAGTACTTTCATTAAGATACGAGGAGAATTGTTCGCGCTTTCATATCGGTGTATCACTGAGTGATGAACTAATCGATCTGCAATTAAGCTCACCTTTCACCTTACGAAGACTGCAACAGAAAATTCAGAATTCCAAGAGCCAAACAAAACACGAGGGATTAGAAATACATGCTGTAAATGACATTTCCCAACTTAGTACCCTTCGTGTTGGTATGAATATTTAAACAGACAAATATATTTAACAATCGAATTTTTATTACCTCATTTGATCGAATGAAATGGTTCATTATTTTTTCATCCGTATGTAAAAGTGTTTAACCTTCTTTAATCCGCATACCTGACACGGTTATAACAGATCGTGGCAACTTTTTATTTTTAAAATTTAATTATTTGAACACATTTGCAGCACTGCATGGCCTATGGTACCAACAGCTAAGTTAACTCCCACATAAAGCTATATAGTATGTATTAAAGGATTTTAATATACTGAAAAATGAGGAACAATTCTACCGCAAAATCGAATAACAATAAACACTATAGATCTGTTTGATTTTATTATGGGTGTAGAATAATGTTACATTTGATGTGAAATAACTGAAACATGATATCGACTGCAAATGAATGTGCATAAATTATTTTCACCTGACGATAAGTGTTTTTGACAACGGAAAAAATAGACCTAATCTTATCGTGAGATCAAATAAGGAATTGATAGCTTATTAATGATCTTAAAATCTTCATTTTGCATTTTCTTTTGTTGAATGATAAGAAGAAAGTTGAATAAAACTGAGTGACATTTGATCCTTCTGCCATTCGAAAGAAATCATTTTGGGCATATAGTGCACTTGAAGTTTATATTAAAGATACATAAATAATCTTTTGTGCAAAAATAGTGCAAAATTAAAGCATTGTGAAAATGTATAACAGTCAGTGATCTGTACTTTAAAACACATGAATTATTTTAATGAAGAGACCCGGTGCATGTAGGTCTTACATACTTACATACTTCAATTTAGAATTTTTATGACTAAAGTTCCAAGCTTCATATAAATGAGATCTGTCGAGACTTTATATAGCAAATTAAACAATGTGATGCATTTTCTGTGCACTTACATTATACATAGACTTTGTAAATAAAAGAATACAACACATTAACATTTGTAGGCCGCAGTTTAAAAAAAACTGCACTATTGGACTAAATTCAATAAAACTGAAATCTTTCAACATAACTTATATTTTCATCCTGGTGGTATCAAACAGTAATTGTTTGACATTCCGTATCTAAGAATAACACATAAATTATGATACATGTACTCGAGTCTCATGGACCTAAAAATTGGTCATATGCCGTATGCGGACTTAGCTAATAGAAATATTGGCAAAATTGGCCCGACGTATTCCGGGAAGCGGTATTTACATGATAACTTTTTTAACAATGTATTATATATTGTACTAATTTCATTTCACCAGTGTTTGATATTTGGAAGAATTGGTCATTATTTGTCTATAGCGCACCACTCCCTGCAACCAATAGTGAATTGTTGTTCTGTAACTCTCTGAGAACCAGTTACTTGCAAACGCCGTGGCCAGAAGCATGTGTACATCGTGCTCGAACTCAGAACCGCACCGAGCGTACTTATCATAACAGCGCCGAACCGCACTGAATATCTTATCCCTGTCTATATACGCGGGTTTCTTTAGTAGAAATCTGGCAATTAGAAATGAAAGTTTGGCAATACTTTGAGGTGTATACCCGTACTCGTAATCTGGGTCAAAGTCACTGTTGATCTCAATTAATTCACTTCTTTTTTGTTGAAGCTCTTCTTTTGTTTTCCGATATTCTCGATCTAAAACGCGGTTTTTAGATTCAGATATCTGAAGATCTCGTTTCAGTGTTTTCACTTGATATTCCAGATTTGCTATTTTCGATATCAGTTCAGAAATGTCAGAAGAATTCAATGAATGGTTGAAGCGTATATTGCTCAACCTATGAGAGGCGTCGTTATCGTCATCGTCATCTCTGATAGAGTTTGCTATAGCTTCACATCTTATCTGATGGGCGGCGAGTTCGAATCTGCTAATGGTATTGCTGCAGCCAGCACATTCAACCGGCACGTAGCCACATGTCTCCAAATGACTCTTTAATCTGTCTAATTTAACAATGACTTTACACCCTCGATCATTAAAGTCACATTCAACATCAAAACCATTTATAAGATTACGGAGGGATAGAACGGGTTTCACGTGATCCATAGACACGTTACTGCGACACTCCGGACACGTGTCAGTGCTTGGTCGTCCTAGCCATGTAGTAATACAACGAGAACAAAACGTGTGCCCGCACGGTGTTAAAACTGCATCTTCAAGAACAGCACTGCATATTCCACAAATCAAATTAGGATCGATTGGTGCTATAAATCGCTGAAGACCGTAACCCATCTTGATACTCGAGATAATTGTCTAACAATTAAGTTCAAGTACAGTATATGTAATATGTAAGTAAGTGTTTGCACTGCTACACTAACCTGCTTAAATACAGCAAGAACCGTTGTTGAAAACTAAGCCCAAGTCGTTACCTGGATGTAAAGAGTTCGTAAATCGAGAAAACCTGTGTTTAAACAATTCCATTGATAGATAAATCTTGTTTGATCAGGGTTTTGTCGTAAATCCAGCACTCTCGTATACTTGACACTAATGATAACCTATGTGTTTTAACTAGATGTAAGTATCTATAATAGAATACTTTACAAACAGGTTATGAATTCCTAAAAAAGAAGGCACGTAATCCCTATGATTCTGTAAGTCAGTAAACACATGCAGGTAAGACCGTGTGAAAGTTTTTCCGATGCACGTTTCTCGATATATCAGTTCACCTGTGCGGCTCGAAAACAGCAGCAAAATACTCTCACGTGTAATCGTATAGGTACAGACACCGAGCTTCGTTAGATCCAATAAAACCGATATTATCTGTCTGTTTCTCATCTAAATATACTTCAACTATTTCTATCCATTTTCTTCTTTCATAAAGAAATTTGTTTTCTATATTTTCCTTTTTAATTAGAGTTAAACGTTCTTTTGTGGGAATATCGCCTACTTACTTCATAACAAAGTTTGAACTTTTAAATACCAAAATGTCACTTTTTATCCATTCTTCTTTTTTGTGTGAACTATTGTGATTATATTTTACAATGATTTTGTATTTCAAACACGTCCTTGATTGTTGTAGATCAGCTGATGATAAAGCAGACGGACGGTCCGACACGAAAAATGTCAATTTACTCGATTAGAATTCGAGCCTCACGAAATAGAAAATCACAAAAATCACTTACTGAGTGTTGTTTTACAATCTTTGGCACCCGATGTAATTGCTAATTTCTCATTTACGTGTGTCCTTGAGTAGCTAATATTTTTATTTGACTTAAGTAGTAAAAATACGGTATAATTTGAGTCAAATACTTTCACAATGTAGTGTTATTTCAAGGCATGAATTGTAATATAGAGTTTGTATTACTTTCATGTCAATTTAAACAACGGTGGGCTAATATTTATTCAAATGATTTAGAGGCAAATGTAAAGATTTAGTTACATACGATATTCCATAAATACTATCAAATAGGAAATTTCATTTACTTTATCGAACACATTTTTTTCTTCTAAAATTGATGACCTTTTTACAATTGTATAGATCCCTTGGTATTTCTCTTCAATTTAAAATATCATCAGAATTAATGTCCTATTTTAACATGCACTGACAAAATAAACCCCACAGTAAATCCATTCATTCCAGAATTAATCTCGTGTCATCGTAAGTCTATCTGTCACGAAAACAAAATTTCAAATATCCGTCTTGATGTTACAAAGTTATCAAAATTTGGTGAAAATCTGTCAATATGAAAACCAGACAATGTATATTTCAGGCACTTCCTGTAACAATATGGCGGGAACCTGTATCGTGTCTGGGTGGCTTGTGGATAATTGAGACAGAAGGTTCTGTTAATAATTAACGCAAGTCAACTCATTTACTTGTTATTCTCTCTTTAATTCCACGACGACACCTTCAAAGTGCCGTGCATCTCCACATCACGTGCATTTATAATTCATTGTTTCCAACTGTCTGTCTATTTCCCTTATTTCTTATGATAAGGAGCTTTAATTTTCACATCTATTACTGTTTTAACTGTTTATTTTATTGTGCAAGTTTGATATAACAGAAAATGTTTAAATAATCGGTATAAGTGTAAAGTTTAAAAAATATCTCTGAAACAATATTAGCTATTTAATATTCCATTTAAATCCTGGCAGTCGACAACATCATCAGTATTCTGTTTCATGTTGAACGCATCAATAACAATGTTTCTTCAATTCTCTAACGAGCATTTCTCGACTTACCATTAGCATTTATATTTCATCAATATTGCGTTTGTCACAGATGTTCCTTCATTTTTCCCGACGCGGATGAATATTTTTACACGTACGTATATATATCATTCCGCTAAATAAATCAGTACCAGCAATTAGGAACTTACCAGAGCAGTTCACAAGGATAAAATGTTGCAAAATACAAAATAATCAGACTATAGTTTGTACAGAGGCGATACTGAACCGTTCAATCAAATCGCTATCATTTTATTTCCAATATATCGATTACCCCACTGTCCTCTGTCTTTTTTTATAACTGAATGAAGACATGTCCCACTATCTTACCAAGTTTATCACTATTTTATGGACATAAAGGGACATTTAGTTATTTACATAGCATCGTGAAACAATATAACCTCGAACTGACTAAATTGAGCCGTATTAGAACAATTTATTTTATGCTATAAATATATTTGATTAATACGATGTCCGAATGTCCAGGGGCAGGTCATATTGATCCTGAATAATCTTCTTAATATGGATTTTTGCATCGAAAACATTTCAATTATTCTCATTTCAATCATTTAAACATGATATTAGTAGTATTATCTTAATTAGGTTTTGGGTATCTTTAGTCGAATGATGTTTCAGTAATTAAAAAAGAATTGCATCCAGTTACGGATAATTTGACAATAACGATTACTAGTAAGCCGATCTAGTATCTTTTGACAATAAAGTTCTACCTGGAACTGTTACACATTTTACAACGCATAAAATTGTATTTGCTAAAGGAAGCGTAAGTATTTTCGTGTAATTTGCCGCTAACAGAGTATTTAATATTGAAAGCATATTTCAAGCTTTCTTTGTACATTGTAACAGTTTACGTTGCAATTCATTTGGTTGATAGGATTTGACAATGCAATAGAATAAAACGGGTTTTTAGAATGTCACCAAGACTGGCAGTAGCATTGACTCTCGTTTCTTTTTTCTTTAAAAAAATCAAATAACTTTTCGAAATTAAAACAGTACGTAGTATTGTGTGCTACTTAGTTAGTAATACTTTATTATCTGCCACATTGCAAAACGTGAAACATCACACAGACCAGGGCGACGTATTTTTGTTTATTTATTTTTGAGTATACTTTATTTGAAAACGTCTCTTGTTCTATGAATATCTACCGTGGTAGCTTAAAAGTAAATCAAATCCATGGACATTGCATATAAAAAGACGTAACAGACAAATGCGCGTTGCCTATCTGTTAGCCTCTATTGATCGTAACTGCAGACTTGTAACATCTAATTGAAGCAGGTGGTCCTAGCGTTTCCTACGCTGATTTCCTAAACTAATTACAGTATCAAGAGACAGTAAAGCCATAACGAATATATGATCATCAATAATTTCTCGGTATAATTAACACTGTATTAGTCAAACTGATAAGGTCGATTTCTGATGGACTTCTCAGCTTTGAAGCGATCGGAACATTTCTCAAGAAAAGTTTGTAATATATTTGCCTAATTATAATGTTCATTTGTATATTAATGTCGAAGGTCTATCTTGGTCAATTCATATTCTGTCAAGTGTCATACCCAATAGGGATCCTGTGAAAAGGGTGCTCTATTCGTAGTTGCCGTATAGAGTTCCCTAGGGATCTCTTTGCGAATAGTGCTCCAAAATTTGATTAGGTGCTATATTTGGAGTAATCGTTGCATTTTGTCGGTAGAAATCCTCAATTACCTAAGGTACAAGAGCTGTCAGAAGGACAGCGCGCTCGACTTTTTTAGTGCTTGCCTATAAAACAAAACTTTGACAGTTAAGGGCACACAAGACTTTAACTAGGAATTTCTAAGTACAAATCAAGAAACATTTTCACAGAGTTATCTTCTCTTGCTTACAGATAGGTCTCATGATGGCACATAAGAACTCCAACTTCCAAAGTAATATCTCAAATGGTTAAGTCAACAAGTGGACAAGAATGAAAATCTTAACTGAGTTTTCTAAGTCAAAAAGGGCCATAATTCAAATAAAATCCTTAACAGAATTACCTTCTCCTGCCCATGTTTTGGGACCATGATGGTAAACAAGTATTCCAACTTTCAAATTAATATCTCAAACAGTTCAGTCAAAAAGTGGACTGGTACTAAAAACTTAACCAAGATTCTAAGTCGATAAAAGGCCTTAATTTTTAAAACAAATCCTTGACAGAGTTACCTTCTCTTGCGTACAGATGGGGGTAATGATGTGAAATAGCATTAAAAGTTTCAAAGCAATATCTCAAAGGGTTAAGGCAATAAGTGGATTTTACCCATATTCAATGTATTTTCTAAGTCAAAAAGGGGCATAATTCTGTCAAAAACCTTGACAGAGTTATGTCCTCTTGTCTGTTGATGAAGGTCGTGATGGTAAACAAGTATGGTCAGTTTCAAAGCAATACCTCCAATGGTTTTGAAATAAAGTGAGGTGGTACAAAAAACTTAACCAAGCTCAATACACTTTCTAAGTCAAAAAAGGGCCATAATTCTGTCAAAAACCTTGACAGAGTTATGTACTCTTGTCTGTAGATGGAGGTTATGATGGTGAACAAGTATGGTAAGTTTCAAAGCCATACTTGTAATACTTCTGAAATAAAGTGGGGTGGTACGAAAAACTTAACCAAGGTGTGACGCCAACGCTAACGCCGACGCCGACGCCGGGGCGAGTAGGATAGCTCCCCTTTTCATAGAAAAGTCGAGCTAAAAATGCAATATTCGGAAAATATAAACAAACGAATGATGACAAGAAATAGTTTGATAAAATGGTAATATTTGTTTAATTATCGTTTGTCTGCCCATTCCTTTGTTTACCTGGCTGTCTGTCTGTCCATCCATCTGTCTCTGTTGCAAAATTATGCCATTTTGCTGTTACTAATTCTGAGATTTTTTACAATTGTGACAATATGTGTTATTGCTTTTATTCGTTTAATTTATTTATTACTTTTGGGTCACCATGTTCGAGATAATAAAAGAACCATCTGACAATTGAGAAACATCACACGAGGAATTGTCTCTTTTTATTTTACTTATGCTTCTATCGTCAAAAACGGATTTCGTTGTCATCATTTATATGATTATAATTAACAAAATTTTGATAACGATATCTCTATTTGACGATGCGCATTCTTTTCGCCGTATAGTACACCCAAATTTATGGTGTGCAATTCACAAAGAGCTCCACAATTCGAAGGGATCTCGATAGGGCATGAGATATGCTCGACACATATTTCTACATACTTTAATCAATAAACTTACATAAACCTTAGCACAATTGAAGTGTTTACGGGTATTATATAGTATACGGTCTGGATATTCGGTCAGTTTTTAAACCATTTTACATCATCATCTATACTGATGCCGTTATCTATTTCCTTCTATGCAAATACTCCTGCTTATTATAAAACACATGAAATATAGTTTATGTAAACGTCTATACAGATGTCACACATAACCTTAATATAACAATGTTGTTATTAATCTTCATATAACAGATTAACGTATAGCACACTTGGTGGGGTGATATGTTTTCATTATTAAAATACTTTTACACAATAACCATAGGAGAAACATTATATATTGTACGAGCAAGAAACATACATTGTACAAACGTATATAGAAAATTGGTTTTATTTCCCTGTGGTTGGTATAGCACTTTTGGTTAGCTTTCAAGACAATAAAGATGTTAAGGTAAAAGTACCGAATGTCCAACTAATACTGGGAGAGATGAACCAATGAACTGTAACTTGGCAGTAACTTGGACAGCACGATCTACATACCTTCAGCAAGCTTTCTGGATATCATCCTAACTTGAAGTTCAATATAAGAGCAGCATAGGACAAGTGATCCGTATTTAAGAAAATAAACATTCCTCAAACAGGTTTTGGAAACACTACCGTATATATCATATTAAGAAATCCCAGCAACACAACTTTAACATGACTATAGAGCTGTTTATGGGGCTTAATCCGCACTTACTAGACCGCACTTACTAGACCGTAAGCAGAAGACTAAGAAGATTTTAATAACTAAACTTTATTCAACTATTTATCACATGGACATTTAATATATCAACAGACAAAAATCTACATGCACCAGAAAGATTGTTAAAAATAATGATGATCAAGTTTACCTATTTAAAATAACTTTAAAAACAAAGTTCATTCAGATGCTGAGAATGACAAAACTATATTTTATTATTACAAAACATGGATCAAAAGGATGTAAACATCTTCAATACTGAACACAATGAAATAATGTACATTTGAGTAACTACATGTAATTATGTATGAATAAAATTGTTCCATGCTTTATAATTTACATTTATAACAGTAATAGAAACTAGATGTTGATAAATTATTGAATTATGCTGGAACACTGACAGTCAGAATTTACAAAAAAATAAATATGTCTGCTTTTATGTAATATTTTGCAATACAGTTATTCAATAACTTAGTTAACTTGAGAGATATAATGATAATATATACCAAAATTAATAAGTACAAGTTTTCTTTAATATAAAAAGGACGTTACTTACTTGAAACTCTTAAAATGCAATAAATAACTTCCAAAAACATAAACCCCAAACTTATACCAAAATTAGAAAAGAGAAAGCCAAAACCAATTCATTGAGTCAATCAATAATCAATTAAAAATTGGAAGAAATAAAATCATCATGAATTGTTCTTTTAGTCTTTATAAAAGACACCTAAACTCATATTCTTGTGCCAATGATAGGTATAATGATAAAAATTATCTACAGAAATGAGCTGGTGTATGATCTGTCTTCTGGCGCTTCCTTTGCTCCATCTGAGAGAAAAACTCACGAATGTCCTCAGCCCGCACCACTTTACCATTCTCTGCAAACTTCTTCAGGTAATCACTAAGTGCCGATTTCATGTCATTGAACCCTAGAACAATATTCATATTATATAGTATGCAGACATTCATAACTTCAAAAAGAAAATCAAATGAAATACATGTACTAAGGAACATAACTATGAAAGAAATGAAAAAGTAAATTAATCAAAAGGGTCTCAATGGCCTTTTGATTATGAATGCTGACGATGAATCATTTCATGTTCATTACTGTGGGTTCAAAACTTGCTGGGAATGTTAGTTTCATTCAGGTGAGATGAGATATAGAGGATATTTGTTTGTTTGTGTGTAAGATGAAATTTTATTTCATCGAGTGGGCTTTAAAAACAGTATTCTCACGAGTGGCGTAGCCACAAGTGAGAATACTGTTTTTAAAGTTCACGAGATGAAATAAAATTACATCTTACACAACAAACAGACAAATTTTCTTTTTATTTTATGCTTAAAAACAAGTTAAAACGAAATTTCCATAATTTTAACGTTAATATTAAAATTTGTTTCCCCCATTGAGAGCCCCATTTAGACGGAATTTCACATTAAAAACAAGAAGTCTTGAGCTGAAAAATAAGTCTGCCAATCAAGGTTAAATGACGGTGATATTTTTTCATTTTATTAAAAAAATATGAATGATCGCTTGTTTTAATAATAAAAACAAACAATTCTTGTAGGAGAAAAAGTCCAACCATCCATCCATATTTCTGTTACTTACTGCGAATTTATATTAGACCTGGCTTTGTAAAATGTAAGCGGCAGCCATTTTTTAAAGTTGTGTATTTCATGGGATGAAAATAATTGTGTAAGATTCAGAGGGATATAATTTGGATTTGTTAGTCATACACCTTTTTAAAAGAAAGAAAACTTATTTGAGGATTGTAACAGACAAAAAATAAGAGTTGACAGAAGTGAAAACATTCAGAAAAGGAGCTAGGAAAATGGAAAACTTGGAAGCTTAGCGGAACGCTGGGTTGTTTTACTTATTTTACGAGTGATGGCTGTCAATGCTTTTCAATTTTTTATAAAGCATACGGCAGTTATTGCTCGTAGGATACTTTAATATGCCCAAATGTCATCAAGAGCAGTTTTGCATGGGGAAGGAATGTATTTTTCAGACTGTAAAAACGAAACAAAAAAAACAAGAATTTGTAACAGAGTTACCAACGTCCCCCGCCCCGGGAGTTTTATATGAAGCATTAAATTGTGCTTTTTCAAAAGATTGAGGTATGGATCTCAGGACATTCAGTCCAAACTTATGATCAATGCTAGATCTGCAAATGTAACAATAAATTTGTTAAAAAAATAAAATGAAACACGGAATTTAAAAATCTATCATGTTAAGCTTTGACCTCTAAGTGTGACCTTGACCTTGGAGGTAGGGGAGCAGGTGTTGTGCATGACATAACGTCTTATTATTGAGACTATTTGTGCCAAGTATTTTCAAAATCCCTTGAACTATGAAGAAGTTATAGATTGGACACAAAATATACCCTATAACAGACTTATAATGTACATCTTTGACCTCTAAGTGTGACCTTGACCTTGGAGGTAGGGATGCAGGTGTTGCGCATGACACATCCTCTTATTAAAGTGACGATTTGTGCAAAGTATTTTCAAAATCCTTTGATCTATGAAAAAGTTTTAGACCGGACAAAAAATATACCCTGTAACAGACTATGTAAGTATTTGACCTCCCAGTGTGACCTTGACCTTGGAGGTAGGTGACCGGTTTTTGGGCATGACACATCATCTGATTATTGTGAACAATTATGGCAAGTATTTACAAAATCCCTTCATAGATAAGAAAGTTATGGACCGGACACGACATATACCCTCAAAAAGACAATGTTGACCTTGAATGAGCAAGTATGACCTTGACCCTGAAGGTACCGGTCTGGTTGTTGTGCATGACACATCGTCTTATTATAACAAACATTTGTGCCAAGTTATCTCAAATTCCCTTGATAAATGACAAAGTTATGGACCGGACACGAAATATACCCTGTAACAGACTATGTTAATATTTGACCTCCAAGTGTGACCTTGACCTTGAAGGTAGGTGACTGGTTTTTGCGCATGACACATCGTCTGATTATTGTGAACAATTATGGCAAGTATTTACAAAATCCCTTCATAGATAAGAAAGTTATGGACCGGACACGACATATACCCTCAAATAGACAATGTTAACCTTGAATGAGCAAGTACGACCTTGACCCTGAAGGTAAGGGTCTGGTTGTTGTGCATGACACATCGTCTTATTATAACAAACATTTGTGCCAAGTTATTTCAAATTCCTTTCATAAATGACAAAGTTATGGACCGGACACGAAATATACCCTGTAACAGACTATGTTAATATTTGACCTCCAAGTGTGACCTTGACCTTGAAGGTAGGTGACTGGTTTTTGCGCATGACACATCGTCTGATTATTGTGAACAATTATGGCAAGTATTTACAAAATCCCTTCATAGATAAGAAAGTTATGGACCGGACACGACATATACCCTCAAATAAACAATGTTGACCTTGAATGAGCAAGTGTGACCTTGACACTGGAGGTAGGGGTCTGGTTGTTGCGCATGACACATCGTGTTATTATAATAAACATTTGTGCCAAGTTATTTCAAATTCTTTTCATAAATGACAAAGTTATGGACCGGACACGAAAGTGTGACGGACGGACGGACGTCCGGCCGAAATGGAATAAGGGGCCATTTCTTTTGTTATTTTCTATTGTTTAATAGAGGGCCAATGGCCCCTTACTCTATTGTTACGGAATGAACTCTATTGTTCTCTTTTGTTCTGTTTACAGTTAGATGGCCCCCTATCCCTATTCGGTAGTGCGGACGGACGGACGGACGGAGCCTATTACTATATCCCCCTTTTTTCTTCGAAAAGGCGGGGGACAATTAGAGACGAAATTTGGTGATTGTAATTTGAATGAATAGAAGTAAGTTTTCTCTCTTTATTACTTTTGACATTTAAGTTATTTATCTATTTCAGCTTTGCTATTTCTTTTAACAGCCTGACATTGTCAGAATTGTCAGTAAAAATAAAATTGAGGTACCACATGGGGAAAATCTTAAAAAAGTAGTTTCGTCATTGAAAAAAGTGAAATTATATTTTGATAATTTTCACTGTGAAATTATCAAATATAATTTTCACGGATAAATCAGTAATCCACTGAAAAGCATAAAATAAAAAATTATCTTCCAAGTTTTCAACCAATTTCTAAAGAGAACTAATATTTACTCTGAAAAGGCTTCATCATCACAACTGGTAATTTTTTTGACTGTTGATAATCTTAGTCACTTAAACCACCAATTGACAGTTTCAATTTCAAAGTAGAGCTAAAAAATTACATTAATATATTACTAGGACAGGTAATACATACCTTGGACCATTTCTATCTGTTGTACTCTATCCATGCCCTCCAGAACCCTCTTTTCCTGGTCAGCCTCTGACGAAGGAGATCTTTTATCTTTTCCTCTTTTCTCATATGCTAATACAGAGTCACTCTCATCTACTATAAACTCTATATCTTGATCTTTGTACATTGCCTGTAAATAATTATGTCAGTTTTTACAAGCTTTACCTGTAAGATGGTGGGAACAAGTTTCCTTCAAAGTACCATTTTTCTTTGGATCTTTAATTCCAAGCTTAAAGAATGATTTCTTAAGAAATCATAATAATAAACTTTGTACACATATCTTTACATAAATTATGAATTACTACTATTGTCTCTAAAGCTATAAGAGCATCCTAAACTATGATGTAAGGAAAGAAACAACAACAACATTCATTTGTTACAACTGTTATGATTATATAAATATAGAGAAAGGTATCTTTTTATGTGAAATAAAAACTGCAAAATATCATTGGACTTGAAGAGCACAGCCATAAGGTTCACTGGAAGTAAATATAAAAGGGGACAAAACTTGCAACATTATGTACTTATGATATTAATTGATTCTACAAAAATAAATTTGATCTTTTATTCTACATTTTGTATTTTTATCAAATAATCTTACACCAATATCTTCATTTTGATAAAATAACAACAACAAACAAAGAAAAACAACATCAAAATTTTACTCTCACCTTACACGCTGTACAGACACATAATTTAGATCTAAATCCTTCTGGCCAGAAAGTTGCTGATTCTTTCACAGTGACCTCCCTTGCATTCAGATCCTCCAACAAACACTGCTCTGTATCAGAAGCTCCAGTATCACACTGCAAGAAAATCAAATTAACAATCTCAAATTAAATTGCTGGGCTAACAAAATCTTATTTTGCCATACTTGTCTGTTATATGTGAAGCATTTTGTTACTTGTCCATATTATATTTTAAATTATAAGTAAATTCTTGAAAAAAATCATTGTCAATACAGGCTGTGGGACAACCTGGGCAATTATATTCACAATTGATTTTGCTACCCTGCATTATTCCTATTCTACATTATAGCGGCTTTGATTGTCCTTGAAGCAAAAACTTGCCTGTAACTGTATAGTTTGTTTTCTGATTTGTTTTTGTGAACTAAGATGACTTTTATTTAGTTGCGTTTTCAGTCCCATCTACATGTCTTATGGCAACTTAATTTATGTTTAGTATGACATTAATCAGCAAGCAAATAAATAATAGTGAGTGTTCTTGGAACCTGTGCTATTACTAGTGTATGTAACTGCAAGCTTCTCTGCACAACAAGACCAGAGGAAAAATGATATTGAAAATTTGTCAACCATATTATATTGTCAGAGAAAATATGCATATTCACCCATGATTCAAATTATGAAATCAAAGGCCCATTGGCACAACTGTCTAGCTACTTAGCTAACAAATATGCTACAGATACCTGATTAATATATCTATATAGAACATATGTCAAGAATAACCAAAGAGCAAGTTGTAAAGAATTACATAAACTAGAATAAAAAAAATCTGCAACTACAGTACCTTACTATCACAGTTATCTGGCTTGGTATCAACACATTCTTTATCTTTAACCTCTGAACTACCATTCACAGAGCTATCACTGTTTTCAGACTTTACTGCTGTATCAACAGACACATCGCTGTTGCTTGTATCTACTGTAACCTCACTGGTACTGCTGTCTGACTTCAGTGCCTGTATTTCTGATGATAAAAATGTCTGATTTTATACAAATTGGCATAAAATTATTTTTGAATACATTGTAGCTATTAAACATAATTTACCATTCAATTCCATGTTGACATTGGAGTGAAAACTAAGGGTAGTGTCCTAAACCTATATGGATATAAAGACCAGAAGGGACATCTTCATGTATCCCCCACCCACCCTTAAAGTTTTCTCAACGGTTTTACAGATAAACAGGGACTACAAAATGGTCATTGGGACATAAAAATCATGGAATTCTGCAGATAATTGGCAGCTATGCATATAGACACGCTCTCGAATATGTTCATGGAACCAACCAGTACTAAGCAATGAGTGTAGTTTCTTGCTTAAGGAAACAATTGATTGTCCCATGAGGTTAGTGATTATAACATTACTAGTCAAATGTAACCACTCGGCCATGCTGCCACAATATTTTAGTGTGCCCTGTCAAGCACAGGACATACAAACTTATACATGTACAAGTTATAGCATCTTTGGTATTACTTATTTTGAACTCTAGTTTCATAGAGAAGCTTACAACTACCTTATTGTGGTAGTACAACAGTAATGCAACAAATTCTTAAAGAATATCAAAGTCTTTTACATATCTTAATCATAAAACATTAATTTAAAAGAACATAATTGTTCATTTTTATAAGGAAGGATATATGAATTTAAGGGTTTTAGATGATTTCAGTTACACCAATTAAATTATCAAGAAAATATTTAACTAAATGCTGTAGAAAAACTGAAAACAAGATATCTCTTAAAAATCAAAATCCATTTAGAAACTTCAGCATTAATTAAATTAGGAAGTCTTTGATGTCTAAATTTAGTAATCAACTACTGCATATAATATTCAGTTAATAAACACACCTTTACTGTGAACATTATATGCCCATAAGAACTCATGTTTACTCATACAACCTCTACATATCATCTCCTGAAAGTTACTGGGAGGTTTACAGTCTCCAAGATGCTACAATAGATACAATCATACATTAAAATTAAAATTTAATTATACATAAGCAATTCAAAGCTGATAAAGATACAGTCTGGCATCTTAATTTAAGGTTCTAATAAGTTTTAGGATTATCTTCTCAAAACAATAGGGCCATGATGGCCCTGAAATCGCTCACCTGTATATAGGCCCCCTGGGCGGGGCTAATTTTAACAAGGGCTTTTATTTAGACACCCATTAATAGAAGATGTTTCATGATAAATATCTAGGCTCTAGCTCTTTGGGGTTTTTTTAAAGAAGATTTTTTAAGTTTTTACTATTCACACTGGGAGGAATCACGCCGTTCATTACCCAAACAAACAAGATGGCGGATGCGGCCAAAAAGTAGGATTTTCCCTTTTTTCTCTGAAATTCGTGATTTTCATGTGTAAAGGTACATATAACAACCTTCTCCACAATTTTCCTGGCACACAGAAATTTATTTCATGGTGTTTCGTCCCGTACTTCTTCTGAAATGCGCGTCACCAGATTCGAAGCAAGAGAATTTTCCACCGGTTTGATTGTGGTAACGTACGGCTTCTTCTCTAAAATTCACTGTTTCGTTTACATATATGTATATTAACTGAAATCACAGACATTAAAAAGTTGTAATATGTCGGCATCTAAGCATTCATGCCCATTCTGGCTAGAATAACCGCAGAAAATATTAAAATCGGGGCATTTTCCGGAAATGATAACGTATGGAGCACAAAATAACAATGATAACGTACGGCGCATTTTTGTCTGCTTAATTGATTTTCTATATAAGAGAAAAGTTATGTTACCAGTTACCAGACATAAAAGGATGATTAGAACCAAATAAAGAAACTGAATATTATTTAGTGTTTGCATAATATCTGTCATGTGTTTTTGTATCGGATAGAAATATCCGATCCGAGGGCGTTTTCGCATTGTGCTGTAACGAGGCTTGCTAACGTATAGTCCTTGTACAGGTCCCGGAGTGATGGATATTTTAATCCGAAACGTAATCACAAGTTATATGTTTTCTTGCATATCATAGTCGAATATAGAGCAACTTTTCCACCTTTGGTAAAGTATAAAGATAAAGTATCGTCTTTTGTTCTTTTATTTAAATTAACGCACATATTTTTTTAAGAAATACAGCGCTTTCATTGGGTGAGAAATAAATTTGGACACTACATAAACTTCTATTTTTCATAGTGCTTAATAGAACCGTGTTCGTAAAATAGACAAGTATAGTGACGAAAGAAAGTAAATATTAATGAAGCCAAATAAAGCTTGACACTAAGTATGTTAGTATTCATCCGTAGCTGTTCTACGGAAATAAGAAACATTCTCCGGCCGCTATCGCTCCTGTCAAAGTTTCTAAATTCTGTAGAACAACACATATGAACACTAACTGATTACTACGCTACTATGATAATAGTGTTTACGAAGTATATGTTACTAACATATATTTTGTACACACTATTATCATAGTAGCGTAGTAATTTTTACAGCTGTTCTTTCATAAAGATAATGACGTCATCTGAGCGCATTCATGAGCGGTCTAGCTTTAATGATTTCAGATGGGTTCTTGGACATGGATAAAACATCGAAATCCAAATCCGATTTGTAACTTTATCATGGTCGTTAAAATGTTTACCGCAAATTTCAACGACACTCTTTTATTGCTGATACCTGCAATATTATTTTGTAAGAGATTGATTGTTTTTGTTGGGGTGTTTGCGAGAAAAAAACGCCAAAATATGATACGCAAATTTATGAATTGGATGTAATTGTTTTGATCAAATCAATTATAATAAAAAAACTGTACGGATATGTCGTGCAAATATATCTGACGTCAAAGTGGCACAACGTCACTCTAAATAGAAAACGTTTCGTCAAATAAACTGGAAATTTCTTATTTAATAAATTTATTGAACTTTTTCGCAAAACATTATTTTCTAACTAATTCAATAAATTCAATATAGAACCTATACTCATTCATTATTCTCTTTTATGAAATTCTTTTAATGAGCGACCAGATTGTACAAACACAGGCTCATCTCATCTGGGTGTAAGCTAGTCGCAATCACTTTTCGTTTTGTTTATGTTTGACGTGGTTCAAATATTAAGATTTTCTTATCAGTAATTTGTTCAAGTAATTTTGGAAAAGAAAATATATCAAGTCTTCTGTACCATTTTAACATTATTGCTCTGGTTAATGCATTTCTTCTTTCTGATAAGGGGATAAGACCATAATTATCGCACAACACTGGCGAAATTTAATGTGAAGACAACAATACACAAATTCTGCATTTTATACAAAAATATTCTCAAACTATAAACGTGTGTTTTACTTGGTATATTTACAATGAATATCTATTATGCCACCAAAAAAGATATTGATACCCGATGGTGCAGCATTGTTCAATAATTTATTTCTGAGATGACAAATATCTATCATTTCCTACATACAAATAATTTATTATCAGCTGACTGGACAAATAGAAATCCACCGAGTAGAAAAATGCGCCGTACGTTATCATTGATATTTTATGCGCCATACGTTATCATTTCCGGAAAATGCCCCGATATTAATATTTACACCAGTAAATCTAGCCAAAATGGGCATGAATGATTACTTGACAACATATTACAACTTTTTAAAGTCAGTGGATTCAGTTAAAATACATATATGTAAAAGAAACAGCGAATTTGAGTGAAGAAACCGTACGTTACCACGATCAAACCGGTGGAAAATTCTCTAGCTTCGAATCTGGTGACGCGCATTTCAGAAGAAGTACGGGACGAAACACCATGAAATAAATTTCTGTGTGCCAGGAAAATTGTGGAGAAGGTTGTTATATGTACCTTTACACAAGAACATCATGAATTTCAGAGAAAAAAGGGAAAAACCTACTTTTTGGCCGCATCCGCCATCTTGTTTGTTTGGGTAACGAACGGCGTGATTCCTCCCCGTGTATTCAAATATAGAGAAAAAGTATGACCCCCCAGGACGGGACCAATTTTGACCCCCAGGGCTTTTATTTCAACAAACTTGGTAGACACTCACTATGAGAAATATCATGCCTAGTATCTTAACCCTAGCTCTTTGGGTTTTTTTAAAGAATTTTTTTTAAGTTTTTACTATACGCATACAAGGAAAATCAATGATCCCAAGGGCGGGCCAATTTTAACCCCAGGGCCCTTATTTGAACAAACTTTGTAGACACCCATTAGAAGATGTTTCATGCTAAATATCTAAGCTCTAGCTCTTTGGGTTTTTTTAAAAGAAAACTAAGTTTTTACTATATACATAAAAGGAAAAACCATGACCAATTTTAACCCCAGGGCTTTTATTTGAACAAACCTGGTAGAATTTGGGTTTTTTTAAAAGAAGATTTTTACTTAAGAAGTTTTTACTATATACAAATAAGGAAAATCATTGACCCCATGGCATGGCCAATTTTGACCCCCAGGCTTTTATTTCAACAAACTTGGTAAACACTGACTAGACGATGTTTCATGCCAAATATTTTAGTTCTTTTTTTTTTTTCAAAAGATCTTTTAAGTTTTTTCTATTGGTTGCCATGGCAACTAGAGTTCTAAATGGAATTAAATTCTTTGAACAATTTTTAAAGTTGATTACCAAAGAAACTTTCATGTGAAGTTTGGATGAAATTGGCTCAGCGGTTTATGAGGAGATGTTGTTTAAAGTAAAAGTTTATGGACAGCCGGACGCCGGACAAAAAGCGATCACAAAAGCTCACCATTTCACTTTGTGACAGGTGAGCTAAAAATAAAATATACCAACTTTTTATAAAATAGAGAAATACCTAAAGAAAGCCTGACAATGCAAAATTGAAAATGCTTTTTAAAGACTAAACTGAAAACTAAAAGTGAATAAAGTACATTGATGTAAATGTTAACCAAGGTTTCCTACAAAATTTAAATCTTCAAGTTTAAATAAACGTTAACCATAGAAATGCTGATTATTTTCTTTCAACAAATACATGTACATGTACAAACAACATTTTAAAACAACACTCTGGAAAAAAAGATTTCAATTATGAATTCAATAGTTATCAAATTATGCCTGACAAATTTTGAATAAAGTTGAACTTACCCTCCCATGATACCAGTCTTCACAAACAATACATTGAATCATCTCATCCTCTATCTAAAAAGTGATCAACAAACATGCTAAATTAATAACTTCATACTGAATATTTATAGACATACATAATGTAAAATATAAATAAAGTTGCCCTTTAACTAGAATGTCATGATATCTAGTATTATTTCAATAGATTAAGATAACTGAAGAAGCAACAAAAATGATTTAATTTTAGCAAATCAAATTTACTGGCAAAATGGCATTTCAGTAAACATTTAATAATCAATTTACATTTTAATAAGACAACAAGGCATTTTTCAACCTATAACCAGGGGGCCGAAATAAGGCTCCATTCCCAATCCTAAATAACCTTTTTTCCCCAATTGATTATTTCATAAAACAAGAGGGCCATGATGGCCCTAGATCGCTCACCTGACCCATCAAACTCATCCAAACAATTACCTAGACAAGCATTCTGACCAAGTCTCATGACAGGTGAGTCAAAAATGTGACCACTACAGTGTTAACAAGGATTATCCATATTTGAGCAGTGTGACCTAGTTTTTTACCCAGGTGACCCATATTCAAACTTGACCTAGAAATCATCAAAACAAACTTTCAGACCAATTTCCAGGATACTTGGATCAAAACAGTAGCAACTAGAGTGTTAACAAAATTTTTCTATTTTTAGCTCCTGTGACCTAGTTTCACATGCTACTTCGAACTCATCCGAGCAATTACCTAGACAAGCATCCTGACCAAGTTTGATGATAATTGAGTCGAAAATGTGACCACTAGAATGTTAACAAGGTTTATCCATATTTGGGCAGTGTGACCTAGTTTTTCATCCAAGATGACCCATGTTCGATCTTGACTTAGAAATCATCAAAACAAACTTTCAGACCAATTTACAGGATATTTGGATCACAACAGTAGCCACTAGAGTGTTAACAAGATTTTTCTATTTTTAGCTCCTGTGACCTAGTTTTTCATCCGAGATGACCCATGTTCGATTTAATCCCAGCAATGACCTAGACAAGTTTCCTGACCAAGTTTGATGACAATTGAGTCAAAATTGTGACCACTAGAGTGTTAACAAGGTTTTTCTATTTTTAGCTCCTGTGACCTAGTTTTTCATCTGAGATGACCCATGTTCGAACTCATCCGAGCAAGTACCTAGACAAGCATCCTGATCAAGTTTGATGACACTTGTGTCAAAAATGTGACCGCTAGAGTGTTAACAAGATTTTTCTATTTTTAGCTCCTGTGACCTAGTTTTTCATCCGAGATGACCCATGTTCGAACTCATCCAAGCTATCACCTAGACAAGCATCCTGACCAAGTTTGATGATGATTGATGCAAAAATGTGACCGCTAGAGTGTTAACAAGGTTTTTCTATTTTTAGCTCCGGTGACCTACTTTTTCATCCGAGATGACCCATGTTCGAACTCATCCGAGCTATCACCTAGACAAGCATCCTGACCAAGTTTGATGATGATTGAGACAAAAATGTGACCGCTAGAGTGTTAACATGGTTTTTCTATTTTTAGCTCCTGTGACCTAGTTTTTCATCCGAGATGACACATGTTCAAACTCATCCGAGCTATCAACTAGATAAGCATCCTGACCAAGTTTGATGATGATTGAGGCAAAAATGTGACCGCTGGAGTGTTAACAAGGTTTTTCTATTTTTAGCTCCGGTGACCTACTTTTTTTATCCGAGATGACCCATGTTCGAACTCATCCGAGCTATCACCTAGACAAGCATTCTGACCAAGTTTGATGATGATTGAATTTGATGCAAAAATGTGACCGCAAGAGTGTTAACAAGGTTTTTCTATTTTTAGCTTCGGTGACCTAGTTTTTCATCCGAGATGACCTATGTTCGAACTCATCCGAGCTATCACCTAGACAAACATCCTGACCAAGTTTGATGATGATTGATGCAAAAATGTGACCGCTGATTTTTAGCTCTTGTGACCTAGTTTTTCATCCGAGATGACCCATGTTCGAACTCATCCGAGCTATCAACTAGATAAGCATCCTGACCAAGTTTGATGATGATTGAGGCAAAAATGCGACCGCTAGAGTGTTAACAACTAAATGTGAACGGACGACGGACAATCATCGATCCTAAAAGCTCACCCTGAGCATGCTCAGGTGAGCTAAAACAACAATATCCCAACAGCAGCCCCTAAAAATTAACTGTTTCAATTTTTGAAAAGCAGTGAACTGTTTTGACTGATTCCATAGAAAAAAATAACATGTTATATGACCATACACATGTTAAATAAGGTAGATTTTCCACTGCTTAAATTTTCTCAAATTTCCTAAATATTTTTTCCTCCTTTATAGCTGAAAAAGACCCTGGATATTAAAGATATTTTCTAAAGTTAAGACATGTGATGTTTTACATTAACATCTTCATAAGCAAAGGTAAATCTGACCTACTTATAACCATTTACATAACATACAGCTTACAATGAGTACATGTATGAATATATTAACAGTTAGATGTGACTTCAAATATATTAAAAGTTTATTATTTTAGATACTGAGAAAATGGCAACTAAGGTATTCTTTCTTTTCTGTTTTTCATATTCAATTGTAAAGAAAGTGATAAAATTTCATTTGTTTAGCAATAAAAGTAGTTACCTCATCTTCAGGGTCAGGATAGGGGCGTTCACAGACACAGTACAGTCCCTTGAAATTTTGGTTATACTGATTCTTTATGTTATGTTCCTCTTTATCCTGTTAAAAGATTTGTCATCTCTGATTAGTTTTATGGTTTTATTATAACATATCAAGATGACAGATTTTTAATTTACACTAATGTCATTGATTATTCAGTGTGCATGAATTTAAATTATTTGTGCTGTTAATCAGACCTTACTAACTTAATTAAAATGAAAATTAAAATACCACAAAAATTAACTAAGTATCTATCTATTTAATTTTATTCCAAAAAGACTAGAAAATTCACAAATACTGTCCTTATCAAAACTTTGAAGAAAGTATAAAATTTTAAACTGAGTATGCACTGATAACCAGGGCTCTCATTTGATAAAATTTGGGGCCGAATATGGGCCCCATTCCCCCATTAAAATAGTGTGTTTTTTTTCCCCTTAATCAAAAAAAAAAAAAATCCCCCTTGAAAATAATATTTAACTGCCATAGATCAGGGATCACGTTTTAAGTTGAATTTTTATACAAAATATCAAAGATGTAGTCAATTTCATTGGAAATAACCAAAATATTTGATATAATTTCATGACAGCAGCTTATTGTTGATAAATTTGTTAACTGAATCTTGTTTTCACTTGTTTTTATTTTAATAAATCAATTTTCTTCTATTGAAATTCCCCCTTGAATCAATGAAAAATATTTTAAAATCATGCGAAATTCCCCCCTGCATGGACCTTGGCCCCAGTCTTAAAATGCTAACGAGAGCTCTGTGATTACAAAATATTCTTAATCAAGGTCCCAAAAATACTTACTGACTGAAGTTTACACTTAATGTCAGAGAATTTGCTATTTCCACAGTCACAACGAAAGTTTCTGAAAGATAGAATTTATAAAATAACTGACAGCACATTTCTCTTCATTTCTAAGTTGGACAGAATTTTATGAATAATAAGTAATTTTTTTTTTTTAATATGAACCACCATTACATATACAAGGGTTTTTTTTACTAACAAATTGACACCGATAGTCGGCGTCTTCCCCTTGGTAAATATCCAAGTTTTTCCCAAAAAAATTCTATTTTCCCTTTGAACTGTTAAGGGATAATTACTTAAAAGGTAAAAAATATTAATTTTTTCCATATCAGCAAATGAAACCCACCAATTGTTGCCCAAAATATCCAAAAACATTGCAAATTGACTTTTTTCGTATATTTTTCCTCTCCCTACCAGCGTCTTCCCCTTTTCCTAAAAAAAAACCCCTGATATATCTGAAAGTACCGTTATTGATATTCTGTCCCTGCAGAAATGCGAAAACTTTTGTTCTATTTCACTAAGCCACTCACTGATTTGAAATACGGCATTTAAGATAAAACTTCTTATACAAGGTGTAAGAAAAATATAGGTCAACTGTAAGCAGTGTAAGCATTAGGTAACATGGTACTAGGCTAGTACTATTGTGAGATTATTGATGTTGCTAAATTAATGATGACTACAATATTATAATGTATAATATACATGTACAAATCTTTAAAACAATAAGTGATTACAGAATAGGGTGATAACAAGCAAAATATCTAACATCAACATCAGTCTTAATGGTAACTAAAAATGTTTTTCTATCATTATCATACCTTTTGGTGTAGAGTTCATACAGATCATGACCTTCATGGCAAGCATAGCTACAAGCTAGACAAACACCTGCTGGGCCCTTGTCCTTTGTCTCACAAGTTGAACATGCATACAATGCTTGTCTTCCAACATAGCCCTGAAAAAGTAATAAAGTTTAAATGAAAACTCTTTTAAATGGCTTAACATTTTTAATTTAATATTCTTCTTTTAACCTCTTTCAAACAACTCTTTTTCCTTTCTTGCCATTTTTGAAAGAAAGAAAGAGAGAGTCAGACAGATAGATGACACCAGTAGTTCTTTAGTTCATGGAAACACACTCAAAAGTGTTTAACTGTTTAATAAGGATAAATTATTTAAATGAACTTGTTACCGCTGTGGGTTCGAATCCAGACAGGGACTTTAGATTCTTTCATGTGAGGAAGCTATCCAGCTAGCTTACGGAACGTCGGTGGTTCTACTCAGGTGCCCGTTCATGCCTGAAATAATGCACGGAGAGGCACCTGAGGTCTTCCTCCACTAATAAAGCTGGAATGTTGCGATATGACCTACATGTATACTGTGTCGATGTGACGTAAAACCCAAAACAAACAAATGAACTTGTTTTGCAATCAACTTGAAATTAATGTGTTTAAACTAAAAAATATTATGTGGATCTCCTAAATATGAATAAACACAGTTTGTACATTATTAAGAAGGAACACTAATGTAATAGTTTGCATCTTAAATGCGTATTTAAATAAAATTCCTTTTGTTTTTACTTGCGCTACTTTCAATTATTGTTATTTCATGGGCGCAGCCATTTTGTCGTTTATGCCGAAGTAAATCTGGCACGGCTTTATTCATTGGTTGCAGGGATTTTTTTTGGCTTATTTTATAGCCATTATTGGGTCATATTCCCAATTGAAAGTAGTATATTATTTTCCCAATTCACAGGAAAAAATTCCCAATTGAAAGTTAAATAATAAAAATATTGAATAAAAATTCTAAAATCTTTGCAAATAAGGGCTTCTTCATTGTAATAGTGCTTAAAATGTTTAAAGATGCCATCATAGACAGTAATTGTTTGCATCCATTTAATCACTGCAGAACTTCAGTCATGCATTTTTCCCCAATTTTTATCAAAACACTGCTGAAATTCCCAATAAATATTAGAAATCTAGATATTATTTAAATATCGTAGGGCAATTCTTTCTATAAACTTATAAATTTAACGTAATCCAAATTAGAAAACATAGGTTCTATATATTTATATATAAATACAGGGAATTCCCCAGGATCTTTTTTAAGCGCTACATTTTTTAATTAGACGGGGGTGGGTGCGGGAGGGGGTCTTGACCCCCATACGGCGTGTCGAAAATTTTTGCCATTTTTGGTGTCAAGATACTGCTGTGGGCTGTTTTAAAACAAATAATGAAAGCTTTTCACTTGATAAACATTTTCTTAATTTTTTATTATTTACTTTTTCCATTTCCAACAATTCAAATAAATAAACAATTATATATAAACACAAGTTCACAACATGTGATCAACATTTATATGTATGTGTGTGTTCCATTTAAATGAGTATTTTCAGTTGTTTTTTCTTCATTAACATCATTAAAAGTGGGCCTGTCTTCTAGGCTTGTTGTCCTTCCATGCATTGACTGCCTTCTCAAAGTTAAAAGATTCTAATGGGGGTCCTTGAAGGGAGACGGCAAGAAGATAGTTTAGAACTTTAACAGAGAGACAATTCCTGTTTTAAGTCTTAACTCTCTTCAGGCAGCTGCATCCTCTCTCACAATCTGAAATTAATAAATGAAAGTAATCATTTATGTTAACCTCATGTCTTTTATTTATATTGTTTGTTTGCTGTGAATTTTTGAAAATTTAAAAAACTTCCAGCCTGTTTAAACTTAACTAAGTAAAAAAATTTATATTTGAAATGTTGAAAAAATTCTAGCAAAGTGTTACACATCTGCAACTGTCATTGGAATTTCATTAATGTTCAAGAATGAATGAATTTAATAATAATTACCTGCAGTAGAGGTTGGGAGGAGGAGACCCACAGCAGCAATTCTGTAAAGAGCTGAATTACTGGTAGAAAGGTTGCCAGTAATCCAGGTCATGATCTGGTCGGCTGACTGATCAGTCCCCTCTAGCCTGGCCAGCTCCTGTATGTCCTGACAAACCAATGCTAAGGGGTAGGACAGTAGATTGCACTTCACAAAGCTGTCCATGAACAGGCTCGATTAAAGAGGGCCTGCAAAATTAATATTTTTTCATTTTGGGGATTCAGTGAACAGAAACAGATTACAAGATATTTTTAATTAAAAAAGTAAAAATGACCAATTGGCTGTCACTAAGTGGGTTTGTTGATGTAAAGTTTTTGTTGTTGTTTTCACTCAGTTGCAAGTTGATAATAAACAGTCGTAAATGTTTTCAAGGTTAAAGTAGCCATCAACCAAATTTATTTCTGAATATCTATGCAGTTTAATCCAAGTAAAATACGATTATCATGTATATATTAAAAAGCAAAATGATCCCGAGACAGTTTCAACGACATTGCTCACAAAAAACTCTCTTAAAATTGATAGTGAACTAGGCTTCCCTTATTCATGTTAGACATATTATTTTTTTAAATCTTAATACTACAGTACTGCTTAGACGTAACGATCGTAAGAAAGTGAAAGATGAAATTGAACATTACACGTATATCAAGACAATTAACCCATTTATCCCTAAATATCAAACTGTTATATCGCATGTAAATTAATGCCAATTATATTAAAAGTTATAACAACTACCTGAAACATGTAAATATCAGACATGCCGCACGCATCTCAATACACGGTAATTGAAAACACCTGAAAGTGCACCAACAGTCGTCTGCAGACATCGATGACAGGTGTCTGTGACGTCACACAGTCTAAAGGCAATCAGTGTATCGGGTTGTGTATACGCCTCGGGTAATAAATTAATTATCTACACAGGACATGTATATTGGCTTGCAGGGCTCACACTGGCTCAAATAAAATAATAGCCAATAATTTTAACTTAAAAAAATAATAGCCAAAAGTTCAGCGGACTATTCACGAATTAGCGATTAACAACATAAGCAGTTGATTAAATAAACATTACATTTATATCTTTCAGTTTTATAAGGATTCTCAAATAAACTGATACATTTGTGTATATTGATAACTACCTGTTTTTAAATAGAACCACAACTTTAATTGTTATTATAGAACAGAAAAAAAACGTTATAATTAGTATAATTACTGTATAACAATAATATTAAAGATTCATTATAACTTTACATAATGCTGTTATCAGACAACTTTTTTTGTTTGTTCTATAAATCAAATTTTGTCTGCTATTTTGTAACCACTGTCAATTTCCACATTTCACTCAGAACTGGAGTAGATCTAGGTCATATTATTAGCCTATAGAAATAATACAAGTTTGCAAACTCATTCACAGAATGCAGCCTTTTTTTCTGAATAATTTACTGAAAAATATCATCTTCACCAATGTAATACAAATTTTCTGCCATAGAAGTAAAGATTTTTTTAGAGAACATAGCTTATTTCACCTTTAAATAAATATCAAAATTATCGGTGTCGCGAAAATATGTGACAATCGGATTTTTCCTGTTTTCTGAAGAAATAATCATAATTTTGGTTGTTGTGCAAATGGTTGTTTGGAATTCAATACTTTTTAAATATTTTACCATTGTTTTCCACTGGCTATTTAGTCAAGTAGATTAAAACAAAAAAAATATTAAAATTTGCAATTACTGTTTACTGGAATTCACGGTAAATTTTGGGTAAGTCAATATCCAGTTTATCAATTTTAAAACGATTTTTATGGCTAATTTACGGATATTTGATGGCTTTTATAAATGCTGGACAATATCTTCAAAGTACTTATACAATTATACATCTTGCATGTATTTTATCACCTCGGGCAATCTAGTTAGCAGCATGTGACCTGTAAAAAGTTGACACTCAATTAAATGCACCCCGCTGGTGTTAATTGGGTCTACTGCATTCATTATCGATTTTTACACCTTATATAAACACTGTTGGAAGTAAAAAATAATCGCCAGATTTTGTAGCCAAAATGCAAAAATAATCGCCAATCTTATAAAATAATCGCAAATGGCGACTATGGCGACCGACAGCGTGAGCCCTGGCTTGTTTATTTGGCTAATTGGGGTTAACTTATAGACACATTAGAAAGGAATATCGGTCATTTTTTAAAGCGCTATGATAATTTTAAGCGCATCGGGATTTCTTGTTCTGAAATTTTAGCGCATCGGTGCCGATGCGCTAAAAGCGCCTGGGGAATTCCTTGAAATAATTGATTCATTCACACAATTAAATTTATAGTTTGAATTTAAAAAACTTGTTGTTCGTTTGACTTGTACAGTTGTATATCCCGAAACAACCAATTTTCAATCACAACCTAAATTCAAACACATTCTTAATTCTGTGGCACTGATGTCATGTCTGACTAAATTGCATAAAGTCCATGTTGTATTAACTTCAAAACTTGCAGAAATGCCATACTTGATTAATTGTCAGATGTTATCAGTAAAACAATAAGAAACTGTTTGTTTTAACTGACACAATATAAATTGTCCAACTTCAACTATATCAAAATAGTCACTTGTTTAAAATAGTGGAAACATTTTTCCAAGCAAGTTAATTTTTTTATAAAGTATTGGCTAAAGAGTTTTACCATTTACCTCAGTCCTAGCTAGGTGTATTTAAAACATTTATTTATATGATGTACCACTAAATATTCATCAGACTTTACATGGGGTCCTTATTAATAAAATCTTATATTGTTATCAAATTCTTTCATCTGATGATTGTAGAATAATTGTTTTGTAGGCGATAGCAACTGGCAGATCTAGACAAGTTTCCGTATTTGCTAGTAATATAAAGTGGGGAAGGTAAAATGGCTGTAAAGATTGGATGCATTTATCATTTTGCACCCCAAATAGCGTACTAAGAAGTGATACCTTTAACTGCCTTTTTATACACATTAACAGTAGTCATACTAATGCATTGTACTTTACATATGTTATAACATTTAGTGTAAGTTTTTTAAAATCTTGAAAAAACTGTTGAAAATCGTTGAATAGACTGTTGTGAAATTTTCTACAATTTTAAGTGGCCCTGATTTATCTTGAACAAATTATCCATAGTGATTACCCTGCTGTTTGAATTTAGGTTAATATATTTCTGAGAGTGACCCGAGTGGGTCATGTCGTTTTTATTGAATTTCTAAGAAAGATCAAGACTTGTTGAAAATGTACCAACCTTTAAATGAAAAAGTTTTGATAGATGCATTAATAGCTAAAATAAATTTAAAGTATAATTTCTCCTTCCATTTATTATTGGCTAAAAATGGCTTAACTGATTGAATATTGGTTGTCCCGGGATACAGTATTCCCAATCACACTATACGGCCAAATTGTTTAGAAAATATTCTAGTGATAAAACATCACATACGAGATACACGAAGTAGAGCCTGTACACTAATAAACATCTCTGTACAAATAGAACATTATTGCACAATATTCAATTTCGAAAAATATTGAGCACGAAACAACTTAAAAAATATCCCGTCTGTTATACCTTTCCATACGTACAATGGTTTTCGTCGCTATCTCCCAAAACTGCGTTAGCATCTTCAACTAAATTCTCTTCTTCTTTCAAGTAATCAACCATTGAAATAACGGCATCATCAGAAGTTTCCTGTTCAGCGTTCCCCGCCAAGTTTTCGCCCGACATTTTTGTTTACATTGGGAGAAGTTCTAAAAATTATTATTATTATCAATAGTATGCTAGAATTGTATTTTCTCAAAAAATTAAAAAGAAAAGATTTTTGACCAAACATATTTTACCAAATCTTATCGTATTTCAATTCGTCTTTCTTTAAAAGTTACTTTAAATTCAGTGCTAAAATAAATAATAACTTATCCCTTTCTTTTTAAGAAAAAAATTCGTCCTTCCGTTTATAACTTTCTGACTTGTTTGGATCTTGTATAAATTTGTTTCCTATATATGATATTTACTCTTTCGATTTAATGGTATGAATTGTTCAGGTACATGTTTAAATTTGTGTTGATATATAAAAATGTATTTCTATAGTATTCGTACTCAGTATTTTCGTAACAATTCAAAAAATTTGTTAGAATTATAGTTGAGAGTAGGTAGACTATGTATGATTTTATTTCACGTATTAAATTTTTATGCTCCCATAAAAATATTTAGGACATGAATTTTTATGATAAAGTGTTACCCTTGTGTGTACATGTACGGGTTGTGTTAATTTGCCTAATTAATTTGGGCCTTTTGGCGTGAATAAACGGTTTGAATTAGTAACGATTCGCCACACTAACGATTCGTCACATAACGATTCGCCACAGAGTAATAACGATTCGCCACAGTTAAATAACGATTCGCCACAGTATGATTATAACGATGATTTTTTAGTAATCAACAAAATTTTTCCTTTTGTTTTAATAATTTGACAATGATAATGATTTAATAATGTTTCTTAATACAAGTAATATGAAGTTAAGGCCCCCATTGCGGATTTTCAATTTATCAAAGTAACATTATTACAGGAGTACATTAACAAGAAAGTAATTATATGTTGAAATAATTATTGAATTACTCATAAACATAATTATATGTCAATTAATATTTATATATATATAAATATATAGTTCATATATCATAATATATGTCAAATATTTAAACAAAGTATTGCAAAAACATGTGTTCATACGAAAATTGATTTACGATAATTGATTAAAGAACGCATATGTAAAACATTTGTCACACCTTTAATTTAAACAAGCCAATCACCTTAGGATTGTTGTAGAAATATTTAATTGACGCCGAAATAATCCTTTAATTATCTGACAATGTATTCAGATTTCAAAACAATGCGGCAATTAAGCTTATGTTTGTTTACAAATTAATTTGAGCGAGCCGATATATGCCGATTTAAAGGGTTTAAATAGCTTAAACACATACATAAAATGGTATACAAACGAAAAATAACGAAATCAGAATCATCTTTTAAGTTGAATTGATTTATGTCACATAAAACAGAAAGGCTGCCAAAAATGTTCTCGGCTAATTATCCATTGTTTAGTAGTCTTTGAGACCACATTTATTTCGTAGACCATATGCATCTATCACATTTGAAATTTTATTTCCAGTACATTATTAAATGACATTAAAACAATAATATAAATAAATAAAGATAAAATACCCACATAAATTTGTAGACATTTTTTTTATCTATTTTTATAACTTTAGCCATTACAATTTAATACCTTCAAATTGATTCAATGTCTAGAAAAAGAAAGCTGTAGAGGCAAACGGGATTAGTTAACTTTCAAATCATTTAGAATGCTGGAAAAATCTTTCAAGTTTTTTTTTCATGAAATTCAAAAGATGGTCAAATTCCAATTCCTTCCAAAAGTTCGCAATAGTAATATTTATGTTGTAATGCGCTTTACACGTTCTGTTTGTATTCGTAAGAAGTTCTTCTAATTGTAGGTATGGCTATAACTTAAGTGGGCAATGAAAACATCTACTAGAAAAGACCTTAAAGGTAGTAGAAGGCATGGTTTATCCATCTAAAAATGTCATATTTAAAGATTGTCCGTGTACAATACATTACAAACATAATGGCATTTAAATATATTCAGAAATTCAAAGACAAATTACAAGACAAACTAAATATGGGCCGCTAAATATACGTACACGTATATTTTTCCAGTTTATATCTAAATAACGAAGTTATAAAATGTGTTATGTAATTTTGTTAATAAAATATTTGGTTTTCGTGTGTTTTTATTCAATAAAATGTGTATTTAGTGTAACTAATTTATGTAATTAACAAATGAAATATAAAATGGAAAAAAGTTTTCCATCAACAGTTTGAAAACAGATCTGAAAAAAAAATGTATTTGAACACGTGGCGAATCGTTATTTAACTGTGGCGAATCGTTATTACTCTGTGTCGAATCGTTATGTGGCGAATCGTTAGTGTGGCGAATCGTTACATTACCAACGGTTTGACCCATTTTACAATTTTTTTATTCTACTGTCAAACCGTGGAAAAAAGACATCGTCCGCCCAAAATTATCTGATGTTGTGATGAATTCAATGTAAAAAATCTGGCAGATATGTTTTCACAAAGTTCAAGAGACTGTATCATTAGCAACACCCAAGAAAATTAAAAAATGTTAAATGGCAAGGACATCAATATAGAAACATATTTCTGGTTTTAAGCACGACTTTCTTTTCAAGAAAGAAAAAGAGGTATTGTTACAGTCATGGCGGTCTGCAAACTTTAATGTTGATCTTTTTAAATTGTAGGCCTAGTGTGTTGTCCTGATACTTGGCCACAACGTTACCCTTAGGTAAACTGGACTAAACTTGACCTTCATTCATAAATGACCTTGTCATTCAAGGTCAAATGTCTAAATTTTGCTTGATTTTTTTCTATTAGCTATATAGCTGTAACTTTGTTATCTTTGAATGGATTGTCTTCAAACTTGAACACAACAATCTTTTAGGATATACTTTTCAAGTTAACCAGATGGACCTTGACCTTCACACATAAATGACCTTGACCTTGAAGGTAAAATTACTGAAATTTTCTTTTTTGCACAATATTCTTTAGAATAAGACCTTCTCATACATCAAACTGGCATTGACCTTGGCTCATTTATGACCTTGAAGGTTAAATTATTGAATTTTTAATGATTTTTGCTATAATTGACTGTAACATGGTAATTAATAAATGGATTATCTAATTTATCTTCAAACTTGGACAAAACAGCCTTTTGGACAAGACTATCTGAAAGGTTTAAGTGACCTTAACCTTTGACTGACCTTGGCTGTCAAGGTCAAATTATTGTATTTTAGGTCAGGACCTTCACGTATGACCTTGACCTGTGTATGGGTCAAATTATTGAATTTACACAGATTATTGCTATAACTGTCTGTAACTTGGTAATAAATCAATGGATTATCTTCATACTTGGACAAAATAACCTTTTAGATAAGACTTTTTAAAAGATAGAACTGAACTTGACCTTGAGCTTTAAATGACCTTGGCCATCAAGGTCAAATTATCAAAATTTGGTTAAGTTATGGTAAGTTTGTTGTAAATGTGCAAATCTGATTCATACAAAACAACTCTTATGATCAAACTTACATGATGATGTTAGATAATCTAGATATGTATGACCTTGACTTAAATGACCTTAACTGTTGAGGCCAGATGATTGAATTTTGCTTATATTTTCATAACTGTCATTTATTTATGGAAATGATTCTTACTTGGACAAAACAAGCTTTTTTTTTTTTAATTTTCTGTTAAAATATTTGTTAAAGTTGTTTATTTGTTTGCTTTTAAAAAGCAAAAGTAGTTGAGCATGTCTCCGCTCGGCAGTGGCTCTTGTTAACTTAGTGTTTATGGGTTTTTCCCCTGTATTTGACCACCATATTTGCCTTTATTTGGATGTATTGCTTTTAAAACTTCACATACTGTAGGGAGCTTTATAGGTGTTTGGATCTCAGTGGAGTTCCTTGAAATATGTGCTAAATTAAATAATAACTTCAGTGCATAATACAAGGATACTGTTAGACAACTTTAAATGATTTTGTTTGATATCTTTTATCAAGGCACTGAGATGATTTTTTGATATTTTTAGGATGGAAAAGCAGTAGCAGGTAATGTCGAGGCATTGCAATCTCCTTTGTCGACATATGTTTTAAGACTCTGTCCAGGCTCAGAGATTGTTTCAAGTTTACAGAAGCTTTTGAAAGAGAACTATCTTGAAGCAGCATTTATTCTGACTTGTGTTGGGAGTGTTACAAAGGCTACACTACGTATGGCAGACAGTGTTACAGTAAGAAACATTTGTAATCATCAATATTTGACAGTAACTGAATGTTGATTAACTTGTAGTTGTATAATAATTTTTTTACTTTATCATGCCCCTTTGAAGAAGAGGGGGTATATTGTTTTGCTAATGTTGTTCTGTCGGTTGGTCTGTCTGTCAGTCTGTCTGTTGGTAGACCACATTGTTTCCGTTGATTATCTTAAAAACTCTATATCACAAAATCTTCATATTTCACATAGTGATTGGTCATAACAAGTAGATGACCCCTATTGATTTTGATGTCACAAGGTCAAATGTCAAGGTCACAGGGGCCTTAAATGTCAGAATGGTTTCCGCTGATTATCTTGAAAACTATGCATCACAAAGTCTTCATATTTCACATAGTGATTGGTAATAACTAGTAGATGACCCCTATTGTTTTGGGGTCACAAGGTCAAAGGTCAAGGTCACAGGGGCCTTACATGTCAGAACGGTTTTCGCTGATTGTCATGAAAAGTATTTATCACAAAGTTTTCATTTTTCACATAGTGATTAGTCATAACGTGTAGATGACCCCTATTGATTTTGGGGTCACTAAGTCAAAGGTCAAGGTCACAGTGGCTTAAATGTCATAATGGTTTCTGCTCATTATCTTGGTTACTATTTATCACAAAGTCTTCATGTTTCACATATTGAATGGTCGTAACTATTAGATGACCCCTATTGATTTTGGGTCACTAGTTCAAAGGTCAAGGTCACAGGGCCCTTAAATGTCAGAATGGTTTCTGCTCATTATCTCGAAAACAATTAATCACAAAATCTTCATTTTTTTCTTTTTTCCATAACTGAACATTTCCATGTACCCATTTATGGCAAGTTTCTATAACAAAATAACCAATAATGTGAGTCAAGGGCTAGAAAGGGGGACATATGTGTCGTTCGACATTTCTTGTAAACATATGATTTTACAAGGTCAGGCATGGGGTTGCTAATTTTTATAAAAACATGCCATTTGTAAAACACAAATATTCTATGAAAATAAACACATAGAATGTACATGTGACAGTGTGGTTATGATGCATGAATATTATCTATAATTATGTAAATAAATAATTAGAATTTGATAGGATCAAAAGCCCTGTTATTGACAAAATAGTTTGGGTGTCAAATTCTTATGTTTAATTTGATATAAATAACTACAGACATGAATATTCGAGAAGAACAACACAATTGTGGTTTTAGTGTATTTACAAGTTTTGCCTAAGGACATGACATCAGTTCATAACATCATTCCCTTAGGTGGCAGAATAAAAGACAACATTAATATTTGTATTTCTAAATAAATGGAGTTCAGTTTGTAAACATGTACAAAACATGTTGCAGATATTGAATATGAATATTTCCTATACTGAAATATAAAAATATAACCTTTATACAATTACAGATAAAAACATATGAGGGTCATTTTGAGATAGTCTCTTTAGTTGGAACACTGTCTGCTGGAGGTCATTTACACGGAAGTTTCAGTGATAAAGATGGAAAAGTGTTTGGCGGCCATGTTATAGGCGACTTATTGGTGTATACAACAGCTGAGATTGTTGTTGGGAACTGTCCGTTGTTAAAATTTGAACGTGAACATGATGATCAGTCTGGATACAAAGAACTTGTGGTTAAAAAAACATCATCAGATAATTAACTATTATGTAAAAACATATTTTGTTTTATAAGCTGTTATTTTATAACCAGATACTTGTCATACTTACAGAGTGGAGATTAATATTGCCCTTTTGTAAAAGATCTCACAAAGGTGTATGAAATGTTGAGTTAAAATTTAATAATATAACATTGTCAGATAATGAACTGTTTCAGTTATATAAATATCAATTTAATAACCAGATAACTGTGATACTTAAATACTTAAGATTAATATTGCTTCTTTTTCTTATAATTCTAACATAGATTAATATAATGTCAAGTTAAAATTGAATGATATGGCTGAAGGATTTCAGGAGGTAAAAAAAGTTGCTGCTAAAACAGATTGTTCGCTACAAAATTTAATGAATGCTATACATCAAGATGATAAGATAAAATGTGCTGAACTATTGTCAAATATTAGTGTGAGAAAACTAAATCATTTGGTTAGATTGAAATACGAGGGGTATGCTGGTTACACAGTGACACCACTTCTATGGGCGGTAATAAAAGGTCATCATGAAATTGTTCAGCTTTTGTTAACAAAGAATGTCAATGTGGATAAAATCGGAACATATTTAGAGGGTGAAACATTGCATTCTACATCTTCTCTACTTGTAGCTGTGAGGAAACAGGATAGTAAAATAATTAAATTTCTCTTAGATAATGGAGCTTGCGTGCAACATGGGGTTCCCGGGCAGAGAATGGAAGAAGAAGAAGGGGGTTTCTTGCAATATGAAAAAGACATAGTTCCTTTGAATGAATGTATTGGACGGGATATAGATATTTTCAAAATGATGTTGTCACATGCTGATATCACATTAGAATATGGCACAGAAGAACATACCTGTCTTTGTTATACACTTGAACACTTTACAGATGATATGTCCAGTTTGAGTTGTATAAAGGAAGTGCTCAGACGTGGCGGAGTATTTTGTGTAAGTGAAAAATTGAAACATTCGTTTTTTTCTGGACAAAAAATGTGTTGGAACTTTAGAATATTTATGTGGATACTATTATCAAAGAAATGTGAATTAGGTTTAGAAAGATACTCAATTCACATTAATTGCCTTCGATTATTGTTGTGTACGGACTACTCTCATAAGAATTCCTTCATTTATAATGTTTGTAAGCATTTTCTAGCATTAGTTGAAGCAGAAGGTCCACAGTCAGAGTTTTGTGTTGAAGCAGTACCACCGGAGATGATTCAGATATTACAGTCTACAAAGATGCCGTCTTCTCTGCTACATATTACTCTAGCTGCAGTTAGACAATTGCTTAAACCGGTTAGTTATCAGAAACTTGAAAATCTGAATTTGCCAGATAGATTGGTAAAATGTCTTATGTTAGATGATATTTACAAAATGTAAACTAAAAATCGAGAATATATAGTAGAAGTTATATCAAAGTTCACTATATTGTTCCATTCATATTTTTCAAAATCATATATATTGAAGATTGCAAGCCCCTGTTAACAAGAATTTGTAACAGAGTTACCGATGTCCCCAGCCTCAGGAACTGGTTCTTGTTGTAACAAGTTGTGCCAAGTATTTTCAAAACCCCTTGAACTATGAAGAAGTTATAGATGGGACTCAAAATATACCCTATAACAGACTATGTTAATCTTTGACCTCTGTGACCTTGGAAGTAGGGGACCCATGTTTTGCGCCTGACATATTGTCTTATTATTGTGATTATTTGTGCAAAGTATTTTTAAAAATCCCTTGATCTATGAAAAAGTTATGGAATGGACACAAAATATACCCTATAACAGACTATGTAAATCTTTGACCTCTAAGTGTGACCTTGACCTTGGCATGACATATCATCTTATCATTGTGACTATTTGTGCCAAGTATTATCAAAATCCCTAGATCTATGAAGAAGTTCTAGATCAGACACTAAATAAACCCTATAACAGACTTTGTAAATTTTTGACATCTAAGGGTGACCATGACCTTGGAGGTAGGGATGCAGGTGTTGCTCATGACACATCGTCTTATTACAGTGACTATTTGCGCCAAGTATTTTCAAATCCTTTGATCTATGAAAAAGTTATGGACCGGACACAAAATATACCCTATTACAGACTATGTTAATCTTTGACCTCCAAGTGTAAGATAGGTGAACAATTATTGCTCATGACGCATCATTCAATTGTGGCAAGTATTTACAAAATCCCTTCAAAGATAAGAAAGTTATGGGCCGAACACGACATATACCCTCAAATAGACAATGTTGACCTTGAATGAGCAAGTGCGACCTTGCCCTGGAGGTAGGTGTCCGGTTGTTGCACATGACACATCATTTTATTATAACTAACATTTGTGCCAAGTTATTTCAAATTCCTTTGGTAAATGACAAAGTTATGGACTGGACACGAAAGTGTGACAGACAGACTGACGTGGGCCTATTTCTATATCCCCCTTATTTCTTCGAAAAGGCGGAGGGACAATAAAATGACTCCTATTACCAATATATCTTCATGCTTGTGCATCCAAAGGGGTATTGATATCACATTTATGCAATTATTTTATGATGTTGATAAACACTTGTGTGCTACTGAGCAAAAGGTTTGGTGCCTTTGATACATATTAGGTAGTACAGTAGTACTAAGGATTGTTGTGTCCAATTTTGAAGACAATCCATTTATAAGTAACAATTTTGTATCCAGTAAAAGAAAAAAACAAGCAAAATTCAATAATTGGATGTCATTGGCCAGTGGAGGTAATAATCAATTTGGTCTTCATAAAGGTCTTATCCTAAGGATTATTGTATCCAATTATGAAGGCAATCTGTTCATAAATAACACAGTTATAGCCATTTATAGCAAAATTCAAACATCTGACCTTGAAGGTCAAGGTCATTTATAGGTGAAGGTCTGGTTAACTTTAAAGTTTTGTTCAAAAAGTTGATGTATCCAAGTATGAAGGCATAAAGAAATAATAAAACTAGAAATGTGTCCATAGGACACGGATGCCCCCACACGCCACTGTTCTGTCCATCTTATGATTTTAGGTCAAATATTTTTTGGACTACAATTGTGCCACAAGTTGAAAACTAAAAATCAACAAAGGGCCATAATTCTGTTAAATTTGGTCACAGCAAATATTCCTTCCTTTACTACCATCTACACATTAAGGTTGTTCATCCCTGGAAGTTTAAGCAAAATCTGCCATCCGGTTTAAGAGGAGTTGCGTTCACAAAATTTCTACATAGTATATAGTGAAAAAATCAACAAAGGGCCATAATTCTGTTAAATTTGGTCGCAGCAAAAATTCCTTCCTTTACTACCATCTACACATAAAGGTTGTTAATCCCTGGAAGTTTAAGCAAAATTTGCCATCTGGTTTAAGAGGAGTTGTGTTCACAAAATTTCTACATAGTATATAGTGAAAAAATCAACAAAGGGCCATAATTCTGTTAAATTTGGTCACAGCAAAAATTCCTTCCTTTACTACCATCTACACATAAAGGTTGTTAATCCCTGGAAGTTTAAGCAAAATCTGCCATCCGGTTTAAGAGGAGTTGCGTTCACAAAATTTCTACAAAGTATATAGTGAAAAAATCAACAAAGGGCCATAATTCTGTTAAATTTGGTCACAGCAAAAATTCCTTCCTTTACTACCATCTACACATTAAGGTTGTTCATCCCTGGAAGTTTAAGCAAAATCTGCCATCCGGTTTAAGAGGAGTTGCGTTCACAAAATTTCTACATAGTATATAGTGAAAAAATCAACAAAGGGCCATAATTCTGTTAAATTTGGTCACAGCAAAAATTCCTTCCTTTACTACCATCTACACATTAAGGTTGTTCATCCCTGGAAGTTTAAGCAAAATCTGCCATCCAGTTTAAGAGGAGTTGCGTTCACAAGATTTCGGGACGGAAGGACGGACGGACAAGTGCAACGCTATATGCTCCCACTCTGTGGGGGCATAAAAATCATGACCAACATTAAAGTTTTCAGAAAGCAATGCCAACAACAACATAACTGCAGCAGTAGCTCTTTTTTCTTCTTCAAAAAATTCGAGCAAATTGCCCTTGGATAGTAACCTCCAATTATGATCCTGAAAATATGTACATGTATTAAGTTTCAAGTGAGTATCTGCAGTAGTTTTTGAAATTTGATGTTGCATGTAAAACTTTTACCAAGAATTATCAAAGCCCAAAAAGTCAAAATTCATAATAGTTATAGGCCTTGGAAAGTGACCAATTATGATCTCAAATTACAAATTAGTGTGTGAAGTTACAAGTAAATATCTATTGGAAAATAAAATATGATGTTGTACAAGAAGATGCATGTAAAACTTGAACAAACACTGGTGAGTTTTCTTCCATTGCACTTCTATGTAGTTGGAGTCCTTAGCAACATTTCAAAATAAAAAACAATTTGTATTCTCAATTTTATTATGCACAAAGGTAAGTAAAATACATATCAATTATTGCATATAGATATTAATAAATATAAGAATATAATACTGTTTGTTAGTAAAACATAAGTAAGAGTGACATAATTATTTCTTAGGAACACAAAATCACTTCACAAAAAGGCTCATCAATGACAGCATAATTTTATATATTTTTTCTGAAGCAGCAATTTTGGAATAATTCTTCTAATATGATAAAGGGTTCATCTTTAACAGGATTATAATGTGGCTGTATAATAATAATTGAAATAAAAAGTATCAATAAAACCAACCATATTTTATAAAATCAATTAAAATTGGTAATCAGATAATTCAGACTTTGTACTCCTCGGGTAGGTTGACAAGTTGTTGTCCATAAAATTGAAAGTTATATGCTGAGCACTGTTATTTAGTTCTGTCAGCTGTGTATCAAATCGTTCTCGAACAAAAGAACATGTGCATCATGACAAGTTGACTTTGTTTTAACCTCTTAACCCTTTGTTTTAACTTTATAAAGTTTTGTCTTAAAATCATTACCCTTTGTAGAAAAAACCTCATTACACTTGGTTCTTACCTCATAACACACTGTCTTCATCTCATTATATTTTTAACCTCATTACATATCACCCTTTATTCTAACTCATAACACTTTGTTTTCAAAATTGTTACCCTTTGTAACAACCTCACATTGTCTTCATCTCATTACATTTTATTTTAACCTAATTACCCTTTGATTTAAATTCATGACACTTTGTTTTAAAATCATTAGTCTTTAATTGTTGTAAAATCATTACCCTTTGTTATAACCTTATTACACTTCGTTCTTACCTCATTACACATTATCTTATACTTCATATCACTTTGTCTGTTTTAACCACATTACATGGTTTAAACTCTACACTTTATTTTAACCTCAATGCACTTTAACATCATTTAACTTATATATAACCTCATTACAAACAAATATTTAATATCCATCACAATAGTGTAAACCATTGCATAATGCATTCAACAAATTTGAAAAGAAACCTCTAGTTTTGATGAAAAAGCATAAAATTAAGAAACATCAAAATACATATACTGGAATTCTTATGAAAATACTCGAAAATAAAAAAAGTTAAGAAATACTGCTCGAGAGATACAAGTTATAAGTCTGGTCATTCAGAAGGTTGTTATAAGGTGTCTGAGGTAGAAATATGTGAACAATATTTATTTTGGTGAGTTATAATAAACAAAATATATGGTTAACTAGTAGAGAACTACAAAATGTCTTAAACGAAATATGGTATAAACATTTCATAACTATTTCTATGGTTTTAGATAAAAGATTTTAATAAATTCAACAACTAATAAAGTCTTGAAAGTCAATACATAGATGCATTATTTTTATATCCTAGTCCAGTTAACCTTAAAAAAATTATCTAGCTGAAGGAGATGTATTTGGCTTACAAGTCTTCTGAACAAGATAAATGTTCCATGTCTGAAATATATGTCCATTTATTTTTCTGTTTCCCTTTTTTTTTTTTTTTGGGGGGGGGGGGGGATTGGAGGGTGCATGATATGAATATGCTAATATTCTTAATGTATTCTGTTTACTGATGAATTGAATCGTATGTGATAAATACATGTAGGATATTATATTCTTGTTGATTCCTAGACTCTCATAATATAATTTTTTTTACTTGTTCAATAAATTCCGTATTGAACTTATACTCGTTCAATATTTTCTATATATGGAAGTCTATAATAATAATAATTATAATTATGTCTGAAATACCTCTTTGTAACTCAATATACTGTACTTCAAAACAAAATCATATAATGATCATACAAACTGATGTATATTCAAACATAAATGCTAGGCGTAAACACAAAATTTCGTTCAGTTTGTTACACCATGACTACTGTTACACTAACATAAAACAATGAGACAAAATGTTGACATCTATCACAGATACAAACTGACTATCACAGGCATAATATGAGCCGCGACATGACAAAATCAACATAGTGCGTTTGCGACCAGCATGGATACAGACCAGCCTGCGCATCCGCGCAGTCTTATCAGGATCCATGCTGTTCGCTTACAAACCCTATAGCAAGTAGCGAAACTGATAGCAAACAGCATGGGTCCTGATCAGACTGCGCGGATGCGCATGCTGGTCTGGATCCATGCTGGTCGCAAACACACTATGTTGGTTTTGTCGTGACGCGGCTAACATAATCATTTCACTGCTAATCCACCTGATAAAAATCACTGATTCTTTTAGCTAGTAATGTGCATCTCATTTGTGGAGATACCAGGTGTCTATGTAGAAGTCGTACGGTAGCACCAGGGCTTGAACTCCATGCCTGTAACACATAGTGCATTGGTTGCTCTAACTTCCATCGTTTCCACTGATTGATGGTCTCTTGTGGAATGCCTAGTCGATCTCCCATCATCCTCCAGTCAGCCCCTGCCAAGTTCAATAGAGAAACTTAAATTAAATCATATCAGCTCACATTAACCTATATTTTGTGGTATAAGCATAACAAACTTGACCTAATGTGAAATTAAAACTGAATATTGTTAATTAAAAGTATTTCAAGCTCACAAACCTAAAATTAAGATGGCTAAAATATAGAGTCTGGTCAGACTGTACAGATGTGCAGGAAGCCTAGGTCTGCTAACACTTGGAGGTTTGAAACTACTGGTGATACAAGTGCTTTGAAAGTTTGGTTCAAATCAAATTAAAACTGCTGTCATGCAGACGAGGCATAACATGCCTATCTTTATCCCTTTTATGGTGCTACAATTTCGATGATAGAAACCCTTATCTACTATTAAAGTAGACTACTTATTGTGGACAATGGATAGCCACTGATCAAGCACTATGTGTTCAGGTGAGCAAAAATTATTTGGTCAACTAGTTAAAATGTAAATTTTAAAAAATAATACATGGAGTGCATCTAAATTTGGTACTGTTTATAATTTACTTATCCAGAGCTAACAATTTGTGCTTAAAAATTCCTTAATATTTACTGAGATATACAATTCTCTTTATATACTTAAGCCATTTACACTGGTTAAATATTTTGACTTTTATTCATGTCAATAGATATGACACAATAACTAATGTGATATCAGTCAATACCATTATGGTGAAATATCAAGTATGAAATATCAAGTACAATTGTAGAGATTGTATTGAATCTTACCATTTCCCTTCGGTAGACTAAGCTGTTGTTCAACATACAGACGTAAATCTTTATGCATTTCTTTGATTTGTGTGTTGCCATCCAGCTTCTTTAAAGGCTGAAACAATAATAATAATATATGATAAATTATAATTGATCAATGTTAATTTTATGTAACTTACTAACTTAGAAATCAATCATAAAACTTTATGGTTTGATAACAGCACCCAAAATACAAATGTCTCTAACCAAAATTCATGTATGATAATAAGTAACAAAAAATAATTGAGAACTTGCTGAATCTTGAGATTATATCTTGAAGGTCAAGGTCATTGAGTGGTAAAAGTCATATTTCAACATTCCAAAATAAAGTTTGTGCACAAATGTAACACTGTGTCTGTGTATGAAGGTTCCAGTTTAAATAATGAAGATGTTCTGACTGAGTGCAGGAAAAAGACAGACAAAACAGGATAAAAACATATGCCTCCCACAGCCTGATCAATCAATAAATACAGGACACAAATATTCAATATTATTATCTATATAAAAATAGTTTAAGGAATCAGTCTTCTTACAACATGAAATTGTATTTAACTTGTTGTTGAAAATAGGATAGCCTTGAGGTATATCTAACTTATAATGATACAATAAATAGTGCATGATTCATTATCAATATACTGTTCATACATAATGTAAATTATAACTGGTTATGTAATATGTTTGAGTCCCATCAGTGACTTTGGATTCTTTCATGTGATAAAAGCTATCTAGCTAGCTAATATGTAATGTTGGTGGTTCCACTATGATGCCCATTCGTAGCTGAAATAATGCAATGAGGGGCACCTGAAGCCTCCCCCCATTAATAGAGCTGGACAGTCACCCATATGACCTTTACAATATTGGTGTAACATAAGACCCAACAAAAGCCACAAACAGCATCACTGATACAGTTTACCATATTTACACACCACACCACACATATTACATTAAATTTAATGAGATTGTACGATAAACTTCAGTATGTTACCGGTCTGAGGTCCAAGTTTTCATTTGTAAGCACCACAGGTTTAGGTTTTGGTTTGCTGATTCTAGGGGTAGACTGGTTTTCTGGTGCAGGAGAAGATAATGATAACCTTGGACTGGTTTCCACACTCAAATGAATTTGTTCATAAGGCAGTGAGTCCAGAAATGTAAACAGACTATTTCCCTCTGCAAAATAGAAAAATATATGATTTAACTATTAGAGAATCCTATCAATGATTCAAACTTTTATGCTAATATAATCCATAGTTATTTGTAAACCAACCTATATGTTACCCTAATTAATTTTATGAAGTTTTGAGTACATTTACACAGTATATTCTGATGATCTCAGTTCAAGGAAATTTTATTTCACGGTTATCTTGATCTCTCTGTATTGTTCCATTTTATTTCGAATATTTAACACATTGCGTGTGTTCCATGTAGTAACTAATAGTTACATAATATATAGCCATATTTTCCAAGAATAACTTTTTACAATTCACATGTAGATGTGACATACTGTATTGGAAAATATGATAGCATAAATTCAACAGTCTTTAAGGATTGCTGACCGCGTTGGTTCAAACCATGTCAGGAGCAAGCTGTAGTTTCCTTGAGCAAGAAACTACATTCATTGCTTAGTACTGGTTGGTCCCAGGAACGGATTTGAGAGTGTTTCAATAAGCTTATAGCTTCCAACACAAATTTGTAACTAAACTAACAGTCTTAATGCTTCTTTATCAATGCAACAAATAAACTGACCGCATGGCAGAGTGGTTTAACATGTCAGACTTGTAATCTAAGGATTGCTGGCCGCCTGGGTTCCAACCAAGCTGTTGTTTCCTTTAGTGAGAAACTTTTCACTTATTGCTTAGTATTTAAAATAATTGTTGGTTCCAGGAACATATTCATGACTGATTGAATAACCTTATTGCTTCCAATAATCTCAAACCAAATAAAATTGTATAAACCAAATTACTGATACACTTTAAGTAAAAGAACAAATTTTGATACCATTATAATGTTTAGTATTTTAAATGGAGTTTTCCTTCATTCAATATGGACATAATCGTTCATAATTTTAAGAAAAAAACTAAAATGAGTACCTACTATAAAGAGACAAGTGAAGACAATGAAAAAAAACATAACAGATACACTGGCTGATCTTGATCTGAACTGGTTGCTCAAAAATAAGCAGGCAAACAGTTATAAATTAAATCATATTATTAACGGTACTGAACTACATGGTTCAGTTGTCAGCAAGTACTCAAATTATAAATTTGTTAAAGTAGAAAAGTATGAACTTTTTCCACAGTACTTACTGATATCCCTTATAAGTTCCCTTGCTTTCACTTTAATCTCATCAACATTATCACAGTCATTAAGAATTTCATCTAAACCATTCTCAACATTTACTCTAGTCCGTAACAATTTTGCTAACTCTGTATTTAGGTGAGTAATCCTAGTTTCGAGTTCTTCTACCCTGTATTCCATAGTATTACTTTTATGAGATTCTGCTGTCATTTTTTCAGTCAAAGCAACGAGACATTCCGATGGAATTTCTGTCACATCAGGGTTTTCAATCTCTCTAGGTATTTTAATACCTTTTATTTTAGCATTCTCAATTAATTTATCAATGACTGATGTGATGGTAGATTTCAGAAGCTGATTCTCTTCATTTAGAGATTCTACTTCCCTACACAGTTCAGCATTTGCCTTAATTAGCTCCTCCTTTGAGGGCCCCTTGTCTTTCTGTTTGTGTTCTTTGCTTTTATGTGATGACGATGTCTTTGATGAGACAGATCCGGCTGAAGATGGCCGAGAAGACGAGGTCTTGTCTGAGTTGTTGTTTTCTTTCTTCATGGTTCTACGAGAGTTGGGCAGCAGCACATTGGTAGACATCTTTATGTAATGAAAGTCCACTCATCTGCAAGAAAAGGATTAAATATAATAAGAAATCAAGCAGCTTTTAAGGTTAATATCTTATCAAAAGTATGATATTTAAAAAATTATGTCACTTTCATAAAAGGAACATATTTTAATGAAACTGTTTAAACCAGTGTCTGAATTTTATTTTTTTTTATTATTTTTTTAAGATCTTAAATGGTTAACAGTAGCACAATTCCATGCAGTAAATCATTCCCTGAAATAAATTATATATTTAAGGTACAAAGACAATACTTTACTAACCACAAGTTTTAAGAAAATTTAAATACATACTAAAAAGATAAACAAAAACATAACAAATAAAATCATGCAAAAAAACTAACATAAAAAATTAATAAATAGTAAATGACAGTGAACTGAAATGCCTAACTAAGAAAAAAGTATCTACACATACATACTTGAAAGATACGACCCAGTGAGTCAAAGTACTAAATAAATAATTGGTAAACTGAAACCAGTGACATCCCAAATACATACCACTAACACCATAAAATTATACTACTTACTTGTAAGAAACCATGGTCACAGTCCACAGTATATCATTTATTCCATAGTACTATTTTTCAAAAAAATAAATGATTCATACAAAGGTATGTCCTATACTGTAAGGTCATATGGCTGTCAACTTATAAATAATACAAGTTACTTTAGAACAATAGTGTCAACTAAATATCATTAAAATATAATGACAGAATCAATAACCTAATGGTAACAAGTCATAGCATATAGTTGTACCTGATAGGTTTTTATGATACGAAAAATAGATAAAGAAATAAGTTATATTATCTGAATATTGATTGAAACTTTAACAAATTAATGCAGAGATACTGGTACCTATACAATGTAGATTAATTGCTTAGTTTTTTTTATAAATGACAAGCAAACAATCTTGATTGCAGGATGCTGAAAGTAACATTGGAATGAAACATAGTTGGTGTGATAATAAATTCATTTAAATTTTTAACCATAATTATGATATCTCACAACACAATTTCTGGGACTTATAAGCAATTTGAAATTCATTTACATGTAATAGTTTACTTTAAATAATTGCTGATGTAAGTTAAAATGAAAACTAGCTACTAATTTAAAAGAAACTATAAAAAAAAGTTCATGAAAAACCATTCATTTCAATTCAATTACAATTTTAATGTCACAGTTACATTAAGTAATCTAAGATTAAAAAGACTGTACAGAAAGAAGTATCCATTTAGATTTCTATTATTTAATTAATTATACTTTGTACTTTTAAATTGTCATTAGGAATACATTTCTTACTGTGTAGTAAAGGATCATATTTATTTTTGAAAGGTCATTATATTAATTCAACAATTTTCTTCAAACTAATAATTATAACACTATTCTCCCAATGAAGTTTGTGAATATTCAAAAAGTAAAATGCAAAAAAAAATCCTGCCCAAAACAACAAAAATATGAATCCATGTACATGTATGAAATACATTCACCATGCAGCCAATTGTTTGGAATAAAATAGGTGAATATCAATCAAAAGAAAAACACCACAATGAAAATAGCATTCATATATAAAGTGTAAATAGTTTAGAATTTTTTACCCTTTATTTCCCCATGAAATGAAAATTCATTTTCAAAGGAAACACAAGCCTGTAAAAAGAATATATTATAATTTAGATGGTTCTTTGATACTTCAGGCATTTAGTTTATGGATATCTCAATCAGTTATCGTATCTACTGAAAGTCATATGGTAGATTTTTTTAGGCAATATAACATAACATAACATACTTCTTGAAAGATATATTATGCTCATCCTTGAGTAAGATATTTTAGTCGCAGAAATTTATTGAAATCTATGAAATTCTTACTGAATATGTCTGATTTGAATTTAAAAAAATGAGCAAACTATGTATGGGAAGCTATTCCCTATTACAGGTCAAGTAAAGTTTGCCCAAAATTCTTTAAAAAAAAAATGCCAGTTTTTTTAATGACACTATATATTCATGTTGTGACCACCTTAATAGTGTGCAGAATTTTAAACATAACATATCTACTTTGTGTGAAGTCAAAACATGTCTATTTTTTATTAGCAATTATCAATATTTTCTATTATGAAATTTGAGTATAGTATATCTTTTAAATAAAACTTATCAATGAGCCTTACAGGTTTTGAAAATTTTCAAATTAATATAGTCATATACATGTATGAATAAGCAAATAAATTACTTTAAACACATTAACGATCAGATGAGAAAACGTATGTTACAGACATTTTTCCAGACTGATAAAAATGTTTTCAATTGTTTTGATAATACCTGAATACAAACTTCTTTACCTAGAGACTAGATTAAATTTACTTTCAAAATGATGACCTCACCATTGATAAAACTGATTATTTTGATAAGTATTTAATACTTTAACTAAACTGTCCATAATTCTATGTTTAATACACAAATCTACTTTATAATGAAATAAGTACCTAAATTGTAACACCATTGGAATTTGAAATACCATAGGCAGTTACTAATAAAACAAATTTTAAATGAAATTTACTGACTACCTGAAAGTTAAAACTGCAACCTTTTCCATGAATCAACATATTCAATATACACACAATCATGTAGATGAAATAGGAACACTATAAGTCACTAAGCAATTCAACATTGAAATGTAAGATGTTCAGTCCGATGGTCTGGTTTGTGATAAACTATAAGCATTGACATTGAAAACTGTTCAATATGTGTGAAAAACTCAGAACATTAAATAGAAAGTAAGTAGTAAAAAAACTGAATTTGTTTCTTATAAATTGGATGTGCTAGCCAGAAATGAAACATTTTTTGAATTAAGTACACATTAGTTTTTATTAATAAGCATTTACAAAATTAAATTGGTCTTGAACTGCTCAGACATTTGACCAATTTAATGCATTAAGTGCTTACTAATAAACACTAACCAATTTAGCGTTTGAAATTATTCTAATAAAAATGTTGATTTACTTAAAAGACTGATTAAATTTAGCCGATTTACTAAAGATAAAGTGTTATGATTCATTTGAAATACAAAAACTACTGCAATTCTAGTGGACAAAAAATGATTTCAAACACTAAATAAGTTTTGAATAAAACATAAAATGATCAGATGTTACACTAGGTGTTTGTGCTTACACAAAATGAATGACAAAGTAATTTTGTTAACCAACAGTGTATTACAATATTAATTACTTATCATATACATTTGCAAAAAACAGATTTATATATAAAAAAAAATTACTAAAAATTTAAAAAAGAGAAAAATAAATAAAAAAAAATCTTACTTGAAGCTAGTCATAATTCACCCAAAATTTTACAGTAGTTAAATATTCATTTAAACGCTTACACTTGATAATCCTAAAATTTTTGTTTCAGGCTTGGTTATCGGGGATAAGAAGTATATGCTATGGAATGTAAATTTAAATTTGTTAAAGAATATACAAAACATGTAGGAAGATAAAGAACTTATATATGATAATAATGCTGCCAACTTCTAAAAAAAATTTATAATTTTTTAAATCTTTAAAAATTTATAATTTTTAAAAATGTAAGTTTTCTTTTAAATGTTTATTGAAGAAATTTAAGTCTGAAAGTAACAACTTACTGAATAAATTATCACACACGCACTCATTGGATTATATCCTAATAAAATGTTAAAAGTTGTTAAAATTCTTTGCACAACAACTATCAAATTTAATGAACAGGTGAAATGTTAAATAAATGGATTCTTCTGTAAACAGACTTCATTCAGACCAGCTTTAACTGCAAATGTTTGTAGATCCCAAACTGATTCTATTTCAAGCCTTTACCACCTTGAGTAAACGTTTCTAACAATCTTAACGAGTTAATGAACAGGTCCCCAAATAGAAAATGCAAATACACATTGTTTACTCCATGGTTAATACAATGTTTCCTCTATTTTGCAGTTTCAATTGAATACTTTTTTTCAATTTTACATTTTATGAATACATTTAACAATAAGACTTTGCATATCAGGTACATGTATTCAAAGTAAAACGATATTATTAATAATAATCAATTTTCTTTCTTACAGTTGACTACTTACATATCAATGGGACATAATAATGATGTCATTTCTACCTTCTTTTCTGTAAACACCAATTAAATGGACAATTTCTTTAATATATCCAATATATATATTTACATGAATTCAAAAAGCTGTATTCACGAAACATAATTAAAGACAAATTAAATTGTACAAAAGATAAAGTTTACTTCAGAAAGTGAATAAGCAAGTCCATTAAATATAAACTTCAAAACAACCAAAGTCTAAAGCACAAAATGAACGCCAAGAGCTTTATTTATTTATTTTTCTTGATATAAGTAATAGAAAGAGCACCGAAACACGAGGCTACCGGTATCTGATTTGTACGAGGGGGCGAAGCCCCCGAGTATAAATCAGATTGCCGCGAGTGTTTTGGTATTCTTTCTCTTTTGTATCATAGTCAAACATAAAAACACGTTCCCTGCTATCACAATATGAAACCCCGGGAAAAAGTAACCAATGAACAAGCATCTGAATATGATATTTCTGTCGCTTTCCCTTTCTCTTCCGTCACAATATGTAAACCCCAGCAAAAATGAACCAATCAATGGTCACTCTCTGGAGTGCGGGTAACTTGTACCTGTACTCCAGTTAACGCACTGTACATGTATATGTATATGTATAAGATTTATCTCTGACACATTTTCAACAGAAAAGTCCCCAAACTATGATACAAAAGATATATTAAAAATTATAACCCACTAATAGCTAGCAATAGTGACAAGCTTATAATCTAGCCTGCATGTTAGTATGCAACTGACAAGACTTTATAACAGAACAGAATGTCATTTATTTATAACATGTGTTAGGCAACTTAATATTCTGATATTGAAATCCTTGAAACTTAATAATGAGGAGTGCCATATTCTAAACTGGACAATCTGACATGGTGCCACATTTGAAACCGGACATGGTACCATATTCATAACCAGATATTATGTCATATTTAAAATCGGACAATTATCTACATAAAAAATCCAGCAAAGTACATGTAAATGTCAAAAACATGGCTTGACTGTTTTTACTCTTAGACTAATAGAATGCTAAATATCTCATTGAATCTTATGTGTGAATAATGACAATATTTTCATGATTATGAAAAAAATAATAAGATTGAGTGCATGGTCAACCGAAATGACTTGTTTTATTTATCCGATTTATAGCAAAAGAATTATTAACATATGACTGTAAAAGATTTCACACTGACATACATATACAAGTATTTATAAACATAAAAATCTTACCTAAAAAATTATAGAATAATGGGGCGAATAATATTCAAATCCTCCAGTAAAACAGGTTTTTCATCGGAACTTCTAAATTGTGTAATGTTTAACTATTCTCTTGTGATATGTTAATATTTCTCTCAGCAGTTGCTAGAGTATTTCTCCATTTAGATAAAACATCTGCGTCAAGATAACATATTTGCAATATATTGACCACCACTTTATTGTTACAAAATGTTTTACGAGTCTTTTCAAGTACATGCGTAATTTAATAGCATCTATTTTGTTAAGGCCTAAAAATCAATATAAAACCTAATCAAATTACAATCAATATCACACAACAAAGTTTTATCTTTTATTGTGATATTGCTTAGTGTTATGGCATTATTATTGTTGTGTACAGGTTATATACAAATGTACATGTAATTGTAAAAATAAAAAATAAACTGCTTCAAAATTTTATTAAACTCCAGGAAGCAATCATTTTTAACTAAATTTGTTATGCTGATTTAAAATTTGTTATATAAAATTAACACAGACAACAATAAAGAATATTAAAAATGATCTGAACTTAAACTACTTTGTTCTATATTATGGACCTAAAAAAATTCAAGTATAATTTGGTAAGTTTCAACAAATTGACTTATTGTAAGATACATTAAAAATGATTACAATTTTAATTTGCATTAGAACTTTCTTGAAAACTATTATCTATCTTTAAATCTCTTTCAATATCAATAATGACTTGGCTTATATTATGTTGGCAGACCAATCATCATCATCATCATGATAATAATTATTATAATTATCATAAGAAACATTATTATTGAATCATTACTGAAATCCATTACACTTTTATGGATAAATCTTAAATAAGAACAGGAAAATTCAAGTACAAAATAATGTACAAAAAAATTAAGCAGAATATTTAGTGGTAAACTTCACTCCCTTAATTTGCAGCAAACTGAATATCCTACCATTACTTCAAATAAGAAAGTGAACAAAAGTGAAACTTTTGACCAGGACAGTAACCCTTAACTTGTTGAATTCTTAACCTTTTCTCTGATATAGACGTGTTTTGACGGCTTTTTGTCCCCCCCCCCCATTTTTGAGGCCTCAAACAATGGGAAAATACCCCATTTAGGCCCCAAACACTGTTTTTCGTTTGAGAAATGTTGTGCACGGCCCCCCCCCTTCCAAATGATACATCAGGGGGTTGCCAGAAGGGGGATGGACTCAGGTCGATCTTAAGGTGACGTGTAACCAACGTTGAAAAGCCTTTTACTCTGTCTCATTGCATTGAGAAGTTGCAGCACTTTGAAATCAGTTTTGATGGGAAAAAAAACAATGCAAAATAGTGATTTTTCGCGATTTTGAGACATCCCCCCGTTGCCATGGTAACAGGAAATTTAGGATTGAGCATGTTGGTACAGAGGTTATGGTTTAGACAACATATGTGCCAAGTTTCATCAGTATTGAAGCATTTTTCATAGTTTTATAGCAGTTGAAACTTGTAACAGGAGGCTTTTCAATGAAAACAGACATTTTTTGGGTAAAAGGTTAAATCAACATGTTAAGCTTCCTTCTTTATCAACTTTAGGGATATCCAGACTAATAGGCTATATAGTGTTTGCAAAGACAAGTCACTTTCCACTTAGCAGGCTAGGGGTTAATTCACAAAGTCAATTCAACTGTGTGTTATCTTTCACACTTACATAAAGCAAAGCTAAGTTTTCTTTTATGTTTGAATGATTTTGTTCGAAACTAATCCTTATATTGCTTATAATAAACTTGTTGCAGAGAAATACAATGTCTTGTGCCACATAACTGGAATAACACTGGTAAGTTCAATAAAATTCTTTTTGTGCTTTATCTAAAACACAGATAAAATTAAATTTATTGTACCTTTTTTTTGGTTATTTTATTATTTTCACTAATCTGCTTGAAGATGTCTATAAAGAGTGTGTGTCTTAAAATCTTAACAAACATTTTATAACAAAAAAAAACTAAGAAAGTTCAAATCAAATATTTTTTTTAACTGGCATGCTTGCAATTAATAATGATTCATAGCATTTTAAACAGCATTAAGTTTGTATTAGTTTAAAATATTTCCACAGAGATTAAAGTACATGTACTACTTATTACTTTTTTAACAATATTGTAGTTTTTTAATCATGTCAGATAAATAAAAAGTCTATAACAATTTAGACCTAAATGTCTGATACATCATAACATGTAAATCACTTTTGGCATGAAAAAAACATAAAAAAAACCCAATAATTACTGGTTTATAGTGGCATACGGGAAAGTTACAAAACATATGGCATATTTTCAACTACTGAATGTATGTCACAGGATTAAGGAAGTAGGGCCTGTGTTACATAAGTACCAATGTATTGCTTATTTATAATTTATTATCATTATCAAGTCAAGTATATTTAATACAAATAAAGTTGGATATAATAACAAGCAACATAATTTTATGCACTAATATGCTGTTTACACAGATTTAAGTACAATTATTACAATTTATTTATAGCATAAAATATAATTATGTCTAGTAATTTTGACTAGTTGGAACTAAAATGTTACATTTAGGTGGGAAAAACATGCAAACAAATTAGGAATCAAATTGTTGACCTGTAGACTCAATATTTTTATATCTGCAGCTTAACTAAATTAGCAAAAAAAATCACTTTTGCATTCTCTGTATCATTTAATAATTGCTTGTGAAACAGTTCTTTATCACATATGAATGTAACTAATTATTGATGGCGCAAGTTCCGTGAAATGTAACCATTATAAATATTTCATTACATAATTCACATGTAACATTACATCATCATGTCTTGATGCAACATCAATCTTTTATATGGAAAAACATTGTACAAAAGCAAAATTATATAAAACCTCAAAACATGTTTAATTTACATTGATTTTAATGCAATTAGTCATGTAATAAAAAGAATCTAAGAAACTCATACATTTCGAGAGGCTGTATCAGTGTAACTCTGTATATTATTATACAGATCTTTATAAATTTAAATAATGTCATTAAAAAATATATCAACTAAATATCTTTAATTCCCTTGAAACTTATCAACCTTTATGATAGCACAGGAACCCCACAAAATCAGCATGTCAAAATAGAGATTATTTCAACTTTATTACACACTTTAAAAGTCACAGACAGTTTCGGGTGTTGAGCTCTAAATGCCTTACAAACTATTTAAATATATTGAACATGTGAGTCTGTGTAAGCAACACGGTTCGAATTTAATTGGGTGCGAATTTGTCTTTAATTTGTAACCCTTTAAGGAAAAAAATAGGCAATAAAACAGGATATATTTAATGCCTTTATCTTTACCTTGCTAAGTAAATTAAAACCTGTTATCGTAATCATCTTTGTTTATTCAGAAAATCTTGTGTAAATATACTTGGCGTCTCGGGATATCCCCGTTGGTAAGGTGTGAAAACGAGGCAAGGGAAATTCTTTCTTCATTTCCGTTCAAGGGAAGTTACTCTGTGCACATATATAAATCACCTGTCAAATGTTCTAAATTAAAGAAAATGGGAAGAAACTTTGGTCATATCTCAAGATTATTGCGGCATGCAGAAAAGTCTTTTGGGGAGATATTTAGTGCACCATACTGCACTCCAACAAATCCAGTAAAAGCAGCTATCAGTCAGGTAATTCATGAGTAACATTGCCAAATTATTTTCAGTTTTCATATCGGGTCACAGGTGAATGTATTTTTTTTGTCAGTGGGTCAAATATCTTCACAATTACAAAAGTGAGATTAACAGTGCTTAATATGATTTGCACATTTATGTATTTTAAGGAAGAACATATAACAAGATTGGTGTGAAATGTTTTTAACTTTTCATTTTCAGCATTTAATCATGTAGTCTCCATATTTTGACTGCAAGATCCAAACGATTTTGTAATCTAATATTACATAGATGCCTGTCTTTAAGGGCAACCATCGTCTATATAATAAAAAGCCGTAAAGCAACATTACCATGCATGCAAAAAATTGCATACATTCAAACTTATTAAATTTGTACTGTTGTAGTCATTTATATAATTTAGTCCAAATTATATCGGACGTTACAGGCTTGTTATAGTTTATGTCGGTCAAGTCTGCCCAGAAGCAAAAATATCTCAAAGCGACATCATATTTATAGGACTACTCTTTATTTATGATGGCTGATCTGGTACATGTAAAAGTTATAAGGAAAAAGTTATTTACTTTCAGAGGATCGCAGTAAAAGATGAGGCTGCTCCTGACGTACTAACTGATACATTTGGTCGGCATCATACATACCTGAGAATATCATTAAGTGAAAGATGCAATCTCAGATGTAAGAATAGTTTGTAATTTTGCAATCATTTTGATAAATGTGAAATATTACCAGTTTTTTTTTTCTTCTCACACCATCATCAGCATTTGAGCGCCAACATCGGCATCACACTTTGATGCAAGATGGCATCTCCAAAACTACAGATACAAGATGGTATCTCCAAAACTACAAAAGGGAATGAGTTGAAACTTCACTCCCTTGTTCTCTGTAATTATCAATCATGATGAGCCCAGGTCCCACTATTAGTTACCCTTTTACAGAGTTATGATGCCCCTTTTCTTATTGTCAAGCTCTGAGAATATTCGAGCATGTTGTCTTATCTATGGAGACTGAGCCCTTATTCTTAGTACATTGTACATATACTATAGGCAAAGTGCTGTATCTGCAAACTAATATTAATATTGAAAGTACATTGCGAGGGCTCAGCGCAAGACTATTCTAACTCAATATTTTTCAGAAAATGGTTTTTTGACATTTTCTTGTATAAATTTCTTCAATGCATGTTCTGTTAAAAAGACATAATTAATTTCCCACTAATTTTAAAGTTTTACACATTTTAAGAAAATATTCTATCTGGTGATATAATATATTCAGTGCAAAACTATTCTAAGTCAAGTTAGAATAGTTTGACAATCACTTTTAAGTTAAACCCTGGATATTCTTTTATGCAAGACTATGCTAACTTCAAGTTAGAATAGTCTAGCGAAATTAAAGATGCTGTTAACAGGAGTTATTGCTATTGGAACTATTCTAACTGAAAATAAACAAAGATTGATGATGTCATCACAAGCTTTCATGATGTCATAAATTACAAGAATATTTATGACACTTCTTCTATGATCATATTTTACAGAATTTTACAGTTTTAAAGCATTCTAATGTGTTTTGCGTGTTTTTTTGGTTGTTTTCAAGATGAAGAAAATTTGTATCCTCATTTATTCAGTCAATATCAAAGATTAATTTATTTTACTGACTGCATGACATTTCAAATTCTCTGTACAAATAATAAAAAAATAGAAAATCAAAACTCAGTATTATTCAATATTAGAAGAAATTTTACCTTTTTAGTCTAGAAATTTTAACTTTGTTTATAGAAATGATGAATATTCAATTTGCCTACATTAAGATAAGCGGTTTTAGCCAATCAAGTTCAATGGATGGAGAAAGTGATAAGTGCTCCTTAAGTTTTATCATCATTATTATACCAACTGTGCATTGAATACTTATATGTTATAAGGTTTTTAAAATTCTATTCAAATACTCATATGGGAAAAGAAAATGGAACAAGCAAAAAGGCAACAATATGCCTGTAACAGTATTAAAATAGTATAATATTAAATCCTGGGATTAAGTATGCAAAATGGGCAGTGATATTTTCTGACAATCAGTGTTTATGAAAGCATGCAGTTTTTATAGAAAGGTCCTTTCCAGTCTGACTAAAGTTTAGATCTGATTGTCTCCGTATTTGTTTAATTTTCATTGTAATTTGGATTTCCCAGGAAAGCTATTTTTAGCAATGAAATCAAACCGTCCTTTACAGATAGGAATAAGACAAAGTATCAAAATATCATTTTCTGTTTAGCATCGATATAAATAAACATATTGTGATTTTTGATAGAAAAAAAATTGTTTGAAGTAATGTGAAATACACTGGAAAATTAATGACTACATTTTTAATGGGCATTGTTGTTTTGCCAGTTTACCTGCCGCCTATATGGACAACACCATGTTTGTCCTCGAAATTGTGAAAATGACAATGGTTTTTCCAGCCATTTAAATTAGAAACCATATGGGTTTTAAAATTTTGTAAGCTCACCGATAATTGGCTGTTTGAAAGGTAATATGAGAAAGTGACAACCTATTGGTGGTTGTCAGATCCTAATGCGTAGTGTTAATTAGCATATTGGAGCCCATTCTTAAATTTGCATGCAATTTATGCACAACTTTTTTGTTTTTCATAATGAATTTATATTGCCTCCTATTTGTTAAAGAAATTTATAATTTGTTTGGTAGTTGGGTAAGAAAAGGGATGAAAAATCAGAAAAAACTCTTATAGCAGTTTGTCTCTTACCAGTACTCCTTAAAGGTTCTTATTATTCCAGTTCAAATAACATGATTTAAGTTTTCAAGCCTGTACATAATTGTTTCTTTCTTTGTATTTAGAAAAGTATACTTAATAATACTAGATATTTATCTAGAAATACAATTTAATCAGAGTTATGTGTTTATTAATTTTGAATTTTTGAAATTTTTTTATTTTAAAAACTTCCAGAACTTTCACTGAATTTATGTATCTTCAGCAACCTTTATTGCTTACAGTAAAAATTATTTTGTTTTGTATAATTTATTTCTTAAAATAAGGATTGTTTTTACCAAAACAGCAACATTCTTTTACATTATGACAAATAAGTAATACTATGTAATATTATGACATTTAATTACTACTAAAATATATCTTCTAAAGTTCTAAAGAGTTTCATTTAATTTTGTGTTAAGTATTTAAATACACTTTTAAAATGTCAGTTTCTAAAAAATTGTAAATTTTGATTGGCGAACTAATTGTAAAATTCAAAAAGTGTTTTCCTGGTGCATAATTGTCAATTTTATTATGTTTCAATAGTGTCTATCATGCATTTATTGAACTTATATACATATTAGTTACTGGTACAAATGTTAAAAGAATAAAATGTTTCCTTAGATAAAATATTTCAGTTATTTTAAAGTGGGGTTTAGTATATTATAAGATTGAAATATATTTCATAAAATGAACACCTGATGCGATATTTTGACACAGCCACAAGTGATAAAATAACACCATTATAACATTAAATGAAATATAATTTGATCTACCAATTGCAAAATAGTTATTTCATCTATTTTTAAAGGTTTTAAGGCACTTTGATTTTTGTCTGTGTATCATCATAATATATATTACTTTATCACATTATGTTTATATTCAAAAAATAATTCTGTAGTATTTCATGAATTCTGTTTGATTTTTAACTTATGTGCAAATATTTAAGTGCTTAATTCTCATCATTATATCACATTATACTAATGACTAAGTGTATTTCTCACAATATGTCCATTTATTACATGCTTTTCAGTGGACAGTAAAATTATAAAATATAATTATCACAGTAGCCAGACTATATCTAAATGCGGATGAAAAGAATATAACTTAAATACATAGAAATACTGTCCGATTGCGAATACACACCATTATGAGTAAAATGTGCTTGAATACGAGAAACACATAAATATCTAGTTATCTACACAGTCATATCATTTTAAAAATGTAACATTATTTCGTAAAAGTTTACAGGATTATTTCTTAACAAGAACTATGTGACATGATGATTTTATGACATCATTAATGAGAGCGCATGTCTTTATTTGGCAAAAGTCAGGAAAAAATATTAAAACCGATAAAAAAGCATGGAATAAATAGCAAATTTGTTTTTTATATGCAAGATCATATTATATTTGTAAAATTATAGTCACAAAACAATTTTTTTATAAATTGAATTAATGATATTATGATATATCTTTTAAATTTGCAAAATGTCTAATGTGTTAGTAAGTAATTTCTCAATAACATAATGTATTTTTTACCAGTACCTATTTAAATTAAAAATAAAAAGAGACTTAAAGCTGCATGCCTCCAGATGAACCAAAATATTTCAATAAAACCAAACTTGGAACAAAAGTATTCAGATTTCAAGAAAAGTAAAAAGATTCAAGATAAAAGTAACAATTCCATGTTATGTGCGATTTATGACTGATTTTGCAGTATTTTCAACCTTAGTTCTATTGCATTACTAACACAGGGCTATTTTAGCATATTTTGACCTATTTTTGGTAATTTACATGGTTTGTAAGTGCTGTTTGCAATGTGAAAGTTATTTTCTTTTTTCACTTCACAATATTTTACTTTATAATACATTTTCAAATTTTTCATGAAAATCAGCATGAATCTGGAGGTGTGCTGCTTTAAAGGATTGTGAAATTCCTACAATGGAGGGTTAAAGCAGTCCTTTAATTGTGCATCAACAAGGATGCATTCACAGCCCAAGCATGCATGCAATGCTTTCTAGCACAAAGTACCATATGTTCATCATTTCATTATTTGTGTCATTTTAGTCAGTTTTTTTTTACATGGGAATGTGTATAAAAACAAACGATATGACTAGAATGAAAATTATTATCCTATTCTTGTGTTTGATGAGATAATAAGTCAAGGCTGCCATCACTTGTACCTGCTATATATTTTAGTAGGGTATAAATTACTGATAATTATGCAAATATGTAACAATATCAAATTATACTATATAATATGGTCTTAGAAAAACCCCAAACATTAATATCCCTTCAAAAAATATTTAAAAAACAAATTTACTTTCAAAAAGTAAACATATATTCTAACTTGATAGATAAAAGACATTCTTAACTTTCAAAGTATTGCAAAAGTAATCTAACTTAAGATAGAATAGTTTTGCACAAGATATAGGAATCAAACATACATATATTATAGTATTAAAGTATTACTACTCAAGATAGAATAGTTTTGCACAATAAATATTCAGGAATAAGTGGCTTTTCTAGTGCAATACTAGGCTATGTTAACATGTAGGCAATAAAATGCATATTTTACACTTTTCTTGAAAAAATGAACATGTACACAACTTATTTCTATTTTTTGATAAGATTGGTTGTGATTTTTTTTTCAAAAAATGAAATCACAATAAAATAACATATTTTTTCCATTTCCTGAAAATTTTTCAAAATACAAGTTAGAATAGTCTTGCGCCGAGCCCTCGATTGCATGAAACTAAAAAATATTTTTCTTCAGGGATTATGAATATTTATTGGCGACGCCGGTGAGCGGCGTCGTCTATTATGGAACGCTTTTTATTTTTGCCTGTAGAAGGAGCTGTTATTATTAGCAGTTAATTTCATGTTGTGTAAGTTAGATTTATTTTGATTCGTAAAAATCAAGTAAACAAATATATTGTTATATTTGTATTTAATAGCGAGCTCGACGAGCTGGCCCGAAGGGCCTGCTCGCAAAGCGAGCTTTACGGTAACGCGAGTACCTGCTAAGTGATGGTTTTGAAAACTTTCGTCCAAAGTACCGAATTGGACACATCGCAACCTTTCGAATTTAAAGATAACGATAAAAACTGAGGAATTCTGACTGAAAACGGATGTGTAGACTGGTCACCCGCGCACGTCAATGGGAACCATAATTGGACAGGGAACCAGAATAACGGAAGCTGTGGTCGATAAAATGAAAATCGAAGGCGCCATTTTGTTTGAAATCTGATAAATAAAAACAATTTTTGTCGAATTTTGTTGTGAAAACTATCTAGAATGAAAGAAAATGGTCTAACTAAGAAAATGAATCCGAACACCAAAATCTTTTATTCAGTCGTTAACGCTGTACAGACGTTTAAAATATTGTTTACATGACGTCACAATGTAGCGCCAAACAGCACGTGCAAAACAAACAAATCGAGTACGCTATTTTAATGTCGCAAACGTTTTAAGTTTTACATTTATTTCACTTTAAATAATCTTTATTTCGCTTGAAAAAATATAGAGTGAAATAAAATAAACAAAGTTTTATCAATGTTTTCAAAACTCGTTATTCATTTCACGACAGGGGCGGAGCCATATTTAACACAGTACGTGTGACGTCACACGCACTCGTCACTGCATTTGAAATAAAAATGAGCGATTATTTCATACTATTTCACGTAAAAGTACATCGAGCTCGCTTTGAGGCTTTGCCTTTTTTCATATTAACTTTATGTAAAAAGCATGTGCATTGTGATATTATTTTCACGAAATTGCGGGTTAAGTTTAACAGCTTGTCCCTTAGTTTTAATGACAATACTAAAACCCGGATTTCGAATATCGTTGTGGTCTAGATTGAGGCCGTATCATTTATACATTTTCAAAATTTTCCTACAAGAAGAAAGTTCACCTGCAATTGAGTATAAGGATAGGTAATGGAACTGTTGTAAACGATTATCCTATTGATTTTATCCTTATTACATTTATCTGTTGCGCAGAATGGTTGTTTTTACAAAGTGTACCAGTATCCGGATGTTGAAAGCTATCCGATTTTCTGCAATTACTGCTGACACATGGCCATCTATTTTTTTATGAATACTTTACCATTAATTTGCATGGCTTGATAAAATTGAACCTGCAACATTTCATAATTTTGCTGTTTATCGTGTTCTTTTGGGTTTCAGGTTTTCTTTATTTTAAGGGGAAGTAACTTATGTTTACTAAATTATTTGTTCTTTTCTGTCTATCTTAGGTATTACTTATAATACTATTTTTGTTGTATATAATTCACCAGTTGTAAGGTCATCAAAAGCATGTTAATGTTAATGTTAGGATTTCATATTTATTTAATATAAACTGGGAATTATTAATGTTATGTGCATGTACATGTATATCTTAGACAGTAGTATATTGATATGTTGAGGCAGTATTGCATGATACTTTTAGATCTACAAAGGGCATTTGATACAGTTGAACACACTATCCTGCACATGAAGAAGTTGTTTTTCTTCTTCTTCATGAAACTTCAAGCATCTGCCATATATAATGACATTCTTACATGGTTTAAGTCTTATCTCTGATAGTAGCTGGTTGATGTGGCTGGTACTTATTCTACTACTGCTCTGAGTACCTATGCTGTCCCCCTGATGTTCATTTTAGGTCCTCTTTTATGTCTAATATATGTCAATTACATGTCTTCAACCCTAAGCAATAAGCTTTTATTATAATGCACAGGCACGAGTATCAGACCTTGGATGAAAAAATATGGCCAGATTGATAAAAAAACCTGTGTTCATCTTAAAAGTGTCAACAACCAAAATAAAATGTAAATAATAACCCCCTTTAAAAATATACTTCAAGTTGATAGTATATTTTTAAAGGGGATCATTATTTACATTTTTTGTTTTGGTTTTTATAAACACAGTTTTTTTTATCAATCTGGTCATCTGGTCATATTTTTTCTTCCCAGGTCCGATACTCTTGCCAGTGATTATATGCTAATGACTCAGGAATCCTTGTGTCTCGTAAAATAAATCTGAAGAAATTCTTTCTTATAACATGAGTCTTATAAGATTGCTTAATTGACTATAAATTGCCTTTGCATCTTGGCAAGACAGAGTCTATTCTTTTTTGGTTTAAGTTTCAACTTAACCTGGCCCTAGCCTCCAGGTCACATGTAATGGTACTGCTATAAAGTACACATCTTTTGTTAAGTATTTAGGTGCAAATCTGGATCAAATTCTTTTGGCGTCGCCCTTTGATGCTTTGCATCAATGCTTTTCTTGTAGTATTAATCAAATATTATTCAACACATGTAGTGAGGTAACAAGCATAAGGCATGGTTACAATGATCCATACAACTGATGAAACTACAATGTAATTTTTTCAATCGATTGTAAGTTAGGTGATATTTCTATTGTACATACTTTATGTGATATAATGTCTGAAATACCTCATATAACACATACTACTTCAAATCTGTATGTATTCATTATCTTGATAGGCCAATATTGTATGCCAGAAGAAGGGGTAGACCTTACGCCAAAAGAAAAGTTACTGAGTACTGAGGAGATATTGCGGCTGTCTGAAATGTTTGTACAAGAGGGTATAACAAAAATAAGGCTTACAGGAGGTGAACCATTAGTCAGGAAGGATTTAGCTCATATAATAGGTTAGTAATTTATTGAATTGTATATTTTGAGTATCGTAACCTTAACCTGTGGGAACTGAAAGTGATTAGCCTTTGCCTCCCAATTAGAGCCAGGCCAGTCTGCATATGCTTAATAGAAGTTGGTAACTTAACTTTTGTATGCTTAAATACTTAAAATTTGAATGGATGGTTCAAAATTCAAATCAGGGCAAGTCCATTATAAAAATTCTGCAGGTTAAGGTTTAAGATAATATGAAACGTACAGTAATATGGATCAGTTTGAATATATACATTGTATGATAGGAAGGATAGTCTAGTTGATGTCACTCAGCATTACCATTTATCATGGTTGAAACTGTTACTTGACATTCTAATACATATAAAACTTCAGTATTGATCATTATAAAATGCATTTTCCTTTGAAGATGTCACCAACACTTACAAAATGGATACTTTAATTTAAAACATGGAAAAGGAGCGTACATGTAATTACAATTGGACTGCTGTTTGTAATAAAATGTATATATTTTTGTTTGGTTTAAAATGGCAATGGAATCAACAGAAAAATTATACTTTTAAATTGGCATGACATTGTATATATAATGTATATGATCACACTCATGCTTTGCTGTACTTGCAGAAGGAATGAATAGGTTACGTCCCTTTGGCTTACAAACTATTGCCATGACAACAAATGGTGTAACACTTGCCAGAAAACTTCCACTGCTGAAAGAAGCAGGTTTAGATTTGCTCAACATTAGCCTTGACACTCTAATTCCAGCCAAGTTTGAGTTTATAACTCGACGGAAGGGTTGGGATAGGGTCATGAACAGTATTGATAAGGCATTAGATCTTGGATATGATCCTGTAAAGGTACAGTAATTGGTCTGATTATAACATACTACAGTGATATAACTTTAAAAAATATTTTATTTTTTAACTCTCACCACACAAAAATGTCTTCAATGGACAATCAATGGACTTGTCTGTCTTCATTCTGGACAAAACCATTCATCAGTTTTTCAAAATATGTACTGACTGGAAAGCAAATAGTGCAGAAAAAATTATCAGACTGCACGGATCTTGGTCAGCACTGGTTGCATGGGTAGATTGCCAGCAGGCAAAGCATAAACTTGCCTATGCCACAAGTATAAGGTCACTGCCAGGCTAGGGTGTATAGCTCTGCCATTGACAAGACTATTAGCTAACTTGGCTGCTAATGTTTTAATTTTGTATCCCTTTTAAAAAATAAAAAGGGAATTTCCAAATTCAAGAATGGAAAGGCGATATACATTATTTTCAGCGGGAAAGAGGATTTTATTTTAAAAATAAATTATTTTTTTCGTAAATTTAAAAAAAAAAAACCAATTTCTTTTAAATCATTTTTTATCAAAAAAATTTTAAAGTTAATTTTTTTTTACCCCCAAGGGTTTAAATAAATAAAAAAACCCACAAAAGGGTTTTTAATTTAAAGTAAATATCAGTTATTTTATTGAAAATTTGACATTTTAAAATATTTTGATTGTATTGATTTTTTTGATAGATGGTTTTTAATGATTTTCTTTCCTTAAAAGGTAAACTGTTTTTTGGTAAAAAGGGGTTAAAAATGAGAAATCAATGATTTTGTTGCACTAACAGAAAATAAGGTAAATTTTATAGATATTAAAAAGGATCTGGAAAAATATACAAGACATGTTTAAGATTATATTTTTTCTATATAAAAGATATTTTCTGATTGTTAACAAGGGAAAAATTGAAAGAATAATGCTTTGTAAATTGAAACATCAGTTTTTTGCTGACTTTGAAATTCCAGGAGAATCATGATTTGAGGAAGAACATTTATTTATTCTGAAATGCAAACATTTACTTTCCATTCTACTTCATCTTGATGTTATTGATGTCAAAAAAAAGTCACTTTAGTTAATATAACATGTACAAGGGCTGTCCGGCATTCAAATGGCTTCTAAAAGAATTTTACTGAAATTTAATAAGCCTTTGCTGTGTTTACATGCCAAAAACAACCATGATATTGTTTAATTTGATTACATAGAACAAATTATAAACTACCTGGTAATGCAATGTGCATAACCAGATTTCAAAATTTACCTGGGCTCTGATTGATTGAAATTTTAGCTTTGATTTTGAATTATTTTCTATTTATTGATAATCAATGTTATTATATCTGAATTTTCTTTTATTGTTTTGTAGAAAAAGATATAAGTTTTAAATAAAATTTTAATCCCATTTGATGTAAAAATGGAATTTAAAAGATGGGCCATCAGAAATTTTTTAAAAGACATACAAGAAAGATACCCCACTGTATACAGGATGAGTGATCTACCTAATGACACATCTAAGGTAAAATAGTGTCAGACATATCTGTAACAGGAAAACAAATGATTAAAGCTGCTGCTTTCAAATGATTTAAAAAACCTTTTTAAAATAGACAGAAAAAAATGTGAATGTTTATGACTTTTTGTGGTATTTTTTACCAATTTCCACCCCTGTCAAATGCGAAAGGGCTTTTTTCATATTTTAAAATCTCTTATTGGTAATTTATAGGGATTGTTAGTGCAGTTTTCAATGTGTAAATTACTCTCTGTTCACTTTACAATTCTTTACTTTTTTCAAATTTTCATGAATTGCTCTCTAGAAAGTAAGTGCCTAAGATTATATAGCTTAACCCTAAACCTACTGAATTTCTAATAAAGACTGTTCTAGGTTCCATTTTTGAAACTGTCCATTGTTCAGTTAAATAATATCAAGACAAAAAAATTGAAGTTGGTCACCCTTTATTATAGAGTTTGGGGTTAAAACTGATATTTTTTAGACGGGCCGGGCTCAATATGGTGGCAAAGGCTAAAAATTTTCTGTTCCAGCGGGGGTAAGGTTAGATACTCAATTAAATACACCTTTACGCTGTTTAAAAATGAAAAATGTTGTAAAAAATTGGGCGAATTTGGGGGGCTTTTTTCATAGTTTAGAAATTCTGGTTATTTTTTAAATTAAATTTTTTAAAGTTTATTAATTTTGGGAATTTACAACATTTTTAGGCCTACAAAGTTGAAGGGTTCAAAGGTCAGGTGGGTTTTATTACCTCAATGAGTGAACATTTTTGTGGATCTTGCAATAGACTTCGTCTGACTGCAGATGGAAATCTGAAGGTATGTATTTATCTGTGATATTTTAATTGTACTTTTAAATTATTTTTCTTTTACATTAAAGAAACAAAACAAAAACACTGATGTAACTTAAATTTTGAAGACAACTTTCCATTATTTAATACTTAAATAACTAAGCAGAATTTTTGCATTACTCATTTGAATAAAATTACTTACTTTATTTTTAGCTTATCTTTTCTTTGTCTCCCCGGCATCCCTGTCACACTTTGGTTAAAATTTTGCCTGCAAGTTAGTATCTCTGGAAAAAAACTACTGAAGGCATTTGGTTGAAGTTCACACACTTGTTAATTCTGAGTTACCTTTTTACAGAGTTATGTCCCTTTCCTTACTGTCAAGCACCAAGAATAGTCGAGCACACTGTCTTACAGACCAATCTTGTTGAATGTATTTCTTGCTAAATATATTTAGGTAGCCTGATATAGGATATTTTAGGTCACCTTGTGACATCAAAACATCCAATCAAAGAAGAGCATTTTGTTGTCCGCATGATATAATTATGATATACATATATCTACATTTATTTTCGAAGGTATGTTTATTTGGTAATTCCGAGGTGTCATTAAGAGATGCATTAAGGGAAGATATATCAGAGGAAGAACTGATGCAGGTTGTTAGTGCAGCTGTGAAGAGGAAAAAGAAACAGCATGCTGGTATGTACAATGTATATCAGGGTTAACCCATTACCTACTGAATTTCTTTATTTGATTTGCCCAGCTTTTAATTTGGAACATTCCATTTGCAGTTTAAGGGATTTTGATATTAAAATACAAAAAAAACTTGGGTACCAGCAATTTAGAACTTGGTCAGACTGCACAGAAGTGTAGAGACTGACCTGCCTCTATACTGGTGGCAAAGGCTAGTCACTCTCAGTTCCAGAAGGTTAAGGGTTAAATTGTCTCAGATAAGATAAGAAGTTGTTAATTCAAGTTTAAATATTTTACTATCAACTTCTAAAAAATGTTGGCTTTCAATGAATGACAGAACTGCATGAATTTTCAGAAAGAGAATTTTCATTATTTTGTGAGTGAGAATTAGTCAATATTATCATGGCTTAAGTTATAAACTTATTATAATAATGTAGACAAATATTATCATATGAATAAAAGATAAAACATGACTATATTTATATTTTTACAGGTGTGCTTAACCTGTCTAAAATGAAGAACAGACCTATGATATTAATTGGTGGGTGACATCATTTATCTTAACACGTATGTACAAATCATGAATTAATTTAATGGAATCTGTGTTTAGTTTATTTTACTGTTAGTAACTAATAAGGATATAGATATCAATTGTGTGCTCATTATTGTTAAATATTTCAGGGTTCTTGTTCAAATTTTGCAGTTATATAATCACAAAGACCAATAGGTCTTAGTGATAAATAACCAAACAATTGAATGATAAATCTTGCATTATTATTATTATTCATTTCTAGACAAGGCAACCAGTGACTATGTATAATCCCAGTATAGCAAATGGATAGCCAGACAGGCAATTTGCATAAAACTGTTATAAAGGTCTTATTATTAATTTGTGGTGCATTTTTGGCATAAAACCTACAATCTTTAGCTTTTAGAAATACAGTAAACTTCACTTATAGCGAACACGGTTATAGCGAACTTCCGGTTATAGGGAACAATTTATTTTGGCCCGAATTTTGGCCTTCTTTATTTAATATAAAAATATATGGTTATAGCTAACACGGTTATAAGGAATTATCGCTTATAAGGAACTCATTTCTTTGTCCCAATTTAGTTAATAGTACAGAAAATTACACTTTTATAACGAACTCCAAAATATTGGCTATCCATTAATAGATCCCGCATTTTCAACGCACGGATTAAAACTCGGGCGAATGTACCGTTTATCGTTGTATGTACTTCAATACATCTATTGAAATGAATTTGTATAGTTTTCTATTTTGGATATTTTTAGCATGAGCTCTTTTCATCAAGATAAAACGGTTATTTATTTATTTTCTTCAATAGTTTTGCTGGAGTAAAATAATTATAATAATTTATAATTGGTTTTCAACATAATCATGCATGCTTGCAAGTATGATCCATTGCAAACTGCAAAGTACGCTTGATTTAAATGAAAAGAAATCTATATCTTACATAATTAAAAGTCACCCTTAAATTATAATAGAAGATATTCAATATAAATGGAAGGAAAAATCGAAAATCTTGTTTATTCTCAATCATGGAAAGAAAACGAAAATAGTTTAGAAACAAAATATTATATTTTATGTGAAATTGAGATAAGGAGTAAAACTAAAACTGAAATAGCAATGATTTTCGAATTCCAAAAAGTACGCTCTCGGGTAGTGTGTCTAAAATATAAATAAATGACTAATATTTCTATTACTTAATCAAATTCTCTTCAAAATGGCGGACAATGGTAAACAATCAGTTCGTTATATGTAAATCTGTTCGCTATAAAAACTACTGATACAAGGAACTAATTCGCTATATGCTTACAAGGAACTCCGGATATAAGGAACAGGTTTTGAATGTCCCAGTGAGTTCGTTATAAGCGGAGTTTACTGTACCAGTAACATTTATTTGCAATAGAAGCTTACTACTATATGTTAGACATATTACTTGTTAATTCACATTCTTTAATTTTAGCTTGTTATTTCTTTTTAGGTAACAATCAGAGAAAGTATTTGGAGAAAAGCTCAAAGATACTTTATGTCCCCCATATTTTACCAAAACCCAGTGATATGGTGAATACCATACCATGCAGATATATACATATCTCTAGTCTTTTATACTGTAATAAAGACATATATAATCAGAAATCTAATAATAGATCAGAGAACAGTGATTTAGAGGAAAAACATAATTTGGAAAGTGATTGGGCCGCATTGAGTAATGATGAAATTAAGAAATATAAATATTGGGAAACCCCTCTTGATTACGATGAAGTCAACACTGCAGACAATGATAAGTCTACCAAGTCCTTGGTGGATTTCCAAACTGAAAAACTAAAAAAATTTACTTATGAGAAAGGTGTTGCAGCTACTACTGCTGCTACTGACAATAATGACAATGATGTTAAAAGTGATACAAAAATTGAAGCACTTACTCACACTGATCAGTCTGGAAGTTTAAACATGGTTGATATTGGAAGTAAAGGTGACTCCTCAAGGACTGCTGTCGCTGTTGGTACGATTTTCCTTGGTCAAGAAGCTTTCAATCTTGTGAAAGAAAACAAAATGAAAAAAGGAGATGTATTAACAGTGGCAAAACTTGCAGGTATAACTGGTGCTAAAAGAACAAGTGAGCTTATCCCTCTGTGTCATAATATTCCCATATCTAAGATAGATGTAGATGTACAACTTGTTGAAGAGTCATATTCTGTGACAGTTTCCTGTCTTGCTAAGACTTATGGGAAGACTGGAGTTGAGATGGAGGCCATTACCGGTGTTGCTATAGCAACTGTTACAATATATGACATGTGTAAAGCTGTTACTAAGGACATGGTGATTGGAGATATCAAACTGACACACAAGTCTGGTGGTAAATCTGGAGATTACAATAGCGCGATATAAAAAAATGGGCATTCCTACATAAAAGTACATGTATATCTATTTAGTATTAGATATGTTCTTTTGATTTTATTCTTTTTATTAATCAGTGTTATTTGGTATGTAGCATTCTTTGGTAGAAATAATGGTAAACGCAATACAGTAAGCCTCTGTAAACTGATAGAATTTGTTTAGATATCATGAAATGCATTCCATAATCCAGTACACTGATGATATTATATAAGAGTTCTACATCTTTAAAAAAAATAGGCATTGACATGGTTTGTCTGATATTTATACTTGTTATAAAGTAGTGATTATGAAAATGTATAAAATTCCTGTAGTTAGACATGTCAACTTAATGATTATATAAGCTAGATAAACTAAAATTTTCAGGTAATCATTGATTTTCTATTATTGTATTCATTTTACATATGCTTTGGATAACCTATAAGAAGATAACCTATAACAATACTTTGCTTTGTCTGACCTAGACTTATTGTGTTGTTAAAATAGGAATGTATATTTTTCTGTCAGACATATCTACATAATTCAGTTTGATTAAAAAAACATTACTATCCATGTGATAAAAGATAAAATGAATATATTCATTTCAATTTATCATTTGATTATTTTACTGATTAAATGTTTTCATGTTTATTAGTTTTAGCGCTTTTGTTTTATATGTTTATGTTTTAAAGGCTGAGTTTTTTTCAGTAATTTTGCTTGGAAATGCTTAAGGCACATTTTGTAACGTTTATGTGCAATAAATCAAAATGTTTGATTTTATATTACATGTAAAAATTATATGCTTTGCAATACTTGTAAGTATCGTAAGTTTAAGATGTGAATATTATTGTTCTTCCAAACGTCTTTGTTTCAAGTCTAGTTGTGCATATAGTCAGCATTTTACAGTTCAATGATTTTTGTCAGAGATATGACCCATGAATGATTTTTTTTAAGTTTGTCCTGACTACCCCTCTTATACCACTAATGCAATTTCAAGGAAACTTTACAGGATTGATTGTTAGCTCAAGTTCTTATGCAAATTACACAAGTTTTCCAGTTAAATATTTTTTGGCTGAGTTATGGCCCTTGTATAAAAGCGGTCTATTTGCCTGTTATTGACTTTTGTGTTCTAGGTTCACAAATGCTGATGCATGCTACAAAGTAATCACAACTCCTGGGGATCATGTCTTTATGGTCTGTATGTCTGTCAATCATAAAACATGTCTTCACTTCTTCTCAAAAACTATTGGTGTAATTTCATCCAAACTAATGATTTAATCAGTACCAAATCTAGTTTTGCATATTGTCAGCAATTCTCAGTTCATATAAACTTTTAATGCATAGTCAATATATGTTTGTGATATTGTAATTGATTTTTGAAAATTTGAATTTATAACATGTTTTATAGGTGCATTTTAAATTTTTCAAATGTTTAAGCCAGTTACTCAGGAATATTTTTTTTGTAAAATTGTGGCAGTTGTTCTGCTCATTCTGAGTGAGTATTGTTTCTGTAAATCTGACTTTGCATTGTATATAAGATAATGGTTAGTTTAGTTAGTGAATATAATCCATCTTCCATACCACTACAATTTGGGATTCTGCATCCATATACATACATATTCTTCTACATGTATTTATAAAATTAGTATGCTACATGTATTAGTTGTGAAGGTTGTATTGAATTCAAGAAAAGTTACTAGTTTTAGACTTTAGTATACTTTACATAGCAAGCTGCTTACCTGCGAGTAAATACTTTTAGTAAGAGGATTGTTAATTGAGTCAGTAGGTAAAAGTTCAATGTGACAGTGATTCATAGATGTTGAAAACCAAAACAGTGTCCACTCATTTGTGTTTTAAACAGGTGATTTTTTTTTCAATGACAATTTATACAGTCAAGTATCATTTTCTCCATTCCTGAATTAATACATAATTTTCTGTCAGTCAATCCATGGGAGGGTCACTAAGGGTTTATGTTTTAAAATTTTACAGTCATTTTACAATCATTGATGGGATATCTTTAGTATATAGTCTGTTGTAAACAGCTTTAGTATATTGTTGGAATTTTATTGTATTTACAATCATGTTGATTAAAGATATTTTATTGAAACACCTTTTGTTATTTCTTTTAATTGATTTTGTGATATATTATGTTAAGAGACTCAAGACTCCATATTATAGTTAATGGTACATCTTATTTCCTTAACTTTTGTTGTAAAAATTACTTGTTTCTTTGCTTATTAACCTCAAACATTGGGAAAATTTACCTTGGCCATTCAAGAGTAGTGTTTTCTTCCTTATATTCCTGTACAGTCAGAGATGTGCTTTTGTGATGAAAATATGTCTGTCATATGTTGTTATCTATCAATATCTTTAAACAGCATATCTAAATTACAGGATGAATTTTGACTGAACTTCACAGGATAATCCTTAGGTTACAAACTGTCTACAAAAGTTATAGTGATATACAAAGTATTCAAAATAAATATGTTACCTTTAGGCTATTAATTACCTTGTAAGAGCATGAATGTTGTTCAGGGTCCGTACTCTCAGTGCCAAAAAAGGCGGGAGAACCCTCGTTATAAAGAAGCATATATTGTATACATACATCATTAATGTAAGGAATGAACCATGACTTGCAATGGACCTGTTTTTCACAAAAATTGATAGATTGTTCATACACTATGGTAAGTTTACATCAAATTAAATTTCTAAGTAAATTGTTGATTCTGTATACAATATACATGTACCCTTGTAATTTATACTCGGTGAAAAAGAACGTGTGCACTTGGTTAAAGGGAAATTCTGTCTACTTCTTCAGGCAAAATATTGGCATATTTGGTGTGGAGGATTGCAGAAATGTATTGACTTAATGGTTTACAATGAAATGAAATTTCATTAATGTTATTATAACTTTGGTTTCTTATAAACTGCCGCGAAGTTGCAGAATTGTGGTTTATGTAAATACGTTTTTGCTTTTGGATATTTGTTAGATGTTGATTGAACATGTTCAAATCCAATTCCATATGCGGATATGTCGGGTTCTTGCAGTTTCAAACACTCGTTGACTCGAAGGTGGATGGATGCAACAGATATTGTTTAATTGTCGGGTAACTAGATCGAAAAGCATTTATTAAGAAGTCACAATTCTGCAACTTTAAGTTTTCAGACTTTCTCTATCTACACGAAACCAAAATTCCGTTAATTACTAAGTAAACCATTCAAATGTTGATACCAAATTTGCCACTATTTTTCTCCTGTAAGCATTAACAGAATTTCGAAGTAATTTACCAAGGGCTCACTTTTCTTTGCAACTGAGTATATTTGATATGTGACACAAAAACAAAATAAACATCATTGATGTATCAGTTAACAAATTTTAAGTACTTGTGGAACAAACTAAACTTATTGTCAGTTCAAAACCAAAAACAACTTCAAATTCAGAAACAAACATATTCCTATGAGAGAAGCTACAAATGCATCAATAAAGTAGTGAGTGACCGGTCAGTTACTTGCCGGTGTCAATCTTTCTTCCTATACAAGCTGTAACTGGTAAACATGTGCTAATTAAGCAACAAAAACACCCGAAACTAATTAACTGGAAGTTTTAAAACAATTGGACATCGCCTTTCATTCTATTGACCATCATTTTAACGCCATTGGCGTTTTCATCTGTTTCATCAAAATCTCGTGACAAAAAAGAGAGATCATATCAGAAAAACGTCATAATACATCTGTTATCCATAAAAGTCGACCATATTGTAAACAAAGATTCATTAATCTTTTGACCACAAGCGAATCGCATGCTCAAACTGTCTTTCTATGATATGGAGTTAAAACTACTATTGCAGTACTTTTTGGTCGTTATCCACTTTGGATTATGTTGTGCAAGAAAGAATGTCTTATTTTTAATGGTAGATGATCTACGACCTCAGATCGAACCTTACACCGGAGAACATTTTCCATCGTATGTCAGTCCGCCTATGATTACACCAAGCCTTACGACCCTTGCTGGGAAAAGTCTTCTTTTGCAACGTGCGTATGTTCAACAAGCTATGTGTACACCAAGTCGGGCCTCTCTCTTGACTGGTCGTAGACCAGACACCACACATGTGCATAAACTAACCACGTACTTTAGAGATGTGGGAGGAAACTTTACAACAATTCCCCAGCACTTCAAACAGAGCGGATATACTTCTGTAGGAATAGGGAAAATATTTCATCCTGGAGTGGCATCGGGATACGACGACCCAATATCCTGGTCAGAACCTTATTTCCATGGTGTGATTAATCACGAGGGAACCAGCGCAATGTGGCGTGCTGTTCCCGACAGCGATCTCGTAGCTAAACCACTAAGAGACAGGCAAGTAGCAGACGAAGCGTTAAGGCAACTTCGCAATCTTGCGCCAGCAGCTGTTGCAGGAAGCAATAACTTTTTCCTTGCCGTCGGATTCCACAAACCTCATGAACCATTTGTTTTTCCAGAGTCTTTCTTACAATATTATCCTGAAAATTTTATAAATTTACCGAGCAACGGCTTTGCACCAAGGAAAATGCCGGAAGTAGCATGGAGTACATACGACGGACTCCGTCAATATGAAGACATAGCAGCTACAAACGCGACTGGAGAAATTGGAACCACACTTCCAGACAAACTCGTGAAGGAATTCAGAAGAGCTTACTACTGCTCAGTTACATGGATTGATTCACTAATTGGTGAAGTTTTGGATGAGTTAGAGACACTTGGACTAGCAAATAATACGATTGTATCATTCATTGGAGATCACGGTTACCACCTTGGTGAACATGGTGAATGGGGAAAGAGAAATAATTTTGAACTTTCTACACATGCGCCAATGATGATTCGAATTCCTGGAGTCACAGACGCAGGAATACAATCTGACCAGCTTGTTGAATTCGTTGATCTGTTCCCGACACTTGTAGAAGCTGCAGATCTTGGTCAAATACCACAATGCCCAGAAGACTCAAGTAACATAGAACTATGTCACGAGGGAATGAGCCTTTTACCACTGATAGGAAATCCTGGTACAGCGATAAGGACAGCTGCATTCTCACAGGCAAAAAGCCCTTTTCCAGGCTACGGTCGTTATATGGGCTATACTATGCGGACAGTCCGTTATCGATATACCGAGTGGGTAATATACCGAGACGATCCGTACTTCTATCCTAGGTGGGAGCTTGATCTAGCCGGAATAGAGCTCTATGATCACGATGACGACAAAGACGAAAACTTCAACAGAGCTTACAGTAGAGCTTACAGCTGTATACAAGAGGCGCTAAGTAAGAGACTGAGGGGTGGATGGAGAGAGGCTATTGTTACCAAATCAGAAATAACCCGATAGAAAAATAGCCTAACTTTGGTGACGATTTTTTGGCTAAATTGTTGGAAATACGCTATGGCGAAATAAAATTATTTTTGAACCTTCCCTCATATTTATTTTCATGTTTCTGACCTCGTGTTAACTGAAGAAAAGGTTACAAGCGATGCTATCATAAAAATAAAGTTACTTTGCGTTAGTTTTTTCAATTTTAAACATAACATTGATTTAATCTTGCCGATATATGTTCATACACCATGGCTTAAAATCCACACTTTTTTAAGACCTGTTTATTTAAAGTATTTTTAAGAGAATTTACTAATCCTAGCTTCCTTCTGGAAATGAAATTGTTCAATAGCAAGAAGACAGAATGACTTGATTCAACTGAATTTAAATAAAAATTTTAAAATAAAGTATTTCATTCCTTACAATCTAAATTTACTGTCTTACATGTATTTAAAACTTTCGAATTAACATACTACATATATATTCCCACGTGCATGCCAGCTGATACAATGTATCTCGTCGGAGTTTGTAATTTCAAGTGTTTAACTGTAGAACAAAATTAAGCCTTCCTGAACAAAAGTCCGTCCAAAATTGACAAAAAAGTGGACAAATATTATCCAATAAAATTTTCTGATACTTTTCTTTAATAAAGCAGATATAATAGCGTAATCTTTAAATAAAATAGGCCTAGTACATGTTTATATTTATTAGGTGTTATTATAATTCCTTTACAATTCGCAAAATTTACTTTGCTATTTTCTCAATACAGAGCCAATACATTTTTTAGTAAATTCAAAGTTGCGCCCCTTTCTTCTAAATTCACCATTTGTACAGTAAAATGGAGGATTTTGTTAATAATTTGTTGCAACTAATATGACAGTTCCGATGGAAGTTGCCTTGTTCCAGTGGTAAGAATACTTACTGGTTTAACAATATTCACTAGTCCAGAGCCATTCCAAAAATTTTGACTGGGTGGAGGAAGGGGGGGGGGGGGGAGGTGTGTTCATTTTACGCAAAGGGGTACGGCTCATTGAATGTTCACAAAATATCTGTTTGATGGTAGACAACATTTATCCTAAGTCAGAAATGAATTCTAAGTCCATTCCCATTACGCTATACTAATATGAAAAAGGCAAAGCCTCAAAGCGAGCTCGATGCACTTTTTACGTGAAATAGTATGAAATAATCGCTCAATTTTATTTCAAATGCAGTAACAAGTGCGTGTGACGTCACACGTACTGTGTTAAATATGGCTCCGCCCCTGTCGTGAAATGAATAACGAGTTTTGAAAACGTTGATAAAACTTTGTTTATTTTGTTTCACTCTATAATTTTTCAAGCGAAATAAAGATTATCTAAAGTGAAATAAATGTAAAACTTAAAACGTTTGCGACATTAAAATAGCGTACTTGATTTGTTTGTTTTGCACGTGCTGTTTGGAGCTACATTGTGACGTCAAGTAAACAATACTTTAAACGTCTGTACAGCGTTAACGACTGAATAAAAGATATTGGTGTTCGGATTCATTTTCTTAACAAGGCCGTCGTCGATGGTCCGGCCGGTCCGGCCCTGGCCGGACTAATATTTTGGCCAAAAATAAGTTTTTAAAAAAAAAGAAAAAAAAACACGCATCGCTGATTAGCAATTAGACACTTAACTGGCCCCTTATGCAATGCGCGGTAACATACAAACATGACGCGAAGAAACAACTGGACACTGTTAATTGACCAGGTATATGTAAGGGTCCTACGAAGTCAAGACATCGACGTGGCTTCGGACAGTTCACCGTATTATAGAAGTAATCCTGAATACACACATATATATGTTTACAATTCTTAAAATTAATTACATCTGTTCACATACAAGTATCTTAATATGAATAGTTTAAGATAGTTAAAATACCATGATGTGTGACACAATTCTATCGGAACCAAATCAACCAAAACGAACATTTGGTGAGTACATTTTTTGTCAATGTTATATATAGTATGATATAAAAAAAAAAAACAAAAAAAAACAGTGCATGAGATTTGCAATATGCATTATGAATATCTTAAACTAGTATGCCTGAACATTATCGGTGTTAGAACGAGCACTGTTCTCTAAGGTCGTTTTGTTGTTAAAAGTTTTGTTAGTAATGCCTGCTACTAATGCTACCAGTGAAAGGACATTCTCGGCGCTCAGAATAAAGAATAAAGAACATACCTGATATCGACAATGTCTCAAGTACGCTTGAACAATCTAATGGTGTAACCTATTCATAAGTACAGGACAGATTCACTCAACTTACGTGTAATTGCCGATGAGTTCATTACCACCAGAGAACGACGGCGATGTGTTTTTGGAAAATTTACATAAAATGAGACTCTGATTTTTGCAAGATTATTGTGAGCAAAATACAAGTTACTGCTAACCAAAAGCGGTTATTGTTGACTCGTAATGTACTATTCTTCCATCATGGCATCGACTGCTATTTAAGCTTATACCATTGTGTGATTTATGTCAAACAATAATCCACGTACTGTAATATTTCTTGTATTTGTTTATTTATAATTATCAAATAAAAATGTATCTAAAGAATTATAACAACATTAGTTATTGTTTATTTTTCATTTGCCAAATATCAATTACATAAAATCTGTAAAAAATCGTTGACATATTACTATAACTTGTACTAGCGACAGGCTGTAAACTGTGCCAAATATACGGGAAAACGCCCCTGAGAGCATCCTAGAATAAAAAATTTTCCGGGGGAGCATGCCCCCGTACCCCCCTAGATTCTAGCTAAAACATACCAAATTGGCCGCACCAATCACAAAATCGTGGCGACGGGCCTGCTTAATTAGACCATTTTCTTTCATTCTAGATAGTTTTCACAACAAAATTCGACAAAAAATTGTTCTTATTTATCAGATTTTTCAAACAAAATGGCGCCTTCAATTATTATTTTTTTATACACAGCTTCCGTTATTCTGGTTCCCTGTCCAACTATGGTTCCCATAGACGTGCGCGGGTGACCAGTCTAGACATCCGTTTTCAGTCAGAATTCCTCAGTTTTTATCGTTATCTTTAAATTCGAAAGGTTGCGATGTGTCCAATTCGGTACTTTGGACGAAAGTTTTGAAAACCATCACTTAGCAGGTACTCGCGTTACCGTAAAGCTCGCTTTGCGAGCAGGCCCTTCGGGCCAGCTCGTCGAGCTCGCTATAATATATAGACAAGGGTAACAACTCCCATAAGGTGTCTATGCCCAATCAGGGTTTTTGCCGTGCAGTTTTTTTACACGATACAGCATAAATAAAAAGGAATTATGCAATATGTAGTCGAATGATTTATCTCGAACAAATGTAAAACTTTTCTTATATCTCTTATACTTAACGAGTACTGGCCGTCAAAGTAACAAATCAAAGCACAGAAGGCGCTGAATTTGTTTGGGTCTCAGAATGTCATAAAGGTTGAAGGTTGTGAGATTATAGTTTTTGTATAGTGCCACCAATGCTTTCCAGCGTTTTAATTGTAGTAGATTGGCTATAAGACTAATTGCAACACTGATATTCAATCCAATGTTTATTTGACTTAAACAATTTAAAAAAAAAAAAATGAGTTGCCTTAACTGGGATTTGAACTCCAGACCTCTCGCTTCCTAAGCGAGCGTGCAAACCCCTCTTCCACGGTGAATTTATATGTTAACGGCCTGAAGAAAACCATATTATTCTAAATTAGGGTTTGTAACGACGCTAACCGTTGTTTAACACTTGTGTAAATAATCATGGCACTTACTACAAGCATGTACTGTATATCTATAAAGAATAAAACAATATTAGAAATCTTTGATCATTCCAGAATTATTTTGCTTGAAAATTAATGCGCCTGTCATGTGAACATATTTACGTAGTGATCTCCCCTGAATTTTTTTAAAGGGACGTAACCGCTTCAAAAAAGCGGACTACTTTCTGCATTTGCAATTAATAGCATTAGAGTCTGAAGTTTCGCTACCATTATTTGTTTGGTCTGACGACCCAAACAAATAAAAACTGTTCATTTTCGCGAGGTCAACATCGATCATGGCTATGCAGGAAACATAAAGTTACATGACTGTTGCAATCGATAGAGATAATATCACAAGCATTTATCATGCTGGGCAATTAAGAATACATAAAACTAATCAAAATATACCAATAACCTATAATGACAATATGATATAAACTCACCTGTGGCTTCAAAATATTTCCTCGTTGAAATTTCTATAAAACCACCGCTATCTTGACGAATCTAAACAACCGTCATTTGATTGGTCGATTTATTTCTCGAAAATATACCAGTAAATTTCTGTACAGATCTGTAAGTTGGTCAATTTTTAAATAAATACAAAAAAATGACAGCAGGAAACCAGTTCCTTTTTCATTAAAACATTCTCTTATATATTTTAAGACCTGAAATTTTACTTAGAACTGACATGCGTATCGTTTATTAAGTTATTATCAACACTTTAACACAATAGTTTGTATGTTATCATCGACAATTTGCAAATATTGTTTGAATGTTCTCATAAAATACAACATGTTAGATGAAACTAAATACATTTTTAGAAAGCATCGGAACTGCCACGGTCGTTAGGCTATGTAGCATAATTTGAATTGGCTTGATAAAAAATAATCACTAAAAAACTTACCTCAGCCGAGCTATTTTTGCCATGTACGTTGACTTTTGTGGTGACGTGACCAAAGTTGCTTACACACAGCGTGTTTTAAATTCCAGTCGTTCTCAGAAAAAATCTACAAATAAAATGGAGCTTTCATATGCATAACTGGCATGCAAGTTGTTCCTGTACCTTGTAGTTACTTTAAAACTACATTTTAATATGCACATTGACCAAAAAATTGATTGACATTACACATCAATATTTGGCTTGTTATACATATTTGTACAAATCATGAAAATCCCAATATGTTCTAAATATAGAAAATCTTCTTAGTTATGAGGTGTGATATGGGGTATTGGAATTACCCATTATTTGCTATGAAGTCAGAAAAGTAGTTCCCATACTTAAAATATAATCCAATAATGATATACAGTGTTGTAATATTTGCCCTATATTTCATTTCTAATAGTTCAGGAAACCATTTTTCCAGAGGTAAATATATATATGTATGTCGCTCAGCAAATACAGCTTGGACTAAACATGGGAACTATTTTCCGTTACCATAGTCCATGCAAATGAAGTGCTTTTATGTATGATATTTTACTTATTAAAGCCATACATTAATATATTAATACAATAATATAGAGCAAATTCTGATATTTTAAAAAGTTTTCATCATATTGCCGACTTATCTGCAAAACCCTTGACAGACCTCATATGGCAGTAATTTTGTGCATTTGGGCAAAGTGGGAATCCACGAACATTTACAAGGTCATGTTTTGACAACACATAAAATGAAAATGTTTTGTACCTACTGCTAAACTGAAACAAGTTTAGATTTTGTCTTGTTCACATATCTGCATGATTTAAATGAAAAATTTGGGTACTGCTTTTGTACAGAAACTACTGGCATGCTAGTACACAATTATACATTTTTCCAGAAAATTTCAGTCTAAAGCGCATGCAAAAGCTTTAAATGCCAGTCTTTTTTTAATGTTAAATGATGGCCTTTGATGCTTTTCGAGTGCAAAATTTATAATACATGCTTCTTAGTACTTTTCTTGCTTTCAGTACTAATTTGTTATTTAATATCTTCAGTGTAACTTCCGAATTATGGAATTTCTGAAATCCGTAAAATTCCGAAATCCGAACATTTTTCAAGGTCCCAAAATTTCTCCTTCTGTTTTCTATGTAATTAAAACCTCTGATTTATGGAAATTCTGAATTACGAATGGTTTTCCTGTAAAATTTGTGTTATATCAAAACAAATTTACTTTTAAAAAATCCGGAAATTTAAAAAGGTGTGAAGGAATATTATACTGTGCTTGTAAAATCTTTATAATTTATGTAAGCGGGCAAATAGCAGTTAACATTTTATTATCTTCACACCTATTAGAAGCACAATCCGTCAAAGCAGTCCAACACTTGAATAAAGTGTGTAAATTAAGAAACTCTGAAGTTTAATGTGATGGGGTAAAACATTATGCTATTGTATCAACAAATTCAGTTATTGATGATAATGACATTTAAAATAGCAATAAATGTTTTAAAAAATCCTATAATTTTGCCATTAAATTTTTTTTTAATTTTATCAGCTTCATGTATATTTCATCTTGTCTTACTTAAACAATATATATTTTATGATTCTACTTGTTCAGATAATTCTGAACTTCTGAAATTCCGGAAACTTCCAAATTCCGAATTTTTTGGTTAGTCCAACAGGTGTTCGGTTTTCAGAAGTTACACCGTATTATCTAAGATTCTATCTGTCTGCTGGACAGTGGAAAAGCTAAATCCTTACTTGTTAAACTAATTGATTTGAGCAGTAAGAAGTAGGTTTTATAAGGAAGTACATTGTGGAGGATCTTTTGAGAGCAAAAAAGAACAAATTATTAAGAAGGAAATGTACAAGTAGGTAAAATGTTAGTCACTAAGAAGTACAAAGTACAACATTATAAAGTATTTTCTCTTCATTTCTGTAGGTAAAGTGGAGGAATGAACATGCTACACACTGAGTTGACAGTAGAATCTAAAATATCCGAAGGGTTTTTTAGAATGAAGTTAAGTTAGTGTCAGACTAGTAGAATAAAAGGAAGATGGAAAATGTGTCAAACTTATTTGAAAATTGCACTATACGTGGTTTGCCAATAACAGCCCCATTCAAGATACACTATGATGTTGAAGGCAAGGACAGTGAGATAGGGACATTCATAATTCTTCCATTCCAGGTAACTGTCATGAAACCCAATCTAATTGATTTTACGAAAACATTTGATCACAAAGTAGATCTTGACAACAGTTATTCAGACAACATTCATGACAGTTCTAATGGTGACCGAAGTTATATTGAAGATCCAGATGAGGAAGGTTCTAAAATAATTATTAAAGTTGAACCACAGGACCATGATATTGCAGATAATAATTTTGCATCACATTTTGATGAAAGAGCATCACAAGTTGATTATAGACAAATATTTGATGCTCAGACTTTTGGTAAGAAAAAGAGAATAGTGAAGAATACACCTCGTGTTAGATATAAAAGAAAGAAAAGTAAAAACTTTGAAGACAATGAAGAGCATACAAAAACAAAGATTAAAAGGAACAAATTACATGAGACAGACTTTGAACTTGAAGAAATACAAAAACCAAAACTGGTCAAGTTAGAAGAGAGTGATCATGATGATAATATTGAAGGGTCACACAGGAAAAGTAAACGCCTTCAATATGCTGGATTTAGACCTGACTACCAGAATGTAGAAAACAAGGTTGATAACGTTTTAAAGTATCTAGAGGGTGACAACACAAATTCAGATGATGAAGTTAATGAAGTTCAAGAGGATTCAGATTATGAGTCTGTAACAACATCAGGAAATAATAACAGTGCAGATAATAGAGCTAAAACTGAGAAAAACAAATTGTCTCGGAAACGAAAGAAAACTAAAGATCCTGATTTTGACCCTACTGACGTTTATTCGGATAAAGTTATTATAAAGAAAGAAAGTGTTCTAATAGAAAATGAGATCAGTGACATTGATTATGAAAGTGATGTAGATTATTTGGATGAAAACGACTCAAAATTTAGTGATGAGAAAAAAACAGATAAAAAAGAAAAGCTTAGCAAAAGTGAGACACAGACAAAAAGGATATATGTAAAGCTGGAAGAACACCCTGACAAGTATAAGATAGAGACATTAGACCCTCTCAAAAGAGAAGACAGAGCAAAATCAGAGCTGGAGAGGTATGTTACAGTTTATGTCTGTACAATGTGCAACAAATTTAATAGTGAAAGTGTAGAAGGTATTGAAGGGCATTTAGAAAATCACTTGAATGGTGAACTGACCTGTACTGAGTGTGATTTCTTTTCAACAAATGTTGCTGAAGTTGTAATGCATAAAGCACAAATGCATACAAGACACCGGAAAGCATGTCCAGAGTGTGGAGTAACTTTAGGCTATGGTAGATTGAAGCCTCACTATGGTTTAGTTCATGACAATCCACAATACGTTTGTGTATATTGTCAGAAAAATGAAGGGATAGTTGTAAAGTTTGCAACATGTAGTCATCTTCGAAAACACCTGAAAGCAGCACACAGGGAAGTTTGTCTTACATGTAAGATATGCGACAAAGTGTTCATAAAGGGAGATCATTTGAGATACCATTTAACTAAATGTACTGGCAAGAAAGACACAAGTAGACAGTGTGAAAAATGCGGAAATAAATTTGCAAGTGAACCAAATCTTCTACGGCACATGGAGAGAGTTCACTTAAAGGTGCGGAGATACATGTGTCCTGAATGTCCATTTGCTGCGAAGTCGCCATCAGTGCTAAGAAATCACAAATATGTTCATCAAGGTAGGTTTATTGTAGTTTTATATTGAAAATATATTTTGTCTTGCAGTTTATTTTTTAACAATTCTGGATAATCAAGCTCCCTGTGATGACCCTGCCTTGGAAGTTCAGACAAATATCTCTTACAATTGCCTTCTTGCAGCTGCCTGCAAGTTGGGCATATCTCTGACTGGATTGGTGGATAACAAAACCACCTCATGGACAGGCAGTGTGGAGATTTAAAGCTTAGCTCAGTTCCGTGACACACCCATATGGGTTAGGGGGCAAAGGCAGCAGTGGTTATAAATAAATGATGCATTGCTATACATTCATCATTTAAATATTGAAAGATTATTAATTTGTTTACGAAATGAAGTAAATAATATATAAAACATACAATTACTTTTTCTATGTTTCCAGGAGTACATCCATATCAGTGTGACCAGTGTTCATTCACATGTGTCCAGGCCTACCAGCTAGTTTCCCATATGCGCACACATACAGGAGAAAAACCATACAAATGTACACAATGTAAATATGCTGCAGCCTGGAATGTTCAACTAAAGGAACATGTCAAAGTTCACAGTATGTCGACAGCTGTCATGTGTCCAAATTGTGAAATATTGTTCAAAAACGACAAGACGCTTCATATTCACTTAAAAAAGCAAAAATGTACCATAAATGAGGTGTTATTAATATGTAAAAGAGAAAAGGGAAATAATAATTTTTACTTACTTTTGAACTACAGACTTTCAAAAAGGGTAATTTCAAAGTGTTTATTAAGCTTGCAAATTGCTGTTAGGTTCTTTAAAGCAAAATGGTTTATTTATGGGGCATGAGGAGTTTGGGAAAAAACAGTCATTTTTTTTATTAGAATTAAATTTGGTTTGGTTTGACCTACAATTTTCTTTAGAGGATCCATTTTTTTTTATAAGGGTTGCTTGTGAACAGGGTTTTTGATGTTTTTTTTTGTGGTTTATTTTTGAAAAAATACAATTGTTTTTGTTAAAATTTTAGGAAATTTTGTAAAAATTTTTTGTTATAACAAGTTTATTAAATTTGTTTGCATATTAAAACAAACTTTTTTGTATTTTTTTTGTGGTTTTTCTTTTAAAAAACAATTTTTTTTCTTTTGCATTTAAAATGTTTTTTTTGCATTTAAAATGTTAGGAAATTTTATACAATTTTTGTATTTGTTATGTTTAAATTAAAACTTAATATAATTGTTATGTATATCAATTTTGTATATACAATGTACATTTTATATGTGATTCTTTGAACAATTGTTAAATGTAGTACATTTAAACACTTATCTAGCTAGTTTAATTGGATGGGAAGTAGAAATTTTTAAAGTAGTGTTCACTTTTTAGATAATGTATAGTAGGGGTGTTACGTTTATTCGTTTAAACGGGTTCGGCCTGGTTTTTAGCCAAAAAAATCGGTTAGAAATTTCAATAACCAAAGTTAGTATAAGACCAGCAGCTGAAGAAATTTTAGATTGATTTTAAACATTACATTTGTTTCTTTATGGCACGATATGACAGCTTGTTTTTTTTTTTTTAAATGTATTTTTGTCCGATTGCAAGCTATCTTATGTGTATGGTACGACAGTGACTCCAGTGACACCCCTAATGTATAGTAAAGTTTTACTTTATATATCTGTTTGTTATCATGTCATGTGAAGGTGATTTTATTTTATCTTTAACCATTGTATTATTTTATTGTAATTTTATCAAGCAAACTTTGTACATTTACCAAATCTTTATATTAAAAAAAAATAAAATAAAAAAATGCTAGTACAATGTATATTGTGCTTTGTAAGCAAGATTTTTCTAATTTTATAGTTTATATTCACTTCCTATTCCTGAATTCTTATAGTATTTGATAATGCCTTAATAAATGCCACAACATTTACTTCAACCCTGGCAGTAACTATTTCTGAAAGGAGTTTATCAAATTACTCCTGTATATCAACTAAAAATATTTTGCCATTGTATCAGATGTATTATGTATACTTTTTTCTAATGATATTGATTTTCTAAGTAAAAGGCTTTGTTTGTCCTCTACAATATATTTGCTGTATTATTTTCTTCTCTTGAGTATTTTTCCTACATATTTTTTAATTAAGTGATATATATATGGTTTTTAACTTTTACACTTCATAATACTTTTTGTATTTGTTTTTATTGATATATCAACAATCATCGTATTTAGCACTGGCACGGTGGCCTATTAACCCTTTCACTGCCATAGGGACGGCTTATACCGTCCCTGTTATTTTCGGCGTATTTGCCATATGGACCGCTTTTGCCGTTTCTTTAATAATAATGATAATAATAAATTAATAATAATAAAAATAATAATAAATATAAAGAAAATTATACAATCAACAATTATTATTATTATACTAACAGATTTGGAAACATATAATTATTATAATACTAATAACAAATAATAATAATTATATTAATCAATAATATAGTAATTTCTTAGAAAACCCTCTGGCAAATAGGTGATCTATAAAACAATAACCTTCTGGCAGTGAAAGGGTTAAATTAGTTTGGGCCAGTGTAAATTTTAAGAAAATTGAGTTGAATAAATAGTAGAATAAATTCAAATCTGGAATTCGGGCCAGTAAATTCAAAATTTTAATTCATTGACTGTATCAAAATCCTTTTGGTTGAAGGATTTAAATTTTAGTTCATTTATGTGTTCATAAAATGTGAGTTGTGTATTTTATATTTCTATCGTTTAAAATTTATGATAAGATACTACTTTGTTATGGATATATTTAAAGCATTTTATCATACATGTATCAAGATTTTTTTTTTTCTAGAGATATTTTTTTCCCATTCATATTGTATATAATTTGTTTATTCTTATTCTCTTTTTATAAGCTCTTCTATTTCAAGGAAAACAAGGCTATGTCATTAATGTTGCCCATCATTCAAACATTTTAAAAGTTGTCAAGACGTAACTTGGAATACTTGCTTATTATGACAAGGTGCAGTTGTTGTGAGATATGGGGCATAATTCTTATTTTTGGAGTTATGCCCCTTTTTAACTTAGAAATTTTATCAAAAATGGTTATTTTACATGTATTCTTTGCTGCTAGCAGACAAACGTTAACACTGCATGCTGTGCTCTTGTAACTTAGAATTTTTATCAAAAATGGTTATTTTATATGTATTCTTTGCTGCTAGCAGCATGCTGTGCTCTTGTTAACTCACCCGAGCTGGCTCAGGGTCAGCTTTTAGGATCATTGAATGTCCTAGTCCTTCATCCATCCACATTTAGTTTGTTAACACTCTAGTGGTCACATATTTGCCTCAGTTGTCACTTAACTTGGTTAGGTTGCTCGCACCAGTAATTACTTATACAAGTTAAAACATTTGTTGTTGTTTCTTCGGAATAAAAAATAGGTCAGAGGTTTAAAAAAATTGAAAAAAATCTTGTTAGCACTTAATTCGCTACTGTTTCAGTCCAAATACATTTTGTATCCTAGAAATTGGTCAGAAAGGTTGCTTCTTCGACTTCTAGGTCATGTTTGTATAAGGGTCATCTTAAGTAAAAAAAAAATACTTCACACAGCCTAAATTAAGGAAAACCAAGGTAATAAATATTATTGTCTCTTGTCATAAGAGCTTTAATAACCCAGGTGAGCGATATAAGGACCATCATGGCTCTGTTGTGTAACAAAGAGTCTGAATTACATTCATGTAATTATCTTTTAGTGCTGAGATAGTTATGTGATGATGTATAGAGAATAATACATTAGTGCTATTGTAACGGGTTGATTGTGTAAGGTTGTGTTCTCATAAGCCTACAAGGCATTTAGTATATACCTTATGTAAAATGTGGACAGAAAATGTAGAACAAATGAGCCGTGTCACGACAAAACCAACATAATGAGTCTGGGACCAGCATGGATCCAGACCAGCCTGCACATCCGTGCAGTCTGATCAGGATCCTTGCTGTTCGCTTACCAATCCTATTACATGTAGAAAAACTGATAGCGAACAGAATAGATCCTGATCAGACTGCGCGGATGCGCAGGCTGGTCTGGATCCATGATGGTGGCAAACGCACTATTTTGGTTTTGTCGTGACACAGCTTAAATAAAGAATAGGCTTGACACTATGATATAAATATGTTGTTATGGAAGGTGTATTAAGCGTTTGAATAGAGGGTTTATACACTATTTTTCATGCATTTACATTTGCAGAAGCACAAGAATGAATTTAAAGCCTAGCCCACAGGTCGAAGGATGTTATAAAATTCCAGAGGTTCTGAATATGTAAATTCAAGAGAAAAGTTGCATTAGTGCTTTTCTTGCATAAAATTTTTTGTCTGATATGGTGGGGCATCCATAGCTGAGTGTTTAAAGTTGTTTACTTTAAACCACCTGCTTCTCACCGTTTTAGGTTTGAATCCTACTAGGGACTTAAGATTCTACCATGTCAGGAAGCTATCCAGCTACATTATGGAACATGGGTGATTCTACTTCTGCCAGAAATAATGTACAGAGGGGCAACTGATGCTTCCTCCATCAGTAAAGTTGAAAATATTTGCAATTGACATTCACAGTCACAAAACTCTATAAAATTTCAAATTGAAACATGTAAATTGCTAATAGGTCAAAAAAGGGGAAAAACAATGATTATAAAATACACTGAAATACATGTAGGTAATAACAATGCAAATTTAACCAATGACCTATGTTATTATCAAAATATAATTAGACTAACAAATAAACATACATACCGGAATTTTTGACCAATTAGTAATTTACATGTATCAATTAAAAATTTTATAAAGTTTTTTTGCAAAACAAGAATTTTACTTTATTTTGGAAAAAAAATCAGAAAGATATAATGACAGACCTGAAAGAGAAATGTGTCGCAATTATTGTAAAAATATTTTTAATTGTTAGATATTTTATATATTGGTAAATTATAACTATAAATAACTGCCATATATGTTATTAGTTTATGGTGTTTGTAAAAATATATACAGATATTGTAGTTATAAATTGGGTTGTTTTATCTATTTCTCCTCAACTCAAACTGGTTAAGTTAGTTAGATGTAGATTTTCAATTCATTAAAGTGTGAAAGCTATCCAGCTAGCTTTCGGAAAGTCTGTGATTCTCCCAGGTGCCTGCTTATGCCTGAAATAATGAACAAAGAGGCACCTGAGGTCTTCCTACACCAGGAAAGCTGAAAAGTCACCTATGACCTCTACTGTTTTGGTGTGACTTAAAAGCAAACCCAAACAAATAAAATAGATGTACACAGTAGATGATTTTAAACCACACAGATCATTAAGAAAGAAAGAAAATAAAGCATCCTATACAATTCAGTTTCTGTCTTGAAACAATGATGGATTATTTTCCCCAGAATCAACATGCAACTTGGGTAGCATAGCAGTACAATATAATTTTGTTGAAAAATCAGCAGTTACTTCAGGAAAACCTGGATTATACTGATATGAAATACTTCTGAAATAACATCTCCTAATCCCTTCACTGATTACAAGAAACGTATACTTGTTCTACTTGTAGAATCATCTAACTACATTCAGTCAAATGGTTACTACAAAAGACATTTCTATATTTCTTTCCCCTTTTTAGTACACCTAAGCATAAAGTGTTTACATGTGATCGAGCTTTTGTGATAACATGACGTCTTGCATACACTGAAGTGCTTCAATATCTGAAATTTCCTCAAAAGAAAAACATTTTCTTTTTTTGTCACATGGAAGATTTAACAAACTTAACAGCAATCTTCCTCAGCCCTCTACAAAAGTTATATAAATGGTTCCAGTTTTATGCAAAAGTAGAATAAAAGAGCGGTAAAATAGACATAAATATGAAAATAACTCTAACAAGAGCTGTCACAGGAGACAGCGAAGCTCGACTAATAAAATACTGGACGCAGTAAGGAGGACAAAACTATGAAAGAAAAATCAATTATGTATAATCATGTATTAAGTTATAGTAAAAAAATAATATTTGTTAACATAAATTCAAAGATCAAGGGGAATAATTCTAGAAATAGTCATGCTAGAGTTATGGACCTTGTCAAACAACATTTGTGTAATGATAAGAAATACATTTGAAGTTTGAAGTAGATACCTTAAAAAGTAAAGAAGTTATTATATTTCTTAAAGAAAATCCTAAGTTCAAAGAGAGATAAATGTGTAAATATTACTTCAAGAGTTATGAACATTGTCACATTAAATGTAATTGATGATAAGGAATAAGTATTTGAAGTTTGAGGTAGATACCTTTAAAAATAAAAAAGTTATAATAAAAAATAAAATTTTTCTAGTAAAAAAATCTAAGTTAATTGGGAGATAATTCTTGCAATATTGGTGCTAGAGTTATGAACCTTGTCACATAAGATGTGGATGATGATAACGTAAATATATTTGAAGTATGAAGTTGATCCCTTTAGAAATAAATAAGTAACAGTAAAGAAAATATTTTTTATGGAAAATTCAAAGGGAGATAAATCTGAAAATATTGGTGCTAGAGTTATGAACCTTGTCACATAAGATGGGGATGATGATAACATAAATATATTTGAAGTATGAGGTTGATCCCTTAAGAAATAAAGAAGAAACAGTAAGAAATAGTACTTTTTGAAGAAAATTCTAAGTTCAAGGGGAGATAAATCTGAAAATATTGGTGCTAGAGTTATGAACCTTATCACATAAGATGGGGATGATGATAAGGTACATATATTTGAAGTATGAGGTTGATCCCTTAAGAAATAAAGAAGTAACAGTAAAAAATAGTATTTTTTAAGGAAAATTCTAAGTTCAAGGGGAGATAAATCTGAAAATATTGGTGCTAGAGTTATGAACCTTGTCACATAAGATGGGGATGATGATAAGGTACATATATTTGAAGTATGAGGTTGATCCCTTAAGAAATAAAGAAGTAACAGTAAAAAATAGTATTTTTTAAGGAAAATTCTAAGTTCAAGGGGAGATAAATCTGAAAATATTGGTGCTAGAGTTATGAACCTTGTCACATAAGATGTGGTTGATGATAAGGAACATATATTTGAAGTTTGAAGTTGATACCTTAAGAAATGACAAAGTTATAGTGAAAAATATTTTACTGCACCAAAACTTTAATCTAAAATCTGGACGCGGACGCCGACGCCGACGCCGGGGCGAGTAGGACAGCTCTCCATATACTTCGTATAGTCGAGCTAAAAAATCTTCAATGCCAAGAGCTTCGTCATGTTCGTAGTCGTCTGCTAAAGTTATGTAAATTATTCCACTGGTGTATAGGGAAATACATTCAAATCTGCGTAGCCAAGAGCATGAAGTATTATCTTAGAAGCATGGTGGACTTCTCCAGAAGTTGTATAAATCATGCCTGCAACGAAGCAGGTTTTGAAAATAGAAGAGCATTACTGTAAAAGAGATTTCATTTATAAATAATACATGCATGTACACAAAAAAGTAAATAATAAGTAATAAATAATAAGTAACAATGCAAATAAATGATGTCCCTCCGAAACGTCCGTTGAAATTATGAATAACCCAACACTAGCGTAAAATTTGGATATGATCACGTGATTCTCTACTTTCGTTTCCGCTATTAAACATAAAACTTGTATTGAACGTTGGAACGTTTTGTTTCTTTATTTCAATTTAAATATGTGATGTAGAAACTATGTAGATTAATGATGGCTTCAAGTGAAGTATTCAGTCAATGTGTATTAATTATCGGTTTACCCGATACGTTTAGAATAAATGATGTATCCAAGACGCTACAGAGACATTTGAAAGAAGGCCAGGCAATAGTTGATACCGATTGTGAGCTCGGGACCCCGGGGACACCAAGCAAATGGGTCATTCAACTCAATTCACGGGAAGGTAAACTTTTTGATTATATTTGTATTATTAGTGTATTTTATTTTTACCGTAAATGGTGACGTTAACCAGGAAGTAGAATAGGAAGGAATGTACATCATAAGACAAAAACGCCTTTTCTAGAAATAATTTATTTAATTATATTCATACAATAGTAGTCATCTAAAATTTCATAGTAAAAACTAACATTATGTCATCGGTACAAAATGATTGAAATGATTGAAAAGGGATTTCACGGTATAGGTCTAATTAATAATTATCTACTTTCGTTTTTGATTCTTTTTTCCCCTGCCCATTCAATATGATATTATGCATGTATAAAGACGCAGAGCCCGAACATATTTAAATTTCTTTTTTGTTCTTTTTAAATTTGTATTTGGACCCAGATATAACAATTGCGCCGGCAATTTAATTTGCCATTGTGTTAGCAGTAAGTGTTACAGTAGTTAGGCAATTTTATTTGTCACGTGCGGTTTAACCCAGCAAACACCCGACGTTGACCCAACGTTGGATCAACGTTGAAATTTGGTCGCGACGTCGGTGACCTTCATACAACGTCAAATAGACGTTGAATCCCCGACGTCTAACAGACGTTTTATTTTGACGTCGACACGACGTCGGGTTTTGGTCGGTAATCTGACAATAGGTGAATTTAATTTATGAAACCAATATATATATAAATGAAAGCATAAACAGCGAGAATTTTAAGTTTAAGTTTAGAAAGGGAACATTATATATTTATTTTCTCCATCAAAACAACAGTATCACGTGGGTGGCTAACGTACGATATTCGATAGGTGGCGCTCTGTAAACGGATAGTCGCAGATCAGTATGAAATATATTTGCTCTATTTTCGTTTAAATAATATCTTATCTCCTCGAATTAGTCTAAGAAGTGTTTGTATAATTTACAATGAAGCTGTTATCATTTTTGGGGGCTTCATTTTATAGTGGTAAATAATGTAGTAAATTCGAATTTGCGACTTATCGGATTTGAAATTCAATTGTATTGGCGGACAAAAAAAACGACGGGTTGACAGACAAGGTTGTATATACAAAACAAAAGAAAAAGGTAGGCAAACATTATATATTGTTTTTCAATGCTAATTTACCGCATGTTTGCATGGATTCGATGGTTATTTGATCATTGAAATGTTTGACTGGTAAAACTTAATGTCACGTGATTTCGCGAGATAAATATTGTTGTTTCCACGTAAGAACACTTTATCATTTGCTGTCTATATAATCGGATCATTTTTCCCACACAATATCGCCATGCCAAATAAATGCACAATCAATGGTAGGAAATATCCTAGCAATTTAAATCAATAAAAAGTTAAATGCAGTACGTAAGACTCTTATTATTCAAATGCTGGTAAATAAAATTTCCTCTTATTTCTTATCAACATGAATTTCCCTTATATGAGGGGCCAGTCATTTACACATGTATCAGATGCAGTTTGATTTTGATATCTGTGTAGTTGTTAAACTACACGTTGTTAATTGAAGTACTTTACCTATACTGTTAGCATACCATGTGTTTCTTATATTATGATAATGATTCATGGCATTTGATACATGTAAATGATACGACTTTGGTAAGAGATATCTGAAATCACATTACAAGTATTTGACTAGCTATCTTTTTATTAATGTAATCAAACAACATATTATCAATCAGAAAACACATTATCATAGTTATAAATCAATAAAAGTAATAGTTTGTTAATTAGCCTGCTTATCAACAAGTTGTATGCTCGTATCATAAAACGTTTTTACACTAAGCCAGTCTGTCCTATATACACTAAGCAGACCAGATCATGCTGGGCAGATATGATATCTATAAAAATGACAGTTACATGTGAATTTCTTTGATGTTGTATGAGCATTTGTACAAAGTACATTGAATACAAAAAATAACAATATCAATTTTTGCGGGAGTAGAATTATTTTCATTTTGGTATTTGTTATATCAGTTTTTCATGCGCTTATGAGTTAACTAAGATTAATAGTAATTGGATTTTGCCTATTATATAACACAAACATCCTTCCACCACATGGTTTAATTCTAACACGATTATATTTTGTTTTTCAGACTGTGAAAATTATGGTAATTCAACATGTGTCAAAAGTTCAGGAGGAAAATGAAAATATTTAGAGGAAAAGAAAAATGAAAACCTACCAAGATTTTGTGACAGGTATATTTCAAAATATTATAGAAAATACAGTGATCTTATTACCCTTGATTTTATAATGAAATTCACGAAGCCATTTTTTTATCAAAATTAATAGATATATATAGTAGGTACACGAAACTACATGGTTTAAACTAAATTTAAAATAATAAGTATCTTTTTAAGTAAATGGAGAGTTTTGTTAGAATTTCGTTTAATTATAATATGTAAAAGTAATTTATTTCTTGCACTAGTAACTGATTATTTTATTTTTTTTTAATTTCAGACAGTGTGATGAGATCTCAGGTGGGAGACGGTAATGATGCCCCAGATCGACATAGTGTAGGAGGACGAAAGAAGCTAGAATACTAATGAGGATACATGAACATTGCTATTTATAGTTATAACAAAATATTCAGAATAGTGTTCCATTTAACATTCAGATCTAGATTCAGTTATAAAATACAAAGACAAATATACAATCAGTGAGTTGGATAGATGATTGAAAAATCCCAATCAGTTCAGTGGTGATATAAGAAAAAACACATGCATGACACATGTCAGTGATAATATTCAAGAAGGATTTTGTTTATCTTATTTCTAAAACATGCTTAATTAATACATGAAGCGTTATTAAAGTACATACCGTCAAATTTAATAGTTTCAAAAAATATTATGTAAATCTTGCATTTGTTATAGTACCACGTTATACTTGTTTTGTACTTGAGATTCCGAGTATAAAATAAATAGCTAAAATCATAAGAATGCTTATTTATTAACCCTATTAAAGAGCTTCAAAATGAAAAAAAATCATATTCCAAAAGTTTTGAATGAGGTTAAATCATGGTCAGAAAATTTGGTCAGATAAGGTTGGGATATGGTCAGATAATGGTCAGAAAAGGTTGGATTATGGTCAGAAAAAGGCTGGATTATGTCCAAATAATGGTCAGAAAAGGTTGGATTATGGTCAGATAATGGTCAGGAAAGGTTGGATTATGGTCAGAAAAGGTTGGATAAAGGTCATTTTATGACGTTGTATAGACGTCGGTTTCTGACGTCTAAAAAACTTTCAAATCCAACCTTCTGCCAACGTTAACCCAACGTCAGGGTCTAACGTCAGTACAACGTTGGTACAACGTCTTTTGTTTGCTGGGAATCGACATTTTTAAAGTATTTGACTATGAGTTACTTGAATTATATTTGTAATTATGTTTGTTATCTTATTGTCATTGGCAATTGGCCTATTTAGCTACCGTTTGTTATATTACTTTAATAAATACAGGTATAACCTCAAATTAATCAATTAAGATTAAAGCATATCCATATTTTCCCTCCATTATTTGCAAGTAAAAAGCTGGTTCAACTTGTGTTTCAACACTGCATTCTTTTATCTTTTATCAAATATGCACCAATTAACCTTAATGAAATTTTCAGAACAAAGTTACAAGGAAAGCCAAATATAAAATGTTTATTTCAAAGTACTGCCCATATTGATAAATTGACAGTATGGATTGTTGATTTTTTTTTATAAATGATGAATTGTTTGTAAGCGAGTTTCAATAAACAACCCAAAAATACATGTAATTAAGCAAACAAAACAAGTAAACTTGCATACAGTAACAAAGTTCATTACTTGTCCTTTTTCAATATGAAAGAAAAAAATTACTTCAAAATACCAGGTTATAAGGAAATGTAGATTGAAAATGTAATTGGCTGTTACGAAAATTTCCTAAATGCAATGATGAGGTAAGTTCCTTTGATATGAAATACATGTATAATTCCATATTTCTTTATCATCTATATGTTTAACCCTTTCCCTCATGAGCATATTGTGAAAAATGGCTGTTTTCATTGAAAAGCCTCCTGTTACAAGTTCAAACTGCTATGAAACTATGAAAAATGCTTCAATACTAATCAAACATGGCACAAATGTTGACTGGACCATTGCCTTTGTAACAACATGCTCAGTCTTAAATTTCCTGTTACCATGGCAATGAGGGGACATCTCAAAATTGCCAAAAATCACTATTTTGTGTTGATTTTTCCGTCAAAATTGATTTCAAAGTGCTGCAACTTCTCAATGGATTGAGCCAAAGGCTTTTCAGCATTGGTTACACATTACCTTATGATCGACCTGGGGTAATTTTTAGCCTCTCACAAGTCCAAAATTTTCTTGGCGATGAGGGGGACTACCACCCCCCTTTCAAACACCCCAAACAGAAGGGGGCACATTCCCCTTCAACATTTCCCAAACGAAAAACAGTATTTGGGGCCTAAATAAGGTAATTTTTCATGGTTTTGAGTCCTCAAAAAAAGGGGGGGGGGTCGAAAAGCCGTCAAAACACGTCTATAATTATGAAGTAAAGGGTTAATATGTTAAATTTTTATAAGTTTTAAAAGCCTTACTTAACAATTTAATAAAAAGACATATTTAAGGAAAATATTTGATTTCATACAGCCCTGAAGTTGCTTCATTAAGAAAAAATACATTTATAAGTTCATTTTTTTTTTAAGCGGCTCAAAAGTTATACAATGAGGTGATTCAAGAAGAGGTCTATTTGAGTGCAGATAAATGCTTGCAGATAAAATACGAAATGGCACAACCATCTCAGATTCCAGGAGAATGGAAACAACAGGTAACTGCACAATTACGTAAGATAGTAAAAAATAATGTACAATAAATAGCATACATAATATAATGATTTAAAATATCATACTTCTTATTTTGTACTATTGTTTATAGATATGAAAGAGAATCCCATATAATTATGTAAATTTGAAAATTTCAAATAACATCTTTGTTTATATTTAGGAAATGTTGTATCCAAAACTTCCAGAAAATGTACCAGGGACACATCCAATGGCTATGTTTCCACCTAACAACAATTTTCCAATGTACAATTCCTCTGGAAATGGAATGTTTCAAAATCATGGACAAGCATTTCATCCTAATACTAACGTCCCTTTTGGCTTTAGACCTCCAGTAGGGACATCAACACAAAGACCAGTCTCGCCGATTCCAGATCAAACAGCGCAACATTATGACAACACAAATATAAGGGGTCGATTTCCACCGCCAATAAATCAAACATATCACGATAAATTGCCTACGCCTTCAGCGCCACCGAATGTTCAGGGTAATCCACAGTATCGATTTCCAACACCGTCATCATATCAAGGCGAAGCAATTCCTGTAACCCAGTTTTCACATCAAAATCAAACAAAGTTGGAAGGTCACATTTTATCATCAGTGCCATATCAAGGTCAGATGAATCAATTTTGTCCGATGGCACCTATTCAAAGTCAAGCAGGTCAATCTAATCCTTTCTCACCGGTTGCATCATTTAAAGGTCATACAGGATCATATCCTGTTTATCAGTATCCTCCAACACCACCGTTACCAAGTCAATTCAACCAGAACACTTATGCAGGGAACCAGTACGGGAACATGCTAGGTTCGGGACAAGGGCCTGGATATCCTGTTTATCCGTCACCAGCAATACAGTATCCTCAAATACCTGTAAATGTAAACCAGCCGCCTCATTGGATTGCTACAAACTATGGCCAGGGCTATGGACCTAATCAATATCCAAGTCACATTCCTGTGCAAGTACCAAGACAAAATATACCATTAATGCAGGGGGGAAATCAGCATGCAATGTATGAACAACAAATGCTTAATGAAGGGCATAAAACTATTGAAGGTAACACCATACAAGAATATGATAGCCACGAGGCCATTAAAGATCACCAAATGCATGGAGAAGATTGGAGACATTTGCAAAGTTCAAGAGACCAAGAAACAAAGCATCAGGGAACAAAGCAGAGCAGTGAAGCATCTTTTCAAGAGACTGAAGGTGAAATTATCCCTTTATTTTAAATCAAATTGCTCATGTGTTCCCAAAGATTATCATTATTTTAAATAAGTAAGATCTCATTATAGGTAAATATAATTTTGTTTATATTCTCACCAGTATTTCATCAATGTGACAAGTTGACTTTAACTGGAATTATAACAACAGAACTTTTATTGTTGTTAAAAGTAATTTTCTTGATTGCTGGCATGATTTATTGAACTTGTAGACACTAGGAAATTTATAATTATGAGTCTCTTGGGAGAAACAAAAAAAAAATACTGTCTCAATACTAATATTTAGTTTTATAAGTTTTAACTTACTTAATTCTTAGTAATCTCAACATAAATTTGAAATCTTGATAGAACATAGCTCTGAATCGGAAACTGAAGAAGATGTCCAGACTTCAATCAGGGTTGATGGTGTAAGCGAAATTTCCTCAAAGGAAAACTTAGAGATGTATTTTGAGAACCAGCGGCGTTCGGGCGGCGGTGATATTGAACGTGTTTGGTTTGATTGTCTTGACGATGATGTGATGTTCATTCAGTTTACAGAAGCATCAGGTATATATTTGATCAAGCTTTTCCATTCTGCAGCATTTTAGATGTTTTATATATAGATTATTTAAAGTGACATTATATGTCATATTTTCGCTGTCAGTTTAAGTTGCTTTGGTAAGATACATGTACGAGGGGTGATCCAAAAATTCGTGGACACCCTGCATAAAACAAAAAGTAATAAAGCAAATCACATGAAATTCTAGTATCTTATTAAGTGAGCATATGTCGGCAAATTCTCAAAATATTGTAAAGATTGTACAAGAATTAACGATTCTGCACCAGTTTATATACATAGACATGACAAAACGCGGCGCAGCTCACGACGTCACAAACGACGTTATGCTATCATAGGAAGTAATCTACGTTACCGTTTTGCCTTATAACTTTTCAAAGTATTCCCCTTTAACCCGCACACATTTTTCATGGCGGCGGACCCAGTCTCTAAATGTACTCGCATACCATTCCTGGCTGAATGATGACAGTATGCATTGGGTGGCTCCTCTCAACTCGTCCAGATTGTCAAAACGTCTCCCTCTCAACTCTTTCTTTAACCTGGGAAACAAGGCGAAGTCACACGGGGAAAGATCAGGCGAATATTGTGGATGACTGAGTACTTCTGCTCCAAGCTGGATTTGAATGGTCAGCTGTGTGTCCCGGGCACGGTGAGCAGGTGCATTGTCTCGCCAGTCGTCTTCCCTAGATTTACACAGAACTGTATAACTGTCCCAAGTTTTGCTGGATCTGTGACGTTCATTTTTGGTAAAGCTGTTTTTAGCATGTGTTCTTTAAAGCACGAGCGTAAAATAACCGCAACTTCAAAATGTTGTCTGATGCTGACAGAATGACGTCATACACATCAAAACACCGTTATTATAACGTTTCCTGCAATTTTCTTTGTTTGCACAGGTTTTACATGTGTTTAAATGAGATGAAAACGTTTACATTACAGAGAAAAAGTAAGCTGCGCTGCGATTTTGATACTTAATCTTTTGATGTTGTCATATATAGATAAGAAATGCAATTGGTGTTTTAAAATTTGGTCAATTTATTAAAGAGGCATTGATTAATAATATCGAAAGAGTTCACCTCGGTAGGACGTCTTGTTATGGAGATACACACATTGTCCACGAATTTTTGGATCACCCCTCGTATATTCAAAAGATTGACTATCATAATGGTGATTAATGAAAAAATTTAATGAGTACATGTATATGAAAACAAAGTAAATTATAAAAAGACTGTCCAACTCTTTTAAGAATTTAATGTTACCAATAAATTGTAAGTATTTATTGAAATTTCCTTTGTTCACATGAATTATTTAGACTTAATTTATATGGCAAAATATAAGGTTAATTTTGATTTCACCTGTTCACCGAACATTTATTCTTGAATGGGCATAATGCCACTTCAAAGGCATCTATGATGTTTTTTTTAAATTCAAATGCTAATTGTAAATAATTGATTTTAACAGTTTGCATTTGACAAGTTTAAATCTACATATATTAAATTTGCACAGTTGCAAAGGCAGTTTTAGCACGCAAACACACATTTGAAAATCGGAAGCTTAACGTGTCAGGATGTGCACCAATTACTTATTACAACGACAGAGTGCTCATCGAGGACATAAAGCAGACGACAACACAGGAATGTCTTAGTAATTTCCTTGAAGTTAAGGCAGACTGTATTGCTATTGACATGACATTTAGTCATAATGAAAATGCTGGTAAAGTGCTTGTTACTATGGATACAAATATAGGTAGGTACTAAAAACAGTGTATATGACGTCTTATATCCTATTCTATTATACTGCATGTTTGTAACATCCTCTTTCATTGGTTGATTGTTTTATACACATGGCTGCCATTAAAGAAATGTCCCTTTTTTCTCTAAAAAAAGAAGTTTGCAGTGTTATAAATTCGTTATAAATGTTTCTGACAGGTTATATTCCTGACCAGCTCTGGTTTTAGTTCCAAACAACTTTGGCCATATAACTTGCCAAAAATCTTTATAACTAATACTATAAGGAATACATCGAACAAAATAACGTATATATTTAATTATTCAACAGTTGGCTTTATTTAAAGTTGTGTGTTGATCTACCCTTTTAAGACACAGGATAATAAAAAATTAGAACTCCTCTTATATTAACAGGCACACATTTCATCTTTAAGAGCCATAGTTGGTTTTGTTAGACACTATTTTCTTACATTTAATGTATGCCTAGTTGACAAGAGATTCAACAGAAGCATAAAACTGTTTAATCTGAGCACATAGCAACAGGATACTGTGTTCTGATTTATTCAACATCATTTGATATGTAACCGTCGACTGTCTAATGTTCTACCACAAAAATTGTTTATAATGAAAAGTGACTATATGAGATATGTTTCAGTCACCTTTCAATGTTCTTTTCAGATATGAAAAAAATGGAGACAGCGTTTTCGAAGTACAAACTTGAAGGAGCTACCCTTAAAGTATCAAGAGTTCCTGTGTCAAACTGCTTGCTAGTAACATCACTTACGCCAGATATACACGAAGATACAATTGAGTTTTACTTCGAAAACAGTAGGAAAAGTGGTGGAGGACCTGTTGAAAGGGTCAAACTAAGTGCAGATAAAACTGCATGTTTAGTTTACTTTGAGAATTTTCGAGGTATTTTTCTCTTTTTTTTTAATAATTGTTCTTTTTTATCCTTTTCCTGATTTTTAAAAAAATTTCTTCCATTTTTGTTGAACTTAAATTGACTCTTACAGGATCCATCTATCGAGCAAAGATCTTTTTTAAAAAAAAGTGGAAATCATATTCAAATTTATGAACATTTTCATGTATTTTCGAATGTATTTGTAGTTTAAGTGTATAGAGCTATATCTCATAAAATATTTGATAGAAATTTAAAAACATTAAACATATGTAGTTTTCATAACCTTATGATTGTTTCTTAACATATTTATGACAGAATTTTCTGTAAATATTTAACACAAATGAATATTGTATGTAAACAGAAAAAAAGGTTCCAAAACAAAATATTCTGTTGCTTTTTTCAATAGGTTTTAGCGATGCTTTCAAGTCTGCCCCACTCACTTTCAATAAAATATACTGACAAATTTCTTTCATTCTAGGTATTCTATAATTATTTTAACAGCAATAAAAACAATAATTTTACATTCCACAGACAGTAAATATATAGCTTTATACACTTTAATAGATTACCTTTTTACCAATATCTTAATTTTGTAAAAAAAAAATGGCAGTAAGAACAGGGACGATGCCACTTTTTCCTGTATGATTATTTATAAAATGTGTTATAAATTTTATTGAATATGAAATTATTTAATAAAAGAAATTTTGTATTGATCTGCTACAAATGATTATTTTATCGCAAGGGATGGAGATTATCTTTTAAAAAATTCTTGGTATGATGCTGATAAAAATTCACAGAATTAATTCCAACCATTTACTAAATAATTCTGATTCTCTATTTTCCATTCCCCTGTGAAAAATTTTGTGAAGAATATTTTCTGTAAGATATGTTTTTATAACTCAATAAAGAATCTTAGATAATTAGCCACCATTATGGTTCTAACAATATTGACACAAACTATGTGTCCGCAAGATGACAGGGTCTTTAAGCCAAGTATGGCATATTCTAATCACTGTCACAAGTTTGTTCGATCGTTAGTTTTTAACAAACAAATATGAATACATTTCTATATATCTATTGATCCTTTTTTAATGAATAATTCAAATATTTCTGCACCAAGATATAGATAATGTCATCAAAAAGAAGCACACACTTAACAATGTTCCTTTGACGGTTGAACATTTCCAGCCATGTTTTGGACTACCAAAATGTTTTGCAAAGAAAAAGAAGATGGAAATGCCAAGCGACATAACACTGGAAAATGTTAATTCACATAAAATATCATTATTGAGGAGCTCTGAAAGAGTGCGTCATGATTTTCAAGAAAAGTTGAGTGTATATAATGCTTCCATTAATATACCCTCTGACATTGATGGAATAACGATCAGCTACAAAGGCGAAAATCCTAGCCAAGATGAGTTTGAATTAGTTGAAAACTGGGAACAAAATGTGACAGCAATTTGTACAAAATTCATCAATGAAATTATGGTAAATGAGACAAATATTCAAAGTTATAAATGGGAAAAAGCAATGCAGAGCTTACAAAGTATCAGTATTGAAAATTCAGATTCGGTTATTGTGAAAGTGGACAGAAATGCAAAACTAATAACTGTAATAGGTTACAGAAACATAGTATGTCCTTTAATCAAGAAAATAGAGGCAATTAATGATGAACAAAGTGCAATACCTGATGTGAATGAGAAAGTTTCCAAAGAAACGATTACTTCCGTCAAGCCAATAGAATGCAGAATGTTAGACTCCGTCGGCTTCAGTCGAGATGTGACTGAAAGGTATTCAAGTTTGAAAGTCTCGTTTGAAGACAATTACAAGGGAATTACGTTTGAAGGAAATGCTGGTGATATAAATGCAGCTAAAGTGAAAATGTATGAAGCCAAAAATAGATTTGGTACATCAAGTGTAAAAATTTCAGACTCTCTTTGCCTGCAATTATACAATTCAAAACAAACTAAAGAATACATTTCAAAAATTCTTAAGAACCGTCAGTTGAATTGTCTCTTTGAAGTCACTGGTGACACTGTTGATATTTATTCAGAAGATAAAAGCAAGATAGAAAAATGTGTTGCTGTCGTTCGAAGAGCTGTTGACTGTCACAGTGTTCACATAAGCAGAGAGGCTAAAGGATACTTTGGAACCAGAATGTGCAACCAGAAATTAGAGAGTCTTCAAGAAATCAACGAGGGGAAGGTGCTGATTGAACTTAATACAGATGAAATCTGTGTAGAAGTTTGTGCTTTAGAAAACATTCTTGAAGATATTGTCGATGAAATTAAGGAAGACTTTAGCAAAAATGCGTTACTTCAGAAAAAAGTTAACTGTTCAATCAATGAAGCTACTTTTATTGAAAAATATAAGAAGGCTAACTTGACTGAAATTGAGCAGGCACTGGTTAAATACAGAGTAAAGTTAGAGTCCAAACAAAGTGGAATTTTAGTTCAAGGTCCTGTAGAAGGTACATCAAAGGCTGTTGAACAAGTGCTTAGGATTTTAAGATCTATCAAGAAAAAAGATCACACCTTCAAAAAGACTAGTTTTGCATTAGCTATAACATCAGAAAAGGGAAGAGAACAATTGAATACGATTGAGAGAGATTTGTCTTGTTTAATAGCCACAAAGGAGAGTTCTGATGACAAACCAGCTAATCCAAACAGTCCTGGTTCGCACTTACATGCTACTTGCAAATTGCATGACAAACTAGAAATTCAAACCATGAGATGTGATATCACTGAAGTTGGAGTGGCGATGATTGTGAACAGCACAGATGAGGAAATAACCATGCATCATGGCTTAGGGAAGTTATTGGCCTTTAAAGGTTAGAAGAAAATAGAGTAAATTATCATTTCTTCGTTAAACATGACGTTATGTAGTCAAAATATTTCTTGTCTAAGAATAAAAAGGTGTTTTTTTTTGCCAAAAAATTTTTATGTTGACTGTATTACGCTTTAAAGCAGCACGGATCCAAATTCACGTCAATTTTCATGAAAATTTTGAAAATGTATTTAAATACATAATAATGTGAAATAACCAAAATGCAGCAGATTACACATTATAAATGGCACTTTCAACCCACGTAAATTACCAAAATGTGGTCAAAATGTGTATAAATAGCCCTTACTGTGTTAGTAACGCAGTAAAAATGTAGTTGTAAATACTAAAAAATCAGTCATTAACCGCACATAACATGTAAAATATTACTTGAATCTTAAATCATTTTACTTTCCTAAAATTGTAGTACATATTTCTCAGGTTTGATTTTGTTGAAATATTTTGGCAGCTTTAAAAGTTCTGTTTTTCCTCAAAGGATATTTTGTTCAGTCTTTTGAAAAGGTTAACAACCAATAAACAAAATAGTTTAGATGTCTGTAAAGTTTTTTCAAAGGTTATCACTTTTACATTACTAGACTTCAGTTTTCTTTTACACGGAATAACTTTTTATTGTTTTATATGGTACTTTTTCATTTTTAGACTATTTTATATAAGGTGATGTTTAAAAATATTATTATTTCCCAATTCACATATGTAACGATTATGTGTGTAATCATCTATCCACAGGGGGCAGAGAAGTAAAGGATGCGTGCAAAGATTTCATCGCTAAAAATGGCAAACTTAGAGAATGTCAAGTTTATGTCAGTCCTGCGGGTAACCTTAATGCTGATTACATTTTGCATCTATCTGTTCCAAAGTTTCGGCAAGGGCATGAAGCAGACAACAAACTATCCACTGCAATTTTAAACTGTTTATGCCAAGCAGATGAATATAAATCTGATTCTATCGCAATTCCTGCTGTTGGCTGTGGCGCTGCCAGGTGAGAAATTCATTCATGTCGCATACATACTGTCAGACAGACTTGTTTTTATGGCCCATTATGCCTAAAAAATGCTGTCATTTTTTATTTCTCAATTATTTTTTAATTTTCATTAATTTGTTATAGTCTAAAAAATACTCATTTGCCACATAGATGTAATTTTTGTTTCTTTTGTTCTGTTTGCAATTGGTATAACTACAGTAAATTAGTATTTTGTATAGAAGTCAAAATACTACTTTGTTTATATTTTGCTACATTAACCACAAATTACTGCAAGTTTAGCCTACTTTCTTTAGTTGTAAAACTTCTAACATGCTCTAAATCCATTAATTAAACATTATCAAGCACATATTTGAGATTTCTAAAGAATTAAAAAATATGGATTTCTCAGGCATAACAACTAGTATAAAAATACTATATGTTAAAACTGACTAAAATATGGAAAGATATATTATTTGTGCAATGTTAGATAATGACACAAATTATCTGAAATGCTATTGTCATTTATTTGTCTTCTGTGTATGCCATTTTTAATAGCAATTTTGTTGAATATCTGACTTGTTTTGTGTTTATTGCATTTAGTATGTTGGTCATGATAATGGTACTGAGTATGTTGCAGTATTAGCTTATTTTCTTTGCTTTTGGATTAAATTTGTGTATTTGCATGGTAATGTAAAATAATAGCAACAATCTTTTTAGAGCTTTTCTCAGTAATTAAGAAAAATAGAAAAAGTATACATGTATAAAGAATAGAAAGAAAAAATATAAATGTTCATTTTGGTCTATGACAATGAAGGTTATACTCAAAATGTCACAATTGTGTTCATTATGATACAGCATTGATGGAGTAACATTTAAGTGGTCAAACTTGTTGTTTCAAAAAGCATATGCATGTGTATGGATAATATTATTCTCGGCTAGTCAAAATATATTGACGTCTCAAAGCAAGATTCTGAGATGTTTGTTCTAGGTCAGAATCTCGCTTTTGAGATATTGCTCATACACAAAATAGCACAATATCTCATCGCATAGTACAATTAGTTGGACTATATTCTCAGCATGTCTTATTTTTTATTAATCCAGAAATTACAAACACAATATGTTGTTGTATTATGAGAAACTGCTTTTTAAACCCCAAAATAACGGATTTCAATTTTAATTTTTCTTTGTACATAGTATTTTAGTTAGTGTTTAGTTAGTTTATAAATTTTAGTATTATTGACAACTGTATAATATCTTTCAGATATCCTGCTGGGAAAGCAACTGATATTATTGTTGAGGCAATAGAAAAGTTTTACTCCAGTAAGCATCGTAGATCAGTTACCAAAATAATATTGTGTGATATGAAAGCTGATAATGTTGAAGAATTTACAAGAGCGTTAACAGATCAATTCGGCAAGAGAAAGGTTCAATTGATTAAACAAGATGAGAAGGGACCTGAGCGGGATCCCTCAGCAAGGAAACATGGTAAGATAAAAGACTTACTTACGGAATTAAGAATAATTTCGGTTTTTCTCAGCTTATATAGGGGTACAAAGAAGCTTTGAAGGTTGACTAATCTATTGTGACCGCTAGTGTATCGTGGAGCTATATTGGTAAAAGTTTGTTTGTACTGGGGGTGGGGGAATAGCTTGGAAAAACCCACATTTGACCAGTTCCGGATAACAAACGTTGTAATTTATTTAAATTTCAACGTATGCCAATTATTATTAAAAAGATATTATTAAAACATGCTGTGCAGTTTATAAAAAATACTGATTGATAATTCCCTTGTGCTTTGTATCAATTTTATAAATATTTTATGTAATTCTGTCTTTCTTTAAGGTACGAAAAATAAAGAACACACCAGACGGAGAAATGCATCAGAGAATGTAGATAAAGTTTCACTAGGCAGTATAACTGTATCCGTTGTGAAAGGTTCAGTTGCAAAGCAAAAAGTATGTTGATTATTTTATTCTATTTTATTGTAACTATATTCTGACATTATTTCTATGAACATTATGGAATGGGGGAAATCCTTTGAATGTGATGAAAACATGAAAATGAAAAAAAAACAGGTTTGGTTTGACTTGTATATTCCTAAGTGTCATAAGTGATAATGAACGATAAAACATCACTTGTGCCCTCTAGCAGTGTTCATTTTCAACAATTATAGTACATGTATTAGGATCAGTGGCCCCAAATGACCATAAAATCATAACAACAATATGAAGTAAATGACAACTTCCAGAAATGAAAATATTAGCGTTCAATAAATGTTTTCAAAAATAATTCACTACCTTAAGTTGTAATTTGACAACGAGAAAATGTGAAGAGAGCAAGCATGATTAGCCTATTGAATTACTCAAAATAATAATCCAGACAAGTCTTAGTTGAACTATGTCTAGGGTAAGGCATAATGCATGATTATACTTTTACAGTGTGACGCCATAGTAAACATTGTTGACAAAGCTCTAGATCTAAAACGGGGCACGATATCTGCGACTTTATTGAATAATGGCGGTGCCGAGTTACAACAAGAACTTCAGACAAAACATCCAAATGGGTTAGAGTATGGTCAAATTGCTGTAACATCTGGAAATAAGTTGTCATGCAAGTTTGTTATTCATGCTCGCCTAGGACCATGGAGTGGAGCAGACAAGGACTCCAGTAAAGAAGTAGGAACTACGAGATATTTTTATAATGCTCATGCTTATATTATAGTCTTCAACAAATGTGTTAAGTATTTTCTGAATTAATTTAGTTTTATTAATGCTAAGTGCGTTACATTTGTAGTAATAATTGAACCTGTCTAATCTGAACTTGTCAAGAACAGAGGGAAAAGTTTAAGTGCGATCATTCTTTCTTGTTTTAGCTCTAATTTTTGTAACAATGACTTTCAACAAGATATCAAGAGACATCAAGTTTTTACTCTTGAAATATACATGTATGTAATTTGAAACTATTATTTTTGTAGTCATTACAAACCTTCCTAAACTTGTGTTTACGTGAAGCTGACCAACAAAAAGTGGGCTGCGTTGTATTTCCGGCAATTGGTACTGGTAAACTTGGCTATCCAAAAGAGATTGCAGCAAAAGAGATGTTTACAGCTATTGCTCAATTTAGTAAGGACAATCAGCAGTCAACAATAAAAGAGATTCGTATTGTTATATACCAGGATGATACTCCCACACTTGAGGTAACACTTCTTGTGATGCACTGAAACTGTATCATTAATTAATTAACTGGATAATATTAGTTATAAAGATTTTTGACAGGTTATATGGCCTTTTATAAATGGTTATTAGGAAATATAGCCCAAACTGCCAGGCAAGAGTTATATTGCAAACAACCATTTATTATACGGTTATATAATCTGTCAGGAATATTTATAACGAATTTATAATACGGCAAAATTCCTTTTTTGAGAAAAAAAAAGTGAGATTTCTTCATATATTGACAGCATCAGTGTACATAAAACTATAAACATCATGATTATACAATGATAAGCAACATTACAAACATGCATTGTTATTATAATGTATGTAAGACTAATCTGGACACAAAATGACACCAAACCGATGAACTAACATACAAACCATTAGTAGCAAATGAAGTATCTGATGTATAAATTATTTCGCAAGATTAAAGATAAATGTGATACAGAGCTGCAGTAGTGTATATATGAATGTGTATATTGTGTATATACGAGTATTTGGAAAAATTATCAAACTTATTATTTTTTGCAGGCTTTTGAAAATGAAAGTTCATTTTGGGAAACTGGTGAGCGGCACAATCCTCGTGATTTAAGATCTGTTTACTTAGATGCTGAAACTGGTAATTACTGCAAAACATTTTGAATAATTATGCTTTTTGTTAAGGGCACTTAAATATTTTTCTTTCATCTTATTGGTTTACATGTATTGCTTACAAAAATTCTTTAATATATGTTAGAATTTATTTCTGTTTATTTCCAAAAGTATGTAATATATTTACCTCGTTTTATGACTGGTATATAAAAGTTAAAAATTAATTCTGTAATTAATCATATAATTTGTGAAACCAATATAATAACAGTTAATATAATGTGTAAAAATACTTAAAATCTATATAATATTGATCCTTGCTCTGATTTACTGAATTAAATTCATTTGCTTTCAAGACAGACATAGAGGGGAAAGAAAAGGCTCGGAAACAAATCAGATGGGAACATTAGGAATTACTGTTAAGCTTGGCAACATATTAGATGAATATGTAGACTGTATTGTTATAAGTGTCCTCAAATCGTTGGATTTAGAGAAAGGTAATATGTTAATGAACAACAAGCAATTACCATTAATATGTAATAATTATATGACTTATTTGACAAATATTTTTGTAATGTACACTCATAATGAAATGCTTTTGCATACAATATAAAATACAAATATTGAATCTGACATTAGAATAGAAGTAGTCAATACGAAATATCAGCTAATGTTATACAAATGACTTTTTAGATATTTACATTAATGTATTATTATGTTTGTTTCAAAAGGAGCTGTGTCGAAAGAAATGTACAAGCGGTGTGGCGATGAAGTTAAAACAGAACTAGAAAAGAAAAGTAAGAATGTGTTTTCTTTTGAAAGTTTCATTGAATAAAAACTTACTTGATGTATTTTTGAAAACAATGATTTGAGCCGAGTCATGACGAAACCAACATAATGGGTTTGCGACCAGCATGGATCCAGACCAGCCTGCACATCCACGCAGTCTGATCAGGATCCATGCTGTTCGCTATCAGTTTCTCTACTTGTTATAGACTTTGTAAGCGAACAGCATGGATCCTGATCAGACTGCGCAGATGCGCAGGCTGGTCTGGATCCATGCTGGTCGCAAATCCATTATGTTGGTTTTGTTGTGAGGCGGCTCATATGTTCTGAGCATTTATAGAAAGGACAATTACAGAACTTTGGCTAAAGTTTATTTTTTTATAGGAGCTGTTAATGGTAAATATGTTCTCTTAGCTTTTAAAATATCTTGCAAGTCTCTTGAAAAATTGTTCCTCAAAATGACCAGACGAATAATAAAAGTCATCAAGTTAATAGGTGTAGAAGTAAAGTGAAAATAAAAACCATAAATACAACAGATACCAAATAAAGTTAGAGTAAATACCAAGTAAAATCAGGCAGTAGCCATGTAAATTGAGAAGAAAAAAAATCTTTGAAACAACATTATTCATATTTAGCAGCCTCTTAGAAATAAACCTGAAAAATTACAAAGCATTCAAAGTCAAAGTACCATTAGAAAACTCATGTTCATCATCTAAGGCACAAACACTGTAGGACTGTTTTGATAAAGTTAAGACTGATGAAAGAATACTTTTTTTAGAGGACTGGCTCCGTAAGAGCGACCTCGTTACAACGTCAGCTCCTAACCTAAAATGCAAAGGTTTGATTCATGTCGCAACACAAGACAAAACAGATGGCTGGCAACATGTTGTTGAAAAGGCATTGAAGAAAGCAGAAGAAAAACAATGGAGGAGTATTGCATTTCCTGCTCTTGGAACAAGTAAAAATTTTAGAATTGTTAGACATAGTAAATGTAACTTTATACTTGGTTTTACGCTGCACCCACTCGGTATAGGTCATTTTTAGAATTGTTAGACATAGTAAATGTAACTTTATACTTGGTTTTACGCTGCACCCACTCGGTATAGGTCATATGGCAACTTTCCAGCTTTACTGGTGGAGGAAAACTTCAGGGGCCCTTCAGTGCATTACTTTAGGCACGAACAGACACCTGAATAGATAAAAGTCCTTGGTAGGATTCGAACTAACAGTGGTGAGGGGCAAGTGGTTAGAAGTCAACAACCTTAACTACTCTGTCATGGACGCCCTGTAAATGTAACTACATGTATCTTGTAGATTAGGATGTCTAACTTTGACACACACGCTCAAATACGGTCCAATATTATGCCACATCATACATGAAACATGAATTTTTACATGATGCCAATCAACAGTTCACTTTAAAAAAATTAAATCTTTTCAGCTGATAGGTTAAGTTTTGAACAGTTACAATTGACAATAATTTTGTATTAATTGTTGTTATTGTTTAAAGTCAGTTGCAAACATGGATTCGATTTGATTTATTTCATTTTGTTCTTTCAGTCGAAATTAATTCTTTGAGTCGAAATTGTTTAATATTTAAATTGCTTTACCAATGTTATGTCTTTATAATCTACAGGCTATCGTATTAAGCCAGAATGTATTGCTGAGTGTATGGTAGCAGCGTTCAAATGTTTTGAAAAGACGAAACCCCGATATGTGTGTGACATCAGACTGGTCATATATCAACGTGACATGTTACACATATTCCATGATGCTGTTTTCTCTGTACAGTCAAAGTTTCAAGGTAAACATTGACTTTGTATCAATGCTTGTTGTATTTGCCCTAATGGTGCCTGTGTAGGTTTCCGATAACAATATTATACATAATATTGTTAAGCTCTTTGTCATCTAGACCGCTTTACCATTATCAATACAAATGTATAAAGTTTCGGAAAAATTAAAATTTAATATGCTTAAGAATACATTTTCAGTTCTTATCCATATATCAATTCATGATCATAGGGAAAGATTTCAAATATTGTGATCAAGTTTCACTTAGTACATTTTGTGTTTTTTTTTATTTATTTAACTTTGCAATTAGGGAAAGATGTTCAGAGGATAAAGCGTTCTTCTGATCCTGACTCAATTACATTTACAATACTTGCATCGGAAAATAGGGTCATTGAAAGAGCTGTCTCAAAAATCGAAGAGTGCTATGACCAGACAGATTTCCGTGACGATATTATTAAAACGTTCTCTAAATATCATGTAAGAGGTTTTTGTTTATTTTTTATGTTTTTTCAAATTTATTACCCATGTTACTTTTGTTAATATTGACAGGCGGGGGACTTGGCGTATAAATTTCATTTGTGTACATTTCTCTGGGATTTCAAACATTTACAGAATTAGTATCATTAAGTGAGCCTATGCATATTGTCAGAGCATTGTTATTTGGTCATTATTCGGTAAACATTTTGCTACCTTTTCACATATGTTGAGCAAGCCCTAGGGAATCCAACTGGACTTCCACAGAACTATTGTCATGTAGTGCCTTGTCAAATTATATCAATTTTTGTATAATTACCAGATTGTTTTTATCGGAAGTTTCTCCTTTTATGCTTTTTAAGTCATTACTTTATAATAAAGAGAGTAAAACTCTACTGTACTCTACTCATAGAACTATAGTCATTAACTACATCAAGTACCCAGCAGCAAAAAGATGGAGTTTTGTGATTTAATTATTATTGACGGAAAAACTGGTTTGGTAAACATCATTTATTTCTTGTCAGTTTGAAATAAACTGAAAGAATGGTAAAGATAAATCTATGAAAATCAAATTGCTATTGTTTTGTTTGGACTGTGTCCATTTAATAAAATATGTATTATTTTGTTTTTGTTGAACATTTTAATGGAGTAAATGTTTAAATATCGTTAAACGTTTACAGAAAGATGATCTCAAGGACTTAGAAAGACAGGAAGGTGTGACCATAAGCTTAGACAAGGATAAAGGAAGGATACATATTTGTGGACTGAAAGATAATGTCACTAAAGCATCCGAAAAAGTACATAGGTGAGAAATGTTCCATTACTCTCTCTTATGTCGAGAGTAAATCAATTATTCTCTAATCTACTATAGCAAGAAACAACAACAAATACATAGGAATAACGCTTAATATTTGGTAGTACATATTACAAATCAATAGAATCAATCGGTATTTATCTGTATCTGTTATGTTCTTGTATTTGGGATTCATCAAATGTATAGCATTGTTGCTGTATCCCAAACTCTGAAACGAAACTAAAACAGATCTGAATACGCGGTTACAAAATATTACAAAACAGAATAATATTGTGTAATCTGTAAAATAATAAATAAAGTTATGCTCATTAAAACAAAGAAAAGGCATTAAATTATGCAACTTTAATAAGTTATATTTCAAGAAAATATTTTGTGTGTGTCATGTGAAGAATAATGAAAAAAGCCTAAATATTCAGCAAGAATGTGTTTTAAAATACTTCATTACAAAAACGTTTGTTGTAAGAAGGGATGGGGCGGGTGGGGCGTATTTAAACAGGTTATTTATGTACCACCAAATGCAAGCGTCGAGTGAAGAAAAACCGCGAAAACACTATATATATACCCCACTAACCCACGAAATACACGTGCACCGTTAAAAGAAAATATTTAAGGTATCACTCCATATTTAACTTAAGGTACAGAAACCATACATAAACACTCATTCAAGCTATATCCGATACGAGAATAATTTCATTTACTCTCTCTTATGTCGAGAGTAAATCAATTATTCTCTAATCTACTATAGCAAAGAAACAACAACAAATACATAGGAATAACGCTTAATATTTGGTAGTACATATCGAGTAAAACAAAGAGAGGGTTTTACGTCCGGAAAATAAAATTATTGAATCTCTTAAACAAATTATCAGTAAAAGAATGATGTTACCCAGATACACATATACCAGAAACATTTCCGTTCAGAGTATTTCCATCTCTTAGCTAGATCTGTATAAACTGAATACACAGAGACACAATGCAAGACGTGATCAAGTCAGTTCCATCTGCTTTCTGAAAATCTAATTACACTTTTCGCCAAAAACTGATGTTTATAATATATCCAAAAAATCATAAATAGTATAAATATTTTTATAGATATTTAATATTAAAAATTTTAAAATGTGTTTCGTTAGTTTCAGGCGAAAAATGTAAAACTATATAACACAGTTATATAAAACCCTAACAGGGCAACACTTCCGCCCAACGAGGGGCAACACTTCCGCCCAACAGGGGCAACAATTCCGCCCAACGAGGGGCAACACTTCCGCCCAACGAGGGGCAACACTTCCGCCCAACGAGGGGCAACACTTCCGCCCAACGAGGGGCAACACTTCCGCCCAACGAGGGGCAACACTTCCGCCCAACGAGGGGCAACACTTCCGCCCAACGAGGGGCAACACTCCCGCCCAACGAGGGGCAACACTTCGATTCAAGGCAAGCATTCAATATATAAAAAGATATTCAAACAGAATGAAAAGAATAATTATAATCTTCCTTGTTCAAACTTTACTATTACAAATGATTCATATTAGGTTATAACATAATCACTGATATATAAAGTAATAGTTTCAAATCACTATTTGATGAAATAAATTCAAACAACAATTAGATGTGATAATTTCAAGTCACAATATAATGTAATAGCTTCAAAACACATGGCTATTGATTAATAACAGTGTCAATTATAAAAGAAGATTTAATGACACAGACAATCGGTCCTTCAGAGAATCTTCCACATAGCCGTCTTTGGCCGAGGTACTTTTCCACCGACCATGTCTTTTCCACAGTCTTTCACTAGTTTTAAAGTTAGCACTTATAGTTGCGGCACCAGATCGAAAAGAATGTAAACCATATTTAGACGAATCTAATCCTAATCTAGTTAACATGTCTTTAAATATTTCTCTAGTTCTAGTATATGATAAAGGTTTATTTGGTGGATTTCTCAATGTATCTGAATTTTTTCCAGAAAGAATAGGTCTAAAAAGGTGTTCAGTAGATTCATCAGAAATCCTCGCAGCGTGTAAATATCTTTGTAAAAGAGTTACAGGACATGATATGTTTCCTGTTTTAGCAATGAGTACATTCTGACCATCTCTATAAACGTCAGTTTTAGACTTTTCTATGTGTAAAGAACAATAAGAATCAAAAAATTTAACATCAGAGCGTTTTAGATCTAAGGCTTCACTTATTCGTAAAAAACCAGCGTAACACAAAATACACACGGTAACTATTCTCAAATTTCCCAGAGAACAATTCTCAGAAGCAAAAGTATATAATAATCTTTTCAAAATATCAGGAGAAATAGGTTGTTTTTTCTGCACTGGTCGACGTACTTTCCTGACGCAACCTTCCAAACATAATTTTAACCAATTGTCTTTACATGGATTTTTCTAAAGAAGCTAACTCGTGAGCACAGTTAATAGCATAAAACGCCTGTATTTAATTTTGATTTCCCACAACACTCATTATCGAACTGTATTAAAGACACTAAATACAGTGCTACCGTTTCAGGTAAGGCAGGCAAAAAGAAAACTGTAATTTCGTACACCATTTTGAAAAATTTTCAAAAGAATATTTATAATTACGTATCGTGGATTGTTCTTTGCTAGACATCACAGCGTCTTTCACTTCTGAGAAAAGCTCCTGGTTGTTAGGCAAAAACTACACATTTCTTGTACATCTAACCAACTCGCTGACTGGTAAAATGCCTGTAAATTGACAAACAATAATAAAACAAAATATTCATTATGCTTAATTATAGCATTGCTTTTTACAAAAATTGACCTTTTAACCAATTATTAAACATAAAATTATATGAGTCAAAACTAACAACATTCTATTCTAGCAACAATTACCTTGCTAGTAAAGTACGTAGATCCAAAAATAGTTTCTTTGTTTCTGCCTTGAACATATTATATCCTTAGGATCATTAAACAAAAGTATTTCACAAACAAATTGCTTAAGATTTGATGTTTCCCCAAAAATCATCGGGAAAAAAGGGCTCGAAGGCCAGTAAGGGGCTACTAATGTACCATTAGCTTTAGAATATAATAAATGGTTTAAAGCCTTTTGGGTATCAAATAAACTGGAGGAACAATTAAGTTATTTTTCCGACCCCCAATTTACTGTTAAAGCACCACATTCTCAGATGAAGGAGTGAAATATAAAGAATTAAAACGAGGTAATTTGTTATTATAGTCATTAGCAAATCTGTCCACTGTGTGTGGACCGTATAAATGATCTATGAAACTAAAGAAATCTTGCGATATCCCATAATCATCATAATCTATCAACCTGCTGTACATGTCTGCCTCTTTATTATTATCCCTCTGTATCCAGTTAATATCCAAAGAAATACTATATTTAGCACACAGCCGAAATATATGTAAAGATAACTCTTGCAAAGTTAATTTTAAACTGCCCTTTTCTAAAATACTGACACAATTTTTACTGTCAGTGTACCAAATAACTTGTTTCCCTGCCAGTTTACTAACAAAACTATTGAGACCATAATGAATGGCTAATAATTCCCTGTAAGTAGAACTCTGATTTTGCTCAAACTCTGTCCACGCTCGATGAGCTATAACTTTGTCACATTCTACTAAAAATGCTGCTCCCGCAACATTAGAAGCATCAGAGTATGCAATAACTGAAGGTAAAAAATCCTTGAACAGCTTCTTGCTGAATGGCTTAGACAATTGACTTTCCCAAAACTGAACAGTTAAATAACATTCTGAAATATTCATTACGCTATCCCAGGAAACCCTTCTTTCTATTAACTGATAAAAAGATTTCGTTTGTAATAAAGCCACGTTTCCTAGAACAGGCATCATAGAAACTATTTTACCAGACAGTTGTGCCAACTTCCTAGCAGTAACCCTCGGAAAAGAACTCTTCATAGTCCTAATACAAGATAAAGTGTTTTCAATACGGCGATCGGGTATTTTCAAAGTCCCATGTTGAAGGTCCCAAATGAAGCCTAACCACTCTAATCTTTGAACAGGGACAAAAACTGATTTCTCCTTGTTAATTAAAAACCCAGCTTTAAGTAATGTAGAACTCACAAAATTAGCATCACACAATGCATGTTTAAACGACTTGTTTATACCCCACCCATCATCCAGAAACAGAACAATTCTTAACCCTTTTAGTCGCCAAAACTAAGGGTCGTCTCAACAATTTAGTAAAGATGAATGGAGCGGACGACAAACCGAAAGGCAATACGGAGAAAACAAAGTAACGACATTTTCCATGAAAAAACCATGAAAAACCAAGGTAAGAATGATGTATTGGTTTGATTGAAATATGATGATAACCACTTGAAAGGTCAAATTTATACATAAAACCACTAGGAAAAAGTAATTCCTTGGCAACCTTGTAATCTTCAAATTTAATACGATCTTTCTTAACATAGGTATTCAAAATACTTAAATCAAGTATCAAACGTTTTTTCCCTGAAGAATTCGTAGCGACGGACAACGGGTTGATATTATGAGGTAAAAAAGGCACCTCATAAACACATTGTTTTTGTAACAAATCTTCAATTGCTTTGTCTACAAAATCACTATTCTCTAAAGCCGACTTATTGTTTCTCATGAAAAAACTTGGTGGCTGAGATAAAAATGGAATAACATAGCCGCTCTTTATGCAAGAAAGAATATCATTGTTAGGTTGTATCGAAGTTTCCCAAAATTCTAAAGCATGTTTTAATCGACCTTTAACTGAATAATCAGAAATTTTTATATTACTTTCTGTATATTCACAAAATATCTCGTGATGACAAAAATGTGAAAAATCAGAGTGAAAATCATCAAAAAACCAATACTTATCATATTCAAAAGAAGAGTCTTGTAATTCATTGTTTATTAATCTTGATTTCCTGCTTGTCACATTCGGGTGCTCTTGACTCTGTTGAGGTACCCATGGGTCTTGTATATGGACCGGTTCTGACCTGTGTACATCCAGATGCGATGTGTCCCAACTGTCCACACTTGAAGCAGACGACTGTTGAGGGAAGTTGTTGTTGGTAAGAGGATCCGCCAGCCATGGCAAATCTTGATTCTGGTGTTCGGCGAAAGCTACGAAAATTAAACTGAGAGCTTTGGTTAGAATTAGTAGACAATTTTGCCTTTTCGATACGAGCTTTGGCCCGGTCTTCAGCTTTACGAATTCTTTTATCGTCATCAGAATCGCTAGCCACATCCAATTTGTCATACTCTTGAATGGTGGCCCAACCGGAAGGAGAATTGTCAGCAATTCTGATCAGTTTATTTCTACGTTTAATAAGATGTTTGGCTTCAGAAATATACTCATGAGCTTTGCCTGCATTTCTTAGCGAAATAGCCTTATCAATACTGTCGAGCATATCATCGAGTTCACAATTGAATTGATACTGTTTATTGTTAGATAAACCCTTTAAAGTAACAGATGAATCTTTTCTAACCTTTTTTCTTGTAGCTTCTGCAATCCACTCTGTATCAGTCTGAACGCTCCTCTTGAAGTCGTTGAATTTTGAATCAAAATAATTCTTCAGTTCGTCAACAATTTCTGTTCTTTGTGACGATTCTCCACGTGGCTGAGAATACCGATTTTCTTCATCGCTCATAATTACGTATTTAAACAGGTTATTTATGTACCACCAAATGCAAGCGTCGAGTGAAGAAAAACCGCGAAAACACTATATATATACCCCACTAACCCACGAAATACACGTGCACCGTTAAAAGAAAATATTTAAGGTATCACTCCATATTTAACTTAAGGTACAGAAACCATACATAAACACTCATTCAAGCTATATCCGATACGAGAATAATTTCATTTAGTATGCTGCATTATAAAAACTTTAGAAAAAATTGGATAAGCATAATAATTCGACTTAAAACTTCATCTTAAAATGTTTAAGGAGATCAAGTTACACACGTGTATACTCGAGCATTTTACTGCGTAGGATATTGTTGAATAGTATTTCACTAATACAGAGATGGCCAGTTACTTAATTTTTATATTTCTTGTTCTTTTACTTTAATTTCTTCTGTGTGTTTTTAAGAGTGATCATTGTTCACCGCACCCAAGTAACTTTCTATTGGGCATATGAAACCTATATTAATGGACTTGTCCATTTTTCAGTATGAACAAAACATTCATCAAACATTTCAAAATAAGTGCAAATAAGTAAAATAGCGAACAGTGCAGACCATGATCAAACGGTGCAGATATGTGAGCTGATCTTGGTCTGCACTGTTCGCATGCGTAGAAAGCACATTTTTTCTTTATTTCAGTTTTATGAGAAATGCTCTGAAATTTGAGAAGAATAAAACCTCAGCTGATATGATGAGTAACTTGGTGCAGTGGTTTTACACAGACGCTGGCTCGGGACAACTTGTCCCTTACGATAAGCCAATCAATTTCAAAATAGAAAAGGCTTACAAAGCAGACGACACATTTGTCTCATACATGTATGCATTTTTTGTTTATATTGTACTACACAGTCATTTATGTGTATCACTGATCACACTTGATAAGGGTTAATAAGAACTATATATTTATTGTAATGTTATACATGTACTTGCATTGGATATTTTGTGATGATAACTTATTCTTTATTATTTATGTTTGTTTTCTGTTTGTGATAGCAAGTTATTATAACTTTGAAATTATAGAATAGAATGCTGTGTGATTCTTTTTGAAGTACAATTAAAATAACGACTTAACATTTACCACTTTAAATATTTTAAATGGTCTTGTCAATCCTTTATTCTGGACAAAACCATTCATCATTTAAAATAGAGAAAAAATAAAAATATATACTCACTGAAAAGCAGACAGTGCACCGATATGCCGGATGATTTAAGAGTGCACTGGTTGCTTGGGTAAAATTTGTTGCCACAAGCAGTCCAAGGGTTCATTATTTCCTTTTATGCCACAGCGTTTCGAAGCAAGAAATGTTCACGATAGATTTAAAGCAGATGATTGCCTATCCAGTTGAAAAACCACAGGACAGCATCAAAGTTCAAAGAAAAGATTTAATGAAAGGTTCAAATTTTCAACTTGTCATTGCCAAATGCGAAATGAAAATGTAAAACGTATAAATATGTTTAAATATAGTAGAAAAGAAAAAAGTAAAAGAACTTCACGTGCTATGCAAGATTCAGTGTAAATTATGCTTGTTTTTGAAAATGATCCAACCTGTATATTAATTTTAAAAGAAGGTAGATTAATTTTCAATACTAAAATAAAAACTGAAAGTGTGTATTATTATGCAATAGAGTCACTGTTTCACGTTCTATATTTAGACGTGTGACGTAATCATTGTACATGTGACGTAACCGCTATGAAATCCGACGCGCTGACAATAAGTACGGAAACAAATCAGGCGCAATTTTGCTTAATAGCAGGTACGGCACCATTTATTTGTTTATGTCGTGTTAGAATCGAAATAATATATCCAAATCGGTGATTTTATCGCTGGATAACATCACTGTTTGTCGTTCGGATGCGCAACATTATATCACTCGGGCTACGCCCTCGTGATATAATTCCTCGCATCCGAACTCCAAACAGTGATGTTATTGAGCTATAAAATCACAGTTTGGGATATATTATTTCTTAAATACATCCATATATATGTTCCTGAAAATGTATATCATTCAATACAAAGTAGCGTACATTTTTTTTACATTAGTCCCAACTGTATCAATTTATAAGTTATTTTTTATATATCAAAACACTAGCTAATTTAAATTTTCGAATCTAAAGATGACCATATTTACATAAGCTTTGATTTCAAACAAACAGTTTAAAATTTCAGCTGGTTCTGCAAATATCCCATCTACATGGGCACCAATGACAAGCAATTCCTGTCTCGTGGCACTGGCAAATACGGATCCAGAATTCATTGCCACCAAAAATACATTTTTAAGTTCAATTGGCAATGCAACAGTCGTTAAGGTACTAGTATATTAATGCATTTAACATATACCTGAGAATAATGACTGTGTATATCTGAAAATTAAATTCTTTACTGTATTTGAAACTTCAAAGCTATGAGTTTTCTCTTACAGCTTTGAAAATTATTATATGCATTGTATTGGTCAATGAAAATTGCTTTTCGAAACTGGAAATGCACTAGTATTTTAATCTGTTCGCATAATTTTTTCAACAAGTATGTCCATGAAGTAGTACTGCTGTAATTCTGATAGTATTAGCAGCAAAAATTGTTTTACTGATTATATTGCTAACTTCACATAATTGCAATATGGAGTGAATTCATATTTATAAAGTTTTAAAGACTTTCATCAGTTCATTATGTTTTGATTTATCACAGATTGAGAGAGTACAGAATAAAATGTTGTGGCAGCAATACCAAGCAAAGAAACAACAAATGAATCTAGCGAATCCACCAAACACGAAAAATGAGTCATTACTCTGGCATGGATCATCGTCAGTAGGGATTGACAATATTTTAGTCCATGGATTTGACAGAAGTTACTCAAATATGGGTAGTTATTCCACTTCGAGTCAACTTTTAAACACACAATATATAAATGTCAATTCTTACTTTTTCCACTGAAAATATTTTCAATTTCTTTTCAAGACGGATTGTTGTATTGATTGGTAGTAGCTTTAATCAAATTGTTCAAGGTAATTCGATTTCAATATGTGCATTTGCTTATACATGAATAGACATATTTCTAACAGTCAATGATTCAAACTGTGTTACACAAAACTTTTTTTTAGTTTCCATTGTTGCGATAGTTGCCTATTTATATAAAAGGGGTTCCTCTGTACCACTGATTTATTATATTAATAATTGTTAAAGGAAAACAAGATTGCATTTGAGAAAAATGCTATGCCACCGCATTAATACAACACTAAATAGTAGTGTAGGAACATATTTTTTTTTGTTTCTATACAATTGAAGATTGTCATAATGCATAGATCCCTGACCTATCTAATTCTTATTATCAGATTAGTGATTAAATCTATTGTTAATCAAATAAAAGATCAGAGCAGGAATATATCAATGCACTTGAGTCTAGTGAATTTGGTGGTGAAGGTCATATTTCATGCAGACTAAATTTCATGACTACATCAAAGGACAACACAGTAAGACACTTTGTCAAAATCTAGGTAAGCTGATATCAAAGTCCACTTTACATTTTAATCTGTCCACATGGTTCAAATTTCATAGCTGTAGATCAAAGCACAAGAAAGTAGGTCACATTATCAAAATCTAGGTCACCTGATATCAAAGTTCAATTTTACAACTAAAACTGTGACATGGTCAAAATTTCATTGCTGTACATCAAAGGACAAGAAAGTAGGTCACTGTCCCATTGGTCAAGGCAAAATTTTGACCCAAGGGTTTAATCCAAAACAATCTTGATACAGGTCCACCAAACAACTAGATATACATAGTGTAAATCAATGACCCCCGGGGCAGAACCAATTTTGACCCCAGGGCTAAAATTTGAACAATCTTGGTAGAGGTTCACTTCGCAAAGTCTCATGCCATATATTTAAACTCTAGCCTTTGTCAATTCAGGGAAACATATGAAGAAATCTAGCACCTCTGGGGCAGGGTAATTTCAACACTAGGGGCATAATTAAAACAACTTTAGTAGAGGACCCAAAGATGATATTATATACCAAATATCAAAGCTTTAAGCCTTGTACCTTCAGATAAGAAGATTTTTAATTTTTTTACTCTATGTTCATAGTGAAAATCAATGACCCCTAGGGGTGGGGCCAATTTTGACCCCAGGGCTATAATTTGAACAATCTTGCTAGAGCTTCACTACACAATGTTTCATGCAAAATATCTTACCTCTAGCATTTGTCAATTACTAGAAGATTTTTTTTAAGTTTTTACTGTAAGTTTTTACTATATACATATAAGGATAACCAATGACCCCCGGGGCGGGGTCGATTTTGACCCAAGGGCTATAATTTGAACCAATCTGGGTAGAGGTCTACCAGACAATGCCTTATGCAAAATATCTAAGCTCTAGGCCTTTGGGTCCTTATAAGAAGGTATTTTAAGTTTTAACTATATGTACATATAGTGAAAATCAATGACCCCTGGGCGGGGCCGATTTTGACCCAGGGCTATAATTTGAACAATCTTGGTTAGGGTCTACCAGACAATGCCTTATGCAAAATATCTCAGCTCTAGCCTTTTGGGTCTTTACAAGAAGGTATTTTAAGTTTTTACTATATGTACATACTGTTGAAAATCAATGACCCCCGGGGCGGCCCATTTTGACCCCAGGCTATAATTTGAACAATCTAGGTAGAAGGTCTACCAGACAATGCCTTATGCAAAATATCTAAGCTCTACGCCTTTTGGGTCTTTACAAGAAGTATTTTAAGTTTTTACTATATGTACATATAGTTAAAATTAATGACCCCTGGGCGGGGCCGATTTTGACCCAGGGCTATAATTTGAACAATCTTGGTTAGAGGTCTACCAGACAAAGCCTTATGCAAAATATCTAAGCTCTAGGCCTTTTGGGTCTTTACAAGAAGATTTTTAAAATTTATTCTTATAATTCCTTTCGGTTGCCATGGCAACCAGATTTCTGCATGGAATGAAATTCTTTGAACAACTTTGGAAGCCCTTCACCCAAGGATCAATCCTGCCAAGTTTGGTTTAAATTGGACTAGTGGTTTTTCACAAGAAGATTTTTTAAGTTCACTATATAATCTATATAACACACACACACACACACACACAAACACACAGATGAATCGCTATATGCCACCGCATCGCAGATGCTGCGGTGGCATAAAAATTGAGAGAACCCCTGTGATCTATAGTATCACATTTAAAATCAAAGGGCTGCAGCTCTATGGTATTTTCTGATTTTTGCAATCTAAATCATACTGACTATCTGTATGTACTTTCCTGTATAAGTTTATTTTTATATACTTTAATTCATCTTACGCAGCGACGGCGTTTTGATTTTCTTCTATAACAGATTGAGATTGATACATATGGAATTTTGCATGAAAAAAAATAGAATTGCCTCAACTAGGATTTGAACCATAGGTCTCTCACACCCTCAACGAGACCGCTTACCTCTGCACCACGGCGAAGTTATACATATGTACCTTGAATAAAAACGAATACATTATGTAATTCTAAATTGAGAATTTCCATTTCGTGCTTGTAATCCTTATTAATTTCGAGGTATTTTTTTAACGATAAACCTGTTGTTTAACACTGATGAAAATAATTTAGTGAAAATCTTCTCGCCAAAACAGTCCGACATGTATATATTCCACTACTCGACAGTCAGATTTATTTGTGTACTAGGCTCTGGAGTATTCGGTAATCGACATAGCTAAAAATAGCATTTTCATTGATTAAAATGATATTTATGATAATCCGAAGCTTTACGGAAATAGCCGAACATTTTTCATTGGGTAAAAAAGATATTCATCCGCGAAATTTGTGATTGTAACCTCATATTTCTGTTGACTAATCTAAACTTTTAATGCACTGTAATTCGTTAAATGCCTACATTAAAAATTATTCTTTCTTTTAAATTGCTGGTTTTTAAGCAGTTTTGAGTGAGAACTACTTTGCGTTGTTAGGACTGTTAGGAAATTTTGTGTTAGACCGTGGATGTTAGCTATTTATTTACTGATCTTACGATCAGAAAATACAAAAACTATTTTGCAATGTAACTGGGTGTTGGTTTTTATGTGCATACTAGAGTTTTACCCTCCATACAATAATTTTCATCTGTCACATAGTTTCAGTCATGTTTATTCGGAATGGAATACATGTTTTTACTGTATAGTATGTTTTTGGTCAATGATAATTAACACTTGATGTATATGAAGATAAAACCTTCAGATACAATTATATATATATATATCAATTTATAATTCAGGTTGTTCAATCGGCGTGGGTGTTTATTTTTCACCAATGGCAACTGTTTCACATGGATTTGCCCGGGCTGATGCTAACGGAGTTAAAAGAATGTTTCACTGCCGTGTACTTACAGGAGAATATACCCAAGGTCAATCAACTATTAGATACCCTCCGCCAAAACCATCTGGTGGACCACAGGCAAAGTATGACAGCGTTGTAAATACCCTAAACGCCCCATCAGAATTCGTTATTTTCAACGACACTCAAGCATATCCAGAATATCTCATCTCTTTTCTGTAATTAGTTATGAACATGGAAATTGGCAGTAAAACATATCTTATAGAGCGCTTGACTTTGGTCATCACCCTAGGGACATAGGAAAATTATTATGTAAATGGTATGTTCATATGGTCAGCTGTAGTATTGTAGTTTTAGAAGATACATTTAGCAGGTTGTTTCTACTCTTTATATATTTACTGACTTTATTTTAACTGGGTTACTGATACACAGATTTGAACAATAAATGTATGATGGTAATAAAGAAGTATGAACATTTTGTAATAGCAATTTTGTAAATTGCGTTTTTCAAATATTTCAGTGTATTAAGATCATGTGAGATGCCTTGTTATATGACAATGACAGATGGAAATAAAAAAATTTATTTGTTTTAATTTTCTCCACTCTTGAAAAGAGTACTGTTTCATATTCTTTATTATTTATGATAGTTCAGGGCTCTAGTTAGACCAAAATTTTAGGGAGAAGTCTTCCTCAGCCCACATTAGGGAGAAGTTTCAAGACTTAGGGAGAAGTGGGTATACCAACATTAAATGTACCCCAGTCTACATTTTAACATAAGAAGGGAAGTCCTTGCAAACTAAAGCATAAAATATAAACAAATAAGAATAAACTATTTTTTATTTTAGAAATACACATATATATCCACAACATATCTTCTTAAAAACTGACAAAGTCAGAGTATCAATATATCATAAGATTTTCATAATTACTTTTAAACAAGAACATAATTATTATATGTATAACATCTAGTAAAGACTGAACTAAGTGTTAAAATGAGGTTTTGACAATTACCAAAAATTTTCAAAAACAGTAAAAAAATATTAATATTTACAGCATCTTACTTTAAAAGGTTTAACTGATATCAAGGTGTCAAATGATACAAAAAAATATATACACATATACAACATGATCTATTTCAGCCTGAAAAATCAGTTTCAAAATAATGTCAAATGATACAAAAAATATTTACACCATACATGTATATGCAACATGTTCTTTTTCAGCCTTAAAAATCAAAGTGTCAAAATTTTTAATGAGCTTTTCATAATAACTAAAATAATGTCAAATGAAAACAAATATATATACACATATATGCAACATGTTCTATTTCAGCCTGAAAAATCAGTGTCAAATGAGCTTTTCATAATAACTTAAAACATATACATATTTATACATCTTCCATTAGAATCAACAAATTCAGTGTTTATGTTTCTTGTTGAAAAACTTTCATGCATGCACATAACTAGCAGTTTCATGCATGTACATATGAGCCTCGTCATGACAAAACCAACATAATGGGTTTGCGACCAGCATGGATCCAGACCAGCCTGCGCATACGGGAAGTCTGATCAGGATCCATGCTGTACGCTTACCAACCCTATTACAAGTAGAGAAACTGATAGCGAACAGCATGGATCCTGATCAGACTGTGCATATGCGCAGGCTGGTCTGGATCCATGCTGGTCGCAAACCCATTATGTTGGTTTGTCATGATGAGGCTCATATGCTGACAATCATCGATCCTAAAATGCTCAGGTGAGCAAAAAAGAATCAGAACACCAATATCTATAATTCAGTCGTTAACGCTGTACAGACGTTTAAAGTGTTGTTTACGTGACGTCACAATGTGGCGCCAAACAGCACGTGCAAAACAATCAAATCAAGTACGCTTTTTTAATGTCCCAAACAAGTTAAGTTTTACATTTATTTCACTTTTAATAATTGGTATTTTCCTTGAAAAATTATAATGTGAAATAAAATAAACAAACGAAGTTTTATCAACATTTTCAAATTTCGTTCTTCTCAAAATATTTCTACACACGGTAGATTTAACAACTGTTTTTTTCAACCCACTGGAACAGCCTCTAAAGAACGTTTCTATTGGAAACTCTGAGGTGAGAACAAATTTAACCACCAAACATAAAGTTCAACTTTATAATAATAATTACATTTTTTCTTGACGTGTTAGAATGGAAATAGATATTACATGTAATTCTTTGTGCAATATTGTATAACAATGCACGTTTTTCGCTCAAATGCTTTGTAATTAATCACTATATTACTATGCATTTGAACTCAAACCGTGCATTATTCTACAACAATGCACTCAGAATTGATATCTATTTCCAAAACAGTGTTCCTTTTTTGTATGTAAATTCAGAGTCCTTTCATTTATGAAAGCAACGTCACATTCCTGGCACATGACAGCTGTTGCAATACTGTGAACTTTGATGTGATCTTTGAGTTGAGCAGTCCAGGCTGCAGCAAATTTACACTGTGTACATTTGTAAGGTTTTTCTCCTGTATGTGTTCTCATGTGTGACTTAAGATGGTGGGATTGAATACAGCTAAATGAGCACATGTTGCATTTAAATGGGTGAATATCTGTAAAATAAACAAGATAATTTGTAAAACATGTATGCCCCCTATGGGCAGCCAATTAGTCATGTGATCAGGTTATTATGCATGACTATTGACCTAGTGAACAAAAAATTAATAAGGGTTATCTACTGGTCAGACCAGTCACAAGGTAATAATTATTGTGACCCCATAGGTTGTGTGCAGCAATTTAAGTTATTACAAATCTTACCAAAAAAAAAATGCATAAATTTTATGAATCATGTAGGCCTCATTAATGACAGCCAAGTTGTTATATTACATAAGACCTTCAAATGTGTATACCAAAAGCATTTTTAGTTTAATATAAAACAAGAATGTCGAACTACACATATGACCCCCTTTCTAGCAATTGACTCACATAATTGGTAATTTTATTACAGAAACTTGCCAAAATGGGTACATGGAAGTGTTCAATTATGGAAAAATCAACAGAAACCATTTTGACATTTAAGGCCCATGTGACATTGACCTTTGACCTAATGACCCCTAAATCGTTAGAGGTCATCTACTACTTATGAAACCAATAACTAGGTGAAATATGAAGACTTTGTGATGAATACTTTTAAAAGATTAAATCAGCGGAAACCCTTTTGACATTTAAGGCCCCTGTGACCTTGACCTTTTTTGATTTAGTGACCCCAAAATAAATAGGTGTCATCTACTATTTATGACCAATCACTATGTGAAATTGAAAAGACTTTGTTTTGATACATACTTTTCAAGATTTAATTCAGGCGGAAACCCCCCTTTTGACATTAAAGACCCTGTGACCTTGACCCTTTGACCTAGTGACCCCAAAATCAATAGGGGGTTCATCTACTAGTGATGACCAATCACTATGTGAAATATTGAAAGACTTTTGTGATACATTACTTTTTCCCAAGATAATCAGCGAAAAAACCATTTTGAACAATTAAAAACCCCCCTGTGGACCTTGACCCTTTGAACCTAGTGACCCCAAAAAATCAATAGGGGTCATCTACTTAGTTATGACCAATAACTGTGTTTGAAATATTGAAGACTTTTCAGATACATACTTTTTCAAGGATAATTCAGCAGAAACCTTTTGACATTTAAGGTCCCTGTGACCTTGAAACCTTTTGATCTAGTGACCCCAAAATCTATTGGGGTCCATCTACTAGTGATGACCCCAATCACTATGTGGGAAATATGAAGGAACTTTGTGATACATACTTTTCAAGATAATCAGCGGGAAACCATTTTTGACATTTAAGGTCCCTGTGACCTTGACCTTTGATCTAGTGACCCCAAAATCTATAGGGGTCATCTACTAGTGATGACCAATCACTATGTGAAATATGAAGACTTTGTGATACATACTTTTCAAGATAATCAGCGGAAACCATTTTGACATTTAAGGTCCCTGTGGACCTTTGACCTTTGACCTAGTAAACCCCCCAAAATCAATAGGGGTCATCTACTAGTTATGACTAATCACTATGTGAAATATGAAGACTTTGTGATACATACTTTTCAAGATAATCAGCGGAAACAATGTGGTCTACCGACGGACAGAGAGACCGACATTAGCAAAACAATATACCCCCTCTTCTTCGAAGGGGGGCGTAATAAATTAATTTGACTGTTGTTTTTTTAAAGGAGATAATCTTTAGGACAATCTGGCAAGTTTTTTCCTTTCAAGGAAGGTTTATAAAAAGTACAAATTCACTATTACCGTCTGCTACATGTGTGTCGGATAACATTAATCAATGATAAGAAAAACTATGAAATGTTTTTCCAAGTTAAATACTTTGATAAATTGATAAAGAAAATGTGTGGTTAATCATTTAATTTATACAGGTTTTTCCAGTCATATTTGAAATGGGTTTGTTCTCTAATTTGGTTCCAGCTTATCATGCAAAATGATTGAAACTTGACAAAAGCCGAACTTTGAATTTTGACTTAATACTAATGAAATCATAATGGAAAAAAATAAATTTTGGATGGGTCTTTTCTAATTAACATATCTTCAAAGAAGAATAACAATGTCTTGGAAACTGGAAAGTGTCACAAAAGTTGTTATATACCTTGAAGACAATTACCTTAAAGAGACCAAAGTGTTTATATCTCTTTAACGTTACGATTATGAACTTAATGAACCATGAATCTAAGAATAGAATACCGTAAAATAATGACTCTATGAATAATTCATAACGGCTAAATATACTTGTTTCATTTATTGCACTACAATAAAACAACTATCAATAACTAGAACTGCCACTATCATGGCGTGAATACCCCCCGCATACCACTTTGTCAGAATCAACAGTGGCCATTTAGAGCTCAAGGACAACCTCCCTGCCAAATCTGAGGTTACTAAGCCAGTGCATTGCTAAGTTATGTATTCTACATGCTTCAAATGTGAAAATGTCAAAATCAATACATTGCGGACAGGACATTCTTTAGCAATTGAGAAGAAAAGCTTTTTTTTTTGTCAAGGTCCCCTGTGACCTTGACCTTTGACCAGTGACCTCAAAATCAATAGGGGTCACCTTATAGTCATGATCAACATCCATGCCAAATATGAAGACTATGGGTCAAAGGAATCTTAAGGGGGTGGACAAACTTTTTGAAGTCAAAGTCCCTATGACCTTGACCTTTGATCCAGTGACCTCAAAAATCAAAAGGGGTCATCTACTAATCATGATCAAACATCCATGCCAAATATGAAGACTGTAGGTCAAAGTAATCTACAGTTTATTGGCAGACAAAATTTTTTTAAAGTCAAAGTCCCTGTGACCTTGACCTTTGATGGTACCTTTCAAAATCAATAGGGGTCATCTACTAATCATGACTAACCTCCATCCAAATATGAAAGACTGTGGGTCAAAGGAATCTTAAGTTATTGGGCGGACAAGCTTTTTTGAAGTCAAGGCCCCTGTGACCTTGACCTTTGACCTGGTGACCTCAAAATCAATAGGGGTCATCTACTAATCATGACTTACCTCCATGCCAAAATATGAAGACTGTGGGTCAAAGGAATCTTAAGTTATTGGTGCGGACAAGTTTTTTTGAAGTCAAGGCCCCTGTGACCTTGACCTTTGACCTAGTGACCTCAAAATCAATAGGGATCATCTACTAATCATGACTAACCTCCATGCCAAATATGACGAGTGTAGGTCAAAGGAATCTTAAGTTATTGGGGCGGACAAGCTTTTTGAAGTCAAGGCCCCTGTGACCTTGACCTTTGACCTAGTGACCTCAAAATCAATAGGGGTCATCTACTAATCATGACTAACCTCCATGCCAAATATGAAGACTAAGGGTCAAAGGAATCTTAAGTTATTGGGCGGACAAGAAAAAACCGACGGCCGGACGGACAGCCGGACGGACAAGCTGATTCCAGTATACCCCCCTTACAACTTTGTTGTGCGGGGATATAAATATCAACCAAGACAACTTGAGTTGTTAAGTTATTGGTCAGAAACCATCTTAAAGTACAAGGTCAATTTAACAATGACCCCTTGACCCCAAAATCAATAGGGGTCATCTACTGGCCATGACCAATCACCATACCAAGTTTGAAGTTCCTAGGCTTAAGCGTTCTTTAGTTATTGATTGGAAACTGTTTTTACCTACAAGGTCAATGTGACCTTGACATTTGACCCCTTGACCCCAAAATCAATAGGGGTCATCTACTGGTCATGACCAATCACCATAACAAGTTTGAAGTTCCTAGGCCTAAATGTTCTTAAGTTTTTGATCGGAAACTGTTTTTTCCTAAAAGGTCAATGTGACCTTGACCTTTGATCCCTTGACCCCAAAATCAATAGGGGTCATCAACTGGTCATGACCAATCACCATACCAAGTCCCTAGGCCTAAGGGTTCTTTTGTTATCACTCGGAAACCATTTGGTCTACGGACCGACAGACAGACAAATGCAAAGCAATATACCCCCTCTTCTTTGAAGTGGGGGCATAACAATGATATATAGTATTATATACATGGGTTAAAGACTTACATCTTGTGTTTTTTTACAACTGCCAGTCTAAATGACATTTTATTTTTTACTCTTTAATCATAATGTTTTACAATTTAAAATCCCTTAACAGTTTTGTACCTATTTTATAAAACCCTTTTGTTTCTCCTTCTTATGCAATATTTTATTTATGGTGATGATCCTGTTTACTAATGTCATCTTATATATCAAATTTGACATGAATCAAATACATTGTAAATGTTAAATATCTAAAATTTCCATGTCAATCATCTTGTCTGCACAAAGGCTTATATCGTATAACTATTTAGGGAAAATCAATCTTCAATTAATGAAACTAATCACACTGGCCATAGCTTTCGCAGAAGTGGTGGGTCCATCGCAGCGGCGGTAGAGTATTCGTCGCAGAAGTGGTGGATAAAATATGGCCATTTGCTGTTGTCAGTAAGTATATGATTGAATTTTGTTTTAATGTTTTACTTGAAATACTTGACATAATTATGTACTCTTTCAACCTATTACACGCACACGGTGCAATTCATTGCCGTTTATGCAAACACTTCTGTACAGTTTGATGAGGGGACGCCACTTTTGCCTAATTTTGGTTAAACAAATACAAATGTGTGCAAAACGACCCCATAACACAACGGCATCACATTGATTGAATGATTCTTTCACAAATTAACCATAATTTGAAAAATTGGGAAATTATTATTGCCTGTTTATAAAATAAATTTAAAAAAAAGTTTTCCGTCACGGACGGCGGTGGATTCGATTGCAACGCAGTGCGGTAGGCCCGATACCTTTCTTTGTATATTTTAAAAATGTAGCTTGACGTCGGGCACTTTTCAGTTGAGTATGTCCTTTTCATACTTTGACATCTGAGAAACGTGTTTATTTGATGTTTAAAGCGATATTAATTATTATATATACGCTCATACAAATATATATGTCCAAGGTCCGCTTTCATTTTCCTTCCATTGAAAATAACTTCAACCATAATTATCATAGAATAATCCACGTTCA